GTCAGCTAGAGGAATATTTAAACCATAAATGTTGTGGTACCACAACTGACCTCTCTCAAATGTTTAGTTAACATTTTGTCAGATAGTCTCTCCATTTGACCGACTATTGGGGTGTACAGGAATGATATGACTGATATGTATGTACAAATCAACATAACCTAGCTGTTTACCTTAGAGATAATTTCACACATTACTGTGCCAGCATTTAAACAGCCTGTGTATTGACAAGGTATATAATAGAATGTCCATATTATCTCTGTCAACTGGGCACTGTTAATGTATTTTGTACCATGTAGTATCGAGTAGAAAGCAATAACAAAGGAAAGTGTCATCGACCCGTTGTAAATGTTCCATTGAATATGTATACTCAACTCCATTGACGCTGCCCCTTTCAATTTCGATTTAATTCATTAAGAGTGTGTTATGTATTGCTAAGAAGTTTTTATCCGGTGTTTGGGTATACATATATTCAATATGTTTTAAGAGTCCCTTCATAGAGACCGATGTAAACTCGACAGAGGGTGTGTACCTAGTACTACTTACCTGTACTTAGACACTATACTTAACCTTATGTTCCAAGTGTAACCATCAAATAACTACAGGTATGTAAATTCACTAATAGGAAACGCTAGATTAAAGATTAGTATTCAACGTTCTATGTACTGTCGTAATGCATCAATGCATTTCAATTTATAACTTCAGATTTGTAGAGCAAATTCAATAAAAAAAATTTCTCTTCGTTAAGAGAGCGACGTGTTTAAACCATCATGGTGGGGGAGCTAGTAACACCCCAATGAAAATGTGTTATGGGACTCGCACACAGCCTTTTGTAGTTTATTAATGACAATCATATTAAGCTGGAAATAACTTTTTTTCGGAGCATGTGAATTCATTTTTGTTATGTTTCATATTGACTTCCCTTTTGTTTTAGTGCCTCCTCTGTTACTGATGTTGACTTCTCTTTTGTTTTAGTGCCTCCTCTGTTCCTGATGTTGACTTTCCTTTTTTCGGTGTCTCTTCAGTTTCTCTTGCAGAACTTTGGTGACACCAAAACAAAAGGGAAGCCAGCATTAACTTCACAAAAACAAAGTCATCTGTCTAAATTCATATGTTGGTGACTCCTAAATGTCTGCTGTTGCCTTTCCTTTTGTTTCGGTGTCTCCTCAGGTGCCGATGCTATCTTTTTGTCTTTCCTTTTATTTTCCTGTCTCCTTAGTTCCTGTTGTTGACTTTCCTTTTTAAGGTGTCGTGTCTCTGCAATATCCATTGTTGTCCTTTTGTGTCGATGTCTTTTCAGTGTCTATCCTTTGTATTGGTGGTAACTCCTTCGTTTTACTTTGTGTTATTGAATGAAAATATCTAATCAAAGACATGAAATATCCTGAAGTTTGTTTTTCAATACCAGTCCTACCAATAAAATATATACAAACAGTAAGTCACTGGTATCAGCGCACCAGTCTACACCTAAGTTTAACGTGTGGAATATTGACCCGCAGGCGTAACCCCTCGTGTACAACGGACACAATATCTTGTGTCGTGAGCACAATATTGACCCCAGACTTAACCCCGGGTGCACAACAGACACCATATCTGGTGTCGTGCAGGGCCACGGACTCGTGGCAATACATTTTAGTGTCAACGCCGATATACACATCTCTCTCCAAATCTTGACACCTATTTGTTTGATGTGTATATTTGAACATATGTATGGTAGTCTTTGTGTGTGCTGCCGCCTTTGTTTCCTTACAGGCACAACAGAAATGAAGGCATTATGGATGCGTATACCAAGACTTCATTACTTACCATTATCAGGAGGACAGACAATAGTATTGACTAAAGCTACATAATTAAGGACCCGAAAAGAGTCTTCCCTACGTTGTTGTTTCCCTTTAAAGTATAACAACAAATACTGTAGTGTGAAAATCGATTGGCTGTGTACTATAATGCAGGTCAGATTGCGGTCTTTCACTTATTAATAACGCTTCCAAATGGCATCTGTCTGGGTCAGTAAAGTACCCGAGAGCTAGGACAGCTTCAGGTGAACCGACAAAGTGCCCGGAAACCTAAAGACACCAACAAAGTACGCCATACACTACAAACACGTTTCAGAGATAACACACACCTAGAAGCATTTTCTGTCAAAGTTCACATATATATTCCAGTTATTTCGTCAGGAGAAGATTATCTACCAAGGCAAAAAAGAATTTATTCTGAACATTATCGTCATGTCTCACATCGAGATTATGTTATGTAATTTATAAAGTCACAATCAGATTGAATCATCATATTTGTCGTACATTTCAAGTACAGTTTATTGTATAATGTTTGGAGTTGACCATTATAACTTCGGTACACCTTTGTGTGATATAGTCAGAGTGAAACCAAATCAAACCAGGTACACCTTTGTGTGATAGTCAGAGTGAAACCATCACAAACCAGGTACACCTTTGTGTGATATAGTCAGAGTGAAACCAAATCAAACCAGGTACACTTTTGTGTGATATAGTCAGAGTGAAACCATCTCAAACCAGGTACACATTTGTGTGATATAGTCAGAGTGAAACCATCACAAACCAGGTACACCTTTGTGTGATATAGTCAGAGTGAAACCATCTCAAACCAGGTACACATTTGTGTGATATAGTCAGAGTGAAACCATCTCAAACCAGGTACACCTTTGTGTGCTATAGTCAGAGTGAAACCATCACAAACCAGGTACACCTTTGTGTGATATAGTCAGAGTGAAACCATCACAAACCAGGTACACCTTTGTGTGATATAGTCAGAGTGAAACCAAATCAAACCAGGTACACATTTGTGTGATAGTCAGAGTGAAACCATCACAAACCAGGTACACCTTTGTGTGCTATAGTCAGAGTGAAACCATCTCAAACCAGGTACACCTTTGTGTGCTATAGTCAGAGTGAAACCATCTCAAACCAGGTACACATTTGTGTGATATAGTCAGAGTGAAACCAAATCAAACCAGGTACACCTTTGTGTGATATAGTCAGAGTGAAACCATCACAAACCAGGTACAATGAGAACTGCTAATTAAAATGCTACGACAATAGATCTCTTGAAGTAGCTTGTGAGATATAACCACTCAGTTAGAGGTTATATGTAAGTCCTGTTCAGTCCTGTGCGGGATGACGTGATACTTAAAAAGTTTCGATATGAGTCACAGTGACCCACCCTTAATCCATGTACACTTGTAATGATATGTAAGCAAAGACCCCCATACATGCAAACAGACAAAAATCATGTCGATCTCTTTAATTAGGTGTTTAGATGACGTGTATACAGATTCGCCATGTATTGAGATACGCCATGTATACAGATACGCCGTATGTACAGATACGCCGTGTATACAGATACGCCGTGTATTGAGATATGCCGTGTATACAGATACGCCGTGTATTGAGATACGCCATGTATTGAGATACGCCATGTATACGTCATGTATACAGATACGTCATGTATACAGATACGTCATGTATACAGATACGTCGTGTGTACAGATACGTCATGTATACAGATACGTCGTGTGTACAGATACGTCATGTATACAGATACGCCGTGTATACAGATACGCCGTGTATACAGATACATCATGTATACAGATACGTCATGTATACAGATACGCCGTGTGTACAGATACGTCATGTATACAGATACGCCGTGTGTACAGATACGTCATGTATACAGATACGCCGTGTATACAGATACGTCATGTATATAGATACGTCATGTATACAGATACGCCGTGTATATAGATACGCCGTGTATACAGATACGCCGTATATTGAGATACGCCATGTATACGCCATGTATACGTCATGTATACAGATACGCCGTGTATACAGATACGTCATGTATATAGATACGTCATGTATACAGATGCGCCGCGTATTGAGATACGCCATGTATACGTCATGTATACAGATACGCCGTGTATACAGATACGCCGTGTATACAGATACGTCATGTATATAGATACGTCATGTATACAGATACGCCGTATATTGAGATACGCCATGTATACGCCATGTATACGTCATGTGTACAGATACGCCGTGTATACAGATACTTCGTGTAAGTATGGGTTAAGGTCTATTGCTGAAAGGGAGAACCGGTAGATTGTCATGACGTCAACCAAAGATGTAAAACATATAATATTTGAATCTCCTCTACCAGAACAATCCTGTCCCTTAGTCGTCGTTTTATGACTAATACTGGATATCTTTACTTTGCCTAACAAGGTCATGTTATCAAATCAATTCACAGGAAAACGCTATGTTTACCAAGCGTTTATCTTTAATGGTTTTAAAGCGTAACGGATAATTATGTACAGGTCTGACATTAATCATGATATCCGATATCGCTCTAAGGAATTATCTCCGATATAGATATAAATAGTCTCTTACAAGAAAGCCCACTAGATACTGACAAACCTACCAACGGAGTTTAATAATTACCCTCTGCCTATCCCATCATTGTATCAACAACTGTTATTCCAAGTCACATCGTAATATTAACTTACCATGTTAAAATCAGGCGAAATTTTAAAACATAATTGCCAGGCTTCCGCTTTAACAGATGTCAAAATAAAATTGATATAGCAGAAGCTATAGACGATATCGACATTTAACTTATGGTGTAGTACACCGTAAGGTGAAGCAACAGATAACTTCTAACTTAGATATACAGAATCTCTAAGTAGTTAATTCCTTTATTTCATATATTTTTTGTTCTTTTCTGGCGTTTCAGTTTTATTTTACATTACATTTATATAATATGCACTTTCTTCAGTGACATAGACATGGTGCTGCATTAAGAATGGTGTTTTTTTCACGACTAGAGTTAAAACATTATTGTGTTTTTCAGTTCTGTTCTATACTTCTATAAGTCAAAGAATATTTTGTATTTACACATCCATTTCATATCGTTTGACCCCGTAAAATTCTAAATAAATATGATATCGTGTTTTGTGGTTATAGGCACAACTTCTGTTGTCCTCCGTGCCTGAGGAGACAGATGTCGATATGGAGATCGACAATGGCCTCGGAAGTCGGACGGACACCAGATTATCTTTAGGACGTGTTCCGTCACAGATGTCTCGTGCCACCATGGTACGGACGCCGGCTGCAAGACCGACAACCCAGGGCAAAGAAATTCACGAAATGGTAGACGAGGAGAATATACTGATCACAGAGTTAAAACAATCTGAATACCGATTGGAGGAGAGTGAGGAAGTCGAAGCGTCCAAGGAGCCAGACATTTTGGTCCTGGAAGACAAGGTTCCCGTCACAGCACGAACAGACGAGGATGAGTACGACACAGATTTGGAGGTAGAAGGTACATGTCTTCATGACTGTAAACATGCAAACTAATAATATTTCAGTTCTTTCTTTATAGAAATATATAAATTTTATCTTTTTTAATGCAGACTGTTTTTGAGAACGAGATCATTGTAGATAAAACCAGATTTGCTTTGATATATATTATACATAGAAATGACATATTCTAATGTCGCTGACTCAATATTGATTGTGGGAAAGCCTGTTACCAGAAGTAAAATCTGATCAGAAAATCCTCACTGGTTACATATAGATGTGATATTGTCAAATAAATAGTATTTTCGTTTTATTTGATCTCCACTTAATTCACAATGCTTCCGCTTTTTAGAGGATAGTGAGGATCTCCATGACACAAGCGGAAGGTCCAACTACAGGAAGATCTGTGCTCAGTTTGGTGTGGTGCCTATATCCTACTTTGTCCGACACATCATGGACCAGGAACTTGTAATGCGTTACCATGGTCTCGGACCTGTGGCCGCCAAGGCGATGGCATTAGTTCTTAGGGTAAGGTTCTTATCCCGGGTGTTACAAAACATCAGTTTCGCCAAATGAAATTAAGTCAGCTATGGATTTTGAGGTGATGTATTAAGATGATAGCTGTGTCATGGACATCATGATGTCGAGACTGTTGGCCGATAACGACTGTTGGCTACCTGTAATTGTGCGCTTAGCGTTAATGTGAAATTGTATTAGTATTCAATGTTTGACGTAAACTACATGTCTCGTTTTAGTTCATTCCAATCATCCGAGTGACACGGTTCAGAATATACACATGTATATGACATTCCACTTATCATGTGAAATCTTATCAGATATATGAAAAGTACAAAATTTATTGAATTACGGGGTTATTGCGCCTCCCCATCTAATTTTTTACGTTTCTTTCGAGGTCCCTTTAGATTTTTCCTCTGTTGCCTCATATATTTAATTTTTAGGTCTTTAGCATCACTGATGAGTTCTACAAGGACGAAACAACTCTATGATGCAATTAAATTTATTGTTTAGGCTCTACTGTAGCTTACCCATGTTTGTATTGTGATATGGTATTGATTTGCGTGTCTTCTGTATAATCTTTAATAACTCAAGAATTATATCATGTAATTATTAAATGTAATGAGAAATTATGAATTATGAACTATTGCGTGAAAGTGTGTACCTGGCAGTTACGGTTAAGTTGGCATGTAATTAACAGTTAAGTATGATATTAGTACATATTGGAGAAAGAAACGATATAATCAAGATTTTAATGTGAAGTATGATTCAGCACACGTGCATCTCTGTGTTTTAGTTTAATCCGTTACAGCAATATTTGTTATGTAAATCTGTACAGGACAATGTGACGTTAGAAAAGCTGAATCTTGATGGAAATTGGATAGAAGGTCCGGGAGGTGAGGCGATGGCCCGGATGTTGGAGGAAAACGACTATATATCAGAAGTGGTGAGTACACTGACATACAAAGATACAGAACAAGGCTGATCACAGGTAGATACAGATAAAATAGCAATTTAAAAAACCTATCAGTTGGGACAGAGTGAAGGAATCGAGTCTCGGACATGTTCGCCCTTGATGACAGAGGCAGTATTTCATTGTGTAAAATTTGTTATAGCATGGAAGTACCACAGAGTTAGAAGGAAAGGTATCAGCTAATGGGTTTTATTTCATCACAGAATCATCACTATAACGATGAACAAAATCGACCATAACGTGTAGCTTCTTCTCGAAAGTGTTTTCAAAACGCACTTAACAGAGAAACATCATGAACGTTTTGTCTCGTTATTTGGATTACATAAATCGAGCTGGAGGCAGAACATTGCAACCTTTTAGTAAAATCATTTTATGTTATACTACATCTTCTAATTCATTGTTATTGTAGAACAGTTTCAACATTTTGAAAAGGGATCTTTTGTTTAGAGCTGTTTTTGTTAAGTAAAAAACATTTTGTTAATTTCATATACATTTGTATATGTATATAACTGTTATGACGAAACTGAGTGTTTTCCTATCTCGAAATATTTTATAAACTGCGGTCTGATTCAATACATTGGGTGTAGATGTAGGTGGAAGGTGCCTGTAAAAGGTTTATGGAATCAATCATTCCAGTAGCAATGTAATGATATATAATCAGTTATTTAATGGAACATCTGATAAAATAACTTAAAACAAAACATCGATTTCCTAATTAGTTACAAAAGATAATATCAACGATGTTAATGAGTTTACACCGCAGTTAACCACTTACCGTTCTCTGTAGGTAGATGTGAAGGTCAAGAGATCATAAAAGGTTGATGAAATATTGATAATCATAGTGCTTTCATTAATACCTTGTCTATTAATCTTAAGAGTCAGTAGTACGGTGTCCAGCGATAGGTTACATGTAAAGTTACCAACACAAAGTCTTACAATGTTTATGTGATAAAGACGACTTCTAGTCTCCTTGTAAATGAACATGATATCATGCAACCGACAAATTGAGGGATGCCGCTTTCTGATGTCTTGTTTACCAGTATCTACAATCTTTCCACATCGACTTTAATTCAATGCTTATCTGTGTGTATTAGAACAGCTTTATATTCTTTGTGTTGACGCTTTGATGTATTCCATCCATGAAATTGTAGTATTGGAGGTCAATAGTCTGTGCTTTTAAAGTTAGGCTGAGTAAGCTTGGATATTTTTTCTAATTAACAATGATATATCAAAATCCTTACTTGTCAACCATGAAATTAGTTCCAGGTACTGGTAATTCCATACTGTTGATGTAGTTACCCACCAGTCATTGTTGTAAATTCTTTAAAATGATGCCATATTAATTACTATCTGATGTAAGCAATCTTGGTCAACACCCACTGGTCATGGAACACGTATAGGTAACACTGACATAACTGACAATTACTTTATCAAAACTCTATCTTGTTCCGTTGCTGAAGGTGCTAGTTCGGAGTTAGTTGACACTCTTTCACTTCCTGCTGTTTCAGTATGGTTTTGCCAAAATGAATATCATCACTCCGAATCACTTCAAAATATTTCTAGTTTATTATTTTTGTGTATGTATAAACTAAGTTATCACCTGAAATTATGTTTAGAAAAACAACGAAAAGACTAGTGTCATAATGCATGACCGTTGTTCCCGTGTACAGAACTCTCGATAGCTGTTTCCAGATTTATATGTCTTGTCACAATGCATGACCGTTGTTCCTGTGTACAGAACTCTCGCTGTTTCCAGATTTATATGTCTTGGCATGTTTTAGGATAAATGAAGGGATGTCAATGAATGACAATACTAAATGACTATATATTACAAAGTCACATTGTGTGCACACGTCTTTTCTCCTGTTTCAGTGTTTATCAGACAACCGACTCGGTACCACTGGAGCCAGGAGTTTGTGTAAGATGCTGGGTGTAAACACAGGACTGAGGAAGATAGATTTATCGGGTAACTACAACATATTCTACTATTACCTGATGGAGATGTACACAAACTCTTCCCTCTTAGGTTTATTCAGACTCCACTTAACTATAAACATTTCAGTGATTGATAATGATCAGTGGTTTATTACAAAATACATTTCAAATTCAAATAACCGACGCATAGAAACATTTCACTCCTGACAATCTAACAGTAAAAACACGTTTTGATTGTTCATGTCTCTAAACTGTAGAAAGGTACTAGCGTTGGAAATCCGATTTTTACCTCTGACGAGAAGCATTTATTAATCAAGATTATCGAACAGACGAGCAAACACCGCCTATCTACTGTATCCATAGAAACATCCTCAGGTGATTGAGGCGGGCTGCTTGTTTTATGATAAAAGCATTACACCTCGCCTACATTTATATGCCCATTTGTCGGGCCTCAGAATATGTTCCGTATTAGTTTTGATTTAATTAAGGATTGTCCATTAGAAGATTGGACTCTCTTTGGAAATCAATACCTCGTTACTGCTCAAAAGCTTTGAACAGTGTAGAACATATGCTTGTAAAATATATGGTTGATAAGCTTTGACCTAATCCTGATCTTAGAGAAATGTCTAGACAACTTAAGGCAGTATGTTAAGTAGACCATCAGTTTGCTGTCACCTCTGTCTGTGTATTATGTATTACTGACAAACTTCTGTGTTGAAAATTTAACCCTGCAGAAGCTACAGTTGCCTTTTCCAGCTGTGAGATTTGACTGCCCATCGAAAACAATTTCACCTCCACTTTTTTATGAGGGGGAGGATTCTGACATCCGTTTGTGTTTCTGTCGCCAACACACTCGGTCCCTGCTATCGTTGTGTAACACAATTAATAACACCGTAGACAACAGAAAGTGTATAACCTAATCACGCTTTATGTCTTTTTTCAGATAATGCATTCGAAGATGGAGACGTCGAATATTTCGTAGAAATGTTGGAAGTGAGTTTTTATTTTACTGTCGATAATATGACAGACATTTGATCAAGAAATATAACTAGAAATCCTATTATGTTGATATACTTAAAATAACACAAAATCATTCAAAGAAATGAATCAAAGTGAAAGGTCAAAGCTACCTTTACAATATCAAGCACAAATGATATATCAACTATTGTTTCAGAATAACAAGTATTTGAAGTCGCTGGATTTGAGTCGCAATCGATTTGGGGAGCAGGCTGGCGAATTGCTAGGACCAGCTATAGGTACGTTAGAGAGGGCGCTGTTACCTGTTTATATATGCTATATCGGATATCAAGTAATGTTGTCTAACCATTGTAATTATCATGAAACATTTACGTAAAACATGTATCCACTGACATGGTTAACTGTAATCTCTAATTAGTCATCCACGACAGCCTTCTGACGCATTCTTTTTCTATATCCATGTACTATTATTTTTGAGAAGGATGAATTGTTCTGGTGGTTCTTCGAACAAGTGTTTTGATAGTACAATTTTTTTTCTATGTTGAAGCCATTATGTGATTTGAGGTGTCAACTGATATTTTCTTCGATTTCTTTTTTGTCGCAGCCTCCAACGATATCCTCGACACCCTAGACCTTAGCTGGAACCATCTTAGACAGAAAGGGGCGGTGTCCGTAGCACGTGGTTTAAAGGTCGGTTACAGATTAATGTGTGTACATGAGGAAACATTTATATATCATATTCATAACGTGGTTTATGGTTTCAAGGAAGGTTACATATTAAGGTGTGTACATGAGGGTACATACATTTAGCTCGTGCCGGCTAAGCCACTTACAACAGGCGAGGCTACTTACTCCAAATATACAACATTTCTCCTCGTGTCATCTAGTATGTACTAATCAGATTAAAATTCCTTTGAAGACAAATGATAACGCCTAATGATGTGTGAAACACCTGATAATCGGTTTTGGTATGGCCCGCGTCTTTTTAGATATAATGTAAATATTTTCAGAATCACGCGATGCAAATCAACATTATTTTATAAACCCCTATCTAACTATTACAGGGACAGAATCTTTACTATTATAATGCTACTAAACTGTGGTATATATTATGTACCTATATAAACATTGCCTGTATTAGGTACCACGGTACCGAAACAATGGTAGATAATATGTTTTTTATTTCAAAGGTAACATTATACCTACCTACTCGCATCGTCCTCACACTACCTCAACAATACACAATAGTACTTGTCAAACAATTATCTATTGACTGTCACAACTCATTGAATGAGCCGATGACCCGGAACTCCACGGCTTCCGTTACAATGGAATGGGTGGCTCACCTGCTCCAGTTACTTATTAACAATAGTCTACATTATTGATTAAAGCGTGTTGATGGCAGACTTACCAAAGAGCCGTTTATCGGATGGAATAATATCTGAAATATGAACATTTACGTAATTTCCAAAATAATACAGATATTTTAGCAATAGTATCACATGATGCAACAAAATTTTTCGTTTATAAAAAGTCTTTCGTGGATTCCACATGTTTAAATTGCACGAAATATTAAAAAACGTATTCCGAGATCGTTTGCCATGTATGCTTCTGATATTCTAACACGCGTTTTCAAGTAATATCTATTTATAAAATCATTTTTTTGTTTTGATACTGTCACTTTGTTTACAAGATTGTGTTCTTTCTGAAAACATCCAAAGTGTTCGAAGAATAAAAACACAAACCTTTTCATAAATAACAGATACCAGACAGTCCCTACAATCAACAATACTGCACCTCGATCCTCGATTTGATTTGCCGTAGGGTTTGTTTCCGTCATTGCAAATAATTTCTGCATTTGTAATTTGACTATCTTTGATCGAACCCATTTCTCTGGTGAGGAATATACAGATAAATGGCCTCGAAGAGCAAGAACTTCATCTCGTACAGTAAACAGACATTGTCCATAGGACTAGCAATGGTCAATGTCGATTACATGTATATTTCATCCAGCTTTTTTTTTGTGTGTTCTGTAAAATATATAATGGAGACAGCTGTTAACGTTGATCTTTCCTTTATTGAGTCTCGTCAAAAAGTTACAAACAAATATCAAATACAAGTAATCACAGTCTGATTATAAGACTTGTTGTAAATGTACATGATACATAATGAAATTATCGAATATAAATTTAACTGACAAGTCATCTGTGTATATGGGGAAATTAGAGGTAGAGATAAATAAATCTTGGCTATGTGAGGGTTTTACAATATGAAAGCCAGGCCATAAATATCATTAATTGGTATTTAGCCAATTAAAACTAAAATTAATTAAGTTATATGAACATCAATATATATCTTCCAATGATTCTGAATAGAATTTAAGTCCTCACAATTATGCGTATAAAAACCTGAACTCAAGTTCTAATAATCATTATAAGGAACAGTAATAATAATACATCATAAGTACATATATTTCAATCAGATTCTAAACTGAGATAACAAATTACAAGATCTGACAGACAAAAACAATTTAAGATAATTTCATAACTTTGCAAGATAAAAGTATATATTAATATTAAAAATTCAATACAAAGAAATGGAACTAAATCTATTAATAATTAAGTGTCAGAATTAAGGGGCAATAACTCATAAATAATTCATAAAATGATATCTAATTGAAACATACAATATTTCACAAGAGACTAATAAATTGTGCATAAAATGCTTATGGTTGAAAGCTTTACAATAGATAAACATTTTCAATTACGGGAACACTATTCTTTGCATTTCACAGACAAGAATAAAACATAAATATTTAACTACATAAATCAATACAAATACAGACGTATGAAAGATAATATCGAACACAGAAAAATAATAATAAAATACAAATTGTGTCAATTAACAATATGGAAATAGACTAAATGTACATAAGTAAGAAAGTGTGCTCACCTGTAAAATATATAATGGAGACAGCTGTTAACGTTGATCTTTCCTTTATTGAGTCTCGTCAAAAAGTGATACGAAAACTCAGATTTTATGAAGATCAAGCTGTTCTCCGGACACAGGCATGCGCAATGGTAAGCGTCGGTATAATTCAAAAAATATCTAACTCACTGACATGTGGGCTCCTAGCCATAACCTATTACGTAATGGCCACTCACCACACAAAGGGTGTTGACCAAGGGCTAATATAAAATACTAGTGTAAATCCTTAGTGCCGATACAATCACAATTGACCCTTCCGTGTCTATGACACTTTACAATTTAATTGCTTTAACTCTTCCTGACATGAAAGGTTAAATATATCTTTGTTGACTTGTGAATGTTATAATTATGTAACAAGATTAATTGACAAACCAAAATCGACATTTAGTGTATAAAAAAATCTGTATTGAATAAATTGTACTTTTTAAAGAAATTCGTTTGTTCCAAATGAATTTCATATTTAACTTTGAGAATATTTAATTTATATATAGAAAATGAACTGATTAAAAGAAAAGAGAGAATTTTATCATGAAATATATCTTTCACCGCTGGCTCGGGAGTACTCGGCATGGTACTCCATTCATTTCATTCTGGGCTGTTATATGTTACAATGTTTTCGCCGTTTTCGGGTTCTTTGAGCCTCTGATTTGACCACATCTACATATTTTTTGTGTGTTTTGTTTATGTAGGAAAATGTGCGGCTAAAACGGTGTTCATTGGCGTGGAACGGTTTCGGACCGGAAGGTGGTACTGCAATCGCTGATGCCCTTGTAACCAACAACTCTCTACATGAAATCGACATCAGCGGCAACCGATTAAACGCTGATGTAGCCACGAAGGTAGCGAAGGCTATAGCCGTCAACGACAACATCCGGGTACTTAGGGTAGGTTTCCAGCATCTGGGCAAACACAAAGCGGACAAAGACAAAATTAATACTTCGTTATGCGACAGTGATGAAATGTCTATTGTTAAAGTAGTAGACTGAAAATATTGTGTAACGGTTAATCATAATATTGTGTAATGATATAGGCATAATGGTTCCTGTATGTAGATAATATAAATCAAATTGACAGCTTCTGCACAGAACGCACAATTAATATTTTAAGGATTGGCTCCCGCAGATTATTTTGCCTTTTTTCTCCATAAACTTCCAAACTTTTATTTGTCGACCTTAATTATGCACGAGACAAAAGAAATAGGAAATACTTGAAGGTTATTAGTGTTTATCGATACGTTTCGGGAGGTGATATTTACTTCATTATTACGTACTTACGTTGGATGGCGGTTGAAAACCTGATCTTGGATGAACAATTGAGCGATTGAATTCATTCTTATGTATGACAAAGTCTTCATTGTTAAGCGTACAGAGAAACCAGTGCTCTACAAATACACCCTATATCAATTATACCTGCAAAGTACGATGATGAAGGAACGACAAGATCGAGTCAACATTCACTACCCAGTATATCGGTATTACAATGTGTGTGTTATGATACAAGTGATATTAGATCGAATTCACTTCAGCTTTTCCTGAGAAATATTGAAAAACACGTATGTTTGCCCTCTGACAAGAATCGAAAACGGTGTTTTATTTTTAGCAAATGTAAACACGTCTTTTGTACTAAATATGAAACCCGATTAAACTAAAGTACATGTACATGTGCTGTTTATATCAATGTAGATACGCGGGAACACGTCTTTAAGTTTCCATTTACCATTTGTTGGCAGTAAATGTAAATGAGTGTTATTCAATGATTACCGTAGAAGCAGAAAACTTTCAGAACATTATTCATGTTATAGTTTGATACCGTGTCAGCTTAGCGGTACCGCAAGTACGATGTCTTACAACATAGGAACAAATCGATATATATATAACTACATCGTACTATATAGATATATATCATCACCATATAAGGACAGTGTTATATAAATATCTTAAGGAATACTATAGAATTAGGATAAGTGACATGTTACACTGACATCGTTATTTTTCCACAGATGGGAAATAATTTACTGACGACTATTGGTGCGATCGATCTGGCTCGCTCCATCAACGAGACCGAGAGCAGTGAAATGGAAGAACTCGACCTCACCGTAAGTCAAATAGTGTGAAAATGGAGAATAGATGCTGGGACAATATCGAGAACTCACTCGATCTCATCCTAAGTCAAGTGTGTAGAGAAATAGATATTGGGACAATATCGAGAACTCACTCGACCTCACCCTATGTCAGAAATAGATACTGGGACAATATCGAGAACTCACTCGACCGTACCCTAACCCAAATGTGTAGAGAAATAGATTCTGGGACAATATCGAGAACTTACTCCACCTCACCCTAAATCAAGTGTGTAGAGAAATAGATACTGGAACAATATCGAGAACTCACTCCACCTCACCCTAACCCAAGTGTGTAGAGAAATAGATACTGGGACAATACCGAGAACTTACTCCACCTCACCCTAAATCAAGTGTGAAGAGAAATAGATACTGGGACAATATCGAGAACTCACTCGACCTCACCCTAAATCAAGTGTGTAGAGAAATAGATTCTGGGACAATATCGAGAACTCACTCCACCTCACCCTAACCCTAGTGTGTAGAGAAATAGATACTGGGACAATACCGAGAACTTACTCAACCTCACCCTAAATCAAGTGTGTAGAGAAATAGATACTGGAACAATATCGAGAACTCACTCCACCTCACCCTAACCCAAGTGTGTAGAGAAATAGATACTGGGACAAATATCGAGAACTCAATCGACCTCACCCTAAATCAAGTGTGTAGAGAAATAGATACTGGGAGAAATAGATACTGGGACAATACCGAGAACTTACTCCACCTCACCCTAACCCAAGTGTGTAGAGAAATAGATACTGGGACAATATCGAGAACTCACTCGACCTCACCCTGACCCAAATGTGTAGAGAAATAGATACTGGGACAATATCGAGAACTCACTCCACCTCACCCTAAATCAAGTGTGTAGAGAAATAGATACTGGGACAATATCGAGAACTCACTCGACCTCACCCTGACCCAAATGTGTAGAGAAATAGATACTGGGACAATATCGAGAACTCACTCCACCTCACCCTAACCCAAGTGTGTAGAGAAATAGATACTGGAGATATACTGAGAACCTTACTGGAGTCGAAGTGTAAAGAACGGAAATAGAGAATAGCACAGCATCATTAATTCTCGATCTTATTGTGGGTCGAATAGCTTGAAGAACGAAAATAAAGAAAGGGACAATATCAGTAATTTTCCATCTTACCGTTTTATATCTATACAAATACACATATATTGTTTTCTGTCATATTACAATTATCAAAACTTACAATAGATGTTCGTTTTATCCTTCAGGATGTTCCAGTCGAATTTGAGTTTTTGCGAATTTGCGAGGACATCAAGATGAAACGACCAAACTTCAAGGTGACACACGGCCCCATACTGAGGTCTGGTAACACGATGGAGGACTTAGGTAAACCAGCCATTGACCCCTTCAAGCGGAAGGACCCCGTCATGGTGCTACAAGATCACATCGTCGTCAACGACATGAGGCTTCTAGACATCTTAAAGAGACACGATCCTGACGAGACCCTGCAGGTCACCCCGGAACAGTTCATGGCCGCACTGGACGTATGTTTACAACTATGGACACTAACATTATATAGACAATTATTAGATCTAAACACACATGATAACTCTACACCAACACGCCATATACAACACATACATAAATAGTTTATAATAGAGAAGCTGTGAATAATGATCAACAAAGTTACTTCTAGTTTGAAAACTGGTTCTTTATTAAATATATGTGACATGCATTTCCAGAACTTTTTTATCTGAAGTTTTTGTTGTATAAATCAGATGACCTATCGATAATTCCAATAATGTGATTATAACATTAAGTTACAACATTGTACCTATATTACAGGAACTGGCCGTACCATACGACAAGCCGAAAGTAAACGAGGCTATTGAACGCATAGCTAAGGAACAAAATGGACGCATATACTTTGGGTGAGTTTATCACTGTAATACACTCGGCGAGAAAAAGTGGCGGTATCTTGGAATCGTTTTTTTAATCCTTGCAGTAAAATAACTTTGTCTATAAAAATGAAATAAACTTATCCTCTTTTTATTTTCAGTGACTTCATCAAACAATTCGAACAAGCCAATGATGTTGTTAAAGAAGGCAACGAAGTCACGTGATTGTAGATGCGCGTGACGAAGAACCGCCTATACGGCCGTATACATCGGTTTGTTCGTACAAAATGTGGAACAGAATTGATTGTCGTGTATGGTAGACTTGCTTGTGTCTTTACATCACTACTCAATTACTTTTTACAAATAACGATGAAATGGGCTAGTTTTATTAGTCCAGTTGTTCTATAGATAAACGCAAAATATTTCGGCATAATGATTGACATGTACTTTGTTAAAGTATAATCTGCTCTTCTTTCTCATGATCAGGGTAACATTGACGCCGCATGTCGGTGTTGTGTGGACACTACATCTGTACAGCCAGGTGGTATATTATCTGTGTTTCCTGCTGGGAAAATACAGAAACTGGCGCTCAACGCAGTGATGTCATAACCCTTACTTCTTTTTGTCTCGTAAGACAGGAAACGTTGGACCTCGACACAATATATGTGTTGGGACGTATCTTTATATGGAAGGTATTTCGGATACTTTGTTATCATTATTGTTCATGATGTGTAAAGTCTATGCTAGTGACGGTCCTGGAAGCCAAAATCAAGACAATACAATGAGATCATGGTACCGTAACTTTACAGCTTAATGTCGCTATTTCCTTAACTACTTCGCGATGTGTACCTGTTTTACATGTATGTACAGTGTACATGTGTCGTATGTGTATTCATTTTCATGTGTGTTTGTATTCCGTATTTATTACTATTTGTAAAATGGAAAACGGTATTTTGATATCAAAGTTTATAATATTGAATTTTGATTGATTTATCTATAAACACATTATTTCTATAAGTTACGTGTTTGTTTTTTATTATGTTCTAGAATGTATCATCTCGATCGCAAAATGATATACTTACGTCATCTAGAATTTCAAGACGATAGATATTTCTACAGTGATCAACATATAATATACTATTTCAACAACATAGTCGTCTTCAAACAACTCGAGCATCAAGTTCATTTACCCATTTAAATCTAACAACCGAGAGGTCGTGATGGAACAACATCTAAAAGTTGTTTTTATTTCGACAATATAAATTATGACAACTCCAATATCCAGGAACATGTGCACATGACAGTTCTTAATATAGTTACATGATTATAACTGTCTATTGGTCCATTATCTGTAATTCGGGAGGAACTGGTATGTGTTTACTGTATCAGGTACAAGAGAAAATCTTACAGGATACTGAAATAACATAATATAAATACCGTAGAATTTGTCTGTTTTTTATTCTCAATATATGAAAGTCTATCAATGGATTTAGTTTAATAGTGTTACAATGGCTGTTTAAGCAAGTGTCCTGAGCAAGAAGATTATTTAATGTTTAAATCGACGAGACGAGGACGATACATGAACAAAAGATATATCTATTAAAGAAGCACTAGAAACGGGTAAAAGGAGAATAAGACCACATGTTCCTGAATGGTAAGCGTTTTCTGCTTTATGAACAACTCCCATCACGTAAATATATGTCAATCCATGTAAAACCACGTTCCTTAAAGACAACTGGGTTAATAACGAAATCACCTGTCTAACATCATATCGTATCAGAGAATAGAATCCACGATAGCTTCCATCAAACACATACACATTCCGAGAGTCTTCATCCATCTCCATCTCTAGAAACTTTGTGGATCAGGAAAATATTCCCAGATTAAGTCTTTAGGGTCCATGTCACGGACTCTCTAAGTCCGTGTTAGTGTCAATTAATGGCGGATACAAACGGTCGTTAGGAAACAACACCAAACAAAAAGGACTGGGATGTCACACCTGGAAAGGCAGGTGTTGTGGTACAGACTAATCGCTTCAAGATAGTCTAGATTTTTTTTATATGTTTACTGTCTCTTAACGTGATAATCTTTTTATCAAATCAATCTCGGTATGTAAAGACCATAAACTGAGTAATTGTAAACTGGATCACAAAGAAAGTTATTTTTCACCAAACAAAATAGTTACAAAATTTAAAAATCTAACTGGAATTTCAATACAAGGCAATATAAATGGTGGGATGAATTAAATGCGATTTGGTTTCACCAGATTTTATATACCTCATTTCCAAAAAGACGTACCGACAGAGTTTCATATCAAAGTTTCAAAAGAGTGGTACATGGATATCAGTACTACATCTATTAAGTATTTTAATGGTGAAAAGTTTCTTACTGTTTTGAGTATACGGTTGGAACTTTCTTCCTTAATAACCACAAGCAAAAGTTTCTAGAAAGGCTTAAAATACTCTTAATTAGTGTAGAGAAGGTCCGAGTCCACCATTGTTCCTAACCTGACTTGGTATATTTTATAAATAAAAATACTTGTTAATAGAAGTTTCATGAATCTGGATATTTCATGCATCTGATGTTTGTCTTGGTTAGATATGGAAGATTTCTATTGAGCATTTCCCTCTAAATCACTTGTGTATGACTACAACAACATGGTAATTTCTCTCGGTGATAATGTGACAAAAAAACCAAGGAAACTGTGTCTTAACTTTGAGAAAATAGTATGCAGATTATAGTTCCTGTCGGTATAAGGCAGTTTTTCCTCGTTTTAGGGTTTCGTTCAATATGACAGGGGAAGCAACTCTTCTAATTTTGATATCGATGTTCCACTTTTGTCACTTCTACCATAGTGGTCACCTTCAACATGTTGAAGCTAACAATTTCATGATATTTGAATAAAATGATAAACATGACTGTTTAAGTTGATAATAAGACTTCACTTTCCCAAGGTTATTGGAAATCTCTTCTAGGTCTAGCATTGCCATAAATACATCCTCACTTCGCTGTATGCATGTTTGTATTACTTTGATAAAATTAGAGTATATTGGTTCGTGTCGGTACAACCCACGTTTTCCCGGTTGGGGAAAGCTCGGTAATTAAGGTATAGCACGAGTTTTCCACACCTTATGAGAAGGTTGAGGGAGGGATCGGGAACGGGAGACCAACCTGTATGATAAAGGCACACGCATCAGAGTATATAAAAAAGCAACTGTGTAAGGCTCAACGTCCATTGTGTTTCAGAGAAATTGGTTGAAAAGCGGGAGAGATTAAGATTGTAGTAAATGTGCAGTAACTCTCCCAAAACAATCGAATCTCTCACTGATGAAAGACCTACAGAGGTTTGGAAGGGGTCGGTTGAAAACTGTTAGTAGAGATCTCCAGACAAATAAACATTGTCTAAAAAGAAAGAAGACCTATCAAATTAATTTTTTAAAATGTTTGATTTTTAGCACAAAGAATCCAACGTTTTAAATTCCCGTGTATTTCCAAATAGACAACAGTCTGCATTGTGTAGTCAGTATCGTATGGTTCCAACGTCCATGTTGCTTTCTTAGATAGTAACAAAGCGTTCGACACTGTGTGGCACGCTGGACTATTGTACAAAATTTATGGAAACACAACTCAAGTCATTGTAATCATACCCACATAAGTTTGTAAAATGAAATCGGCTGAAAACTGTGGGAGGAGATATCTGAACAAATAAAAGTTCACTATGGGCTGCCGCTAAACGCCATGCTACACAAATTTAGGTGGCACTACATATTATTACAAAGAATCGTCTAATCGTGCTGTACCGCAGCTGATTCTTGAGTGTGGTGTGGACAACGTACGAGATGGTAATAAAACCAAAGGACTTTTCGGGTCAAAAAAATACGCTCACTGTACTACAACCGAAAACTTTTTGACGCGACGATGATAAGATTAAAGTAAAAACATGTCAAATTGATAATTAGGTGTGTATATTCAATTCTAGGAGAGACCACGCTTTGTTTTAAACTTGATCATAGTTGTGCAGGAGTCAATGGGGCCCTCGCCCCTGTATTTGGTACTTGTCCACTACGCTTGAAATCGTTGTTTCGCAATGTACACAAAACTATACTACAGCCGAAAAGTCTTGTGATTTCATTATCATGATGTAATATTGTTGTGATAATTCATTAGTTTATTTTACTACAACATAGTGCATTCCCAGCTAATAACTCGCCAACAAACACGCTAACTTTCTAATTGCTTATAATAGAAATATTAACAGTTTCAAATCAAAACTTTGCTTATGACACATTTTCTTGTAGATCAATCCATTTTACATTTTGAAAGATACTGATTCCTAACATTCTGATCATTGTTCAAACGCGCCTGTATAATGTCAGAGTCAATTGAATGCTTTGGTCAGAAGTTCTTATAGTACAAGCGTTCCCGTTACAGTGAAGTATTATTAAATACCATCAGGCCTTTTTTTGTTTTTTTTACGAGATACAACGATTAATGATTAGTAACATTACGTTAGATTTATCTTTTATATGAAAATGAATATAAATATTTTATCTTACTTGTAATGCAAAATAAATAAAATATGAACAAACTGCAAACTCACCTGAAATACTCATGCTTTTAACTGTATGAATTTCTTGTTGCTCAATGTTGTTTCGGTATAACCTTACGGTTATTATGATATCAAACAGGAACTACACACAAACAAGATGGTAAGCGTAGAAAACTGAGGAATAAATAAGATTATGATTGTCACGTGTATTTTGTACAAAGGGATTATTTTTCCATTCGATTGAAATTAATATCTCAACACGCTATCATTAAATAATTCTGGTCATGGTTGATACGCTGGCCGATCAGTAGGTTTGAAGATTTGACAATATGCTATCCATGATTTGATAACTAACACGTGCGTATCACCAGATCAGCACTTTCACAACTGCAGCAGCGCATGCTCTCAGCAAACGTCTTACTTGATATTTCGCTCGATTGACTGATATTCGCAAGTTAAGGAGTTGATTAGGACTGCAGTGTTGTCCATATTCCCTGCCCACCTCTCCGCAGCCCCCCCCCCCCCTCCCCTCCTCTCTTTCCCGGCCTTCCCATCGGTAAAATTTAAGATTGTGAACTGATTTTAAAGGGCTAGCCTCTTTTACAAAGACAATACATTATTGATGTCTTCAAAGCTGTATTTTGCTAAGAGTAAAGAAAGTCAAAATTGTGTTCTTATTCAAATGGTTGATCATGTTTTGAAATATCTAATTCAATCACAAAGTGAACCTGTAGAATAATGCACATGCTAAAGTACTGGTGTTTTCCATAAAAGTATATGTAGCATATGTATTCTGACAAATGACAGTGGAGTTGCAGGATGAAAAAGTATTCTCTCTACCTTTGGGTGTTTCATCTTACTAACTTTAGAGAGTCATTTCATAAGCTATGGTAGGATGAATTTCTTGAATCTGGTTATCTGGCTGAACTCAATCTGTATAATCCTTTCTAGAATTGTTTTTATGCTAATAGAGGTAAGTATGTATCCCTTTCTTAGTTCATGTGTAGTGTTTTGTTTAAGTACACAGGATTATTATTTTTTCTTTCAGGCCAAAGTGAAAACACATCAAAAGCTTGCTGCAGTGAAGAAACGCCTTAATTTAAAAGACCAGAGGATGTGAGTTATTACAGTATATGTCTGCTCCCTGTGTAAGGGAGTCTGCAGGAAATAAGTGACAAGTTTAATTTTCATTGAAAATATTTCCTTGTTATAAAAAATTAATCCTCACACTTGAATACAAAGAACTGCTGTTGTGTATGTCCAGATGTGTTTATCGGATGTATTTATTTTGTCACATTTTTTCTTTTAATGATTAATATCTGTTTGTTGTAGACGAAAGAAAGACAGATTGAGTAAAAAGCGAAAGAAAAAGGATCCCCAAAACATGTCCGTGAGGGAACTGTAAGTCAAGATATTTAATAATAAATGTACAAACATGTCTGTGAGGGAACTGTAAGTCAAGATATTTAATAATAAATGTACAAACATGTCCGTGAGGGAACTGTAAGTCAAGATATTTAATAATAAATGTACAAACATGTCCGTGAATGAACTGTAAGTCAAGATATTTAATAATAAATGTACAAACATGTCTGTGAAGGAACTGTAAGTCAAGATATTTAATAATAAATGAACAAACATGTCCGTGAAGGAACTGTAAGTCAAGATATTTAATAATAAATGTACAAACATGTCTGTGAGGGAACTGTAAGTCAAGATATTTAATAATAAATGTACAAACATGTCTGTGAGTGAACTGTAAGTCAAGATATTTAATAATAAATGTACAAACATGTCTGTGAGGGAACTGTAAGTCAAGATATTTAATAATAAATGTGATTTTTATCTTTATTATCTTCATTGTAAAAATTTGTGATGTATTTTTAGACATAAGTCATTTAGAGATATTTTAGCTTAAATAAAATCTTTGCCTTTGTGTTTTAAATAGATGTATTTGCTAGTCCGTGTAGATCCTAATGGAAGCAAAAGCATTATGCTTATTTTTCACCGAGAATATATTTATATTTATCCTTACAGACCCCAGGCTTCATCTGCCCTGTTCTTCAAATATAACACACAGCTGGGTCCTCCTTATCACATCCTCGTTGACACCAACTTCATCAATTTCTCCATCAAGAACAAGCTGGATATTGTTCAGTCCATGATGGACTGTCTGTATGCCAAATGTAAGTATCAATATGCAATTGCAATTATCAATGTCAGCATACATGTATTTCTTGATTATTGACTTAATATATTTTTAGTTATCAAATATTTTGAAATTGTGTTTATAATTACTGTTGACAGGTATTCCCTACATTACTGACTGTGTGATGGCAGAGTTGGAGAAGCTTGGCAGTAAATACAGAGTCGCACTAAGGTAGGTTAAAAATTATGGGATCAAAATTATTGATAAACCAGTTGCCACTTTACACCAAAGCCTTGTGGTGATGGTAAACTTCAAACAAGCCGGAGTACCTTTTTATCATACAATTAATAAGATAGGTTGCACATTGTTTACACTTTACGAATGATAATGATATGAGTTAGTGTTCGGTCACTCCTGTTTTAATTTTTATACGCTGCCAGAGGCGGTCGTATATTGGCGTCATCTTCTCCATCTGTCCATCTGTACGTCCGTTTGTCCATTTCTTGTGAACGCCACTCCTCCTTAGCTAATCATCAGATTTTCATGAAACTTGCTCAATGTCACTACTACAATGGGTAGATGTGCATGAAGGGGCAATAATTTGGTTCGTGATTTTTGTAAGATTTATGCCATTTTCAACTTTGTATCTGTAGCTTGCTCATAGTGGAGCCTTGTGAACGCAACTCCTCTTAAAATAATCATCATATTTTCATAAAACTTGCTCAATGTCACTAATACAATGGTTCAATGTGCATGAAGGGGCAATTTTTCAGTTGGACTACATAAAAAGTCAGCTCGGCTGGTTAGCAGAGTAAGACTTTAAACTCTGAACTCTGTGGATAAACTGTTTTGCTCAAGGCAACACCCGGCTGCCCCTGCAGGGATCGAAACTACTACCCAGGCAACCATGAGCTCAGGCCCCTGTCTCTTCCAGCTAAGCTTACTGGTCTCACAGACTTCATTTTGAGCTTATGTATACAGACATTAAAAGCGATAATTAAAAGGACCAATCTTGATCTCTGTATTTTGTGGGGGCGTATATTGTGTTTGATGTTGTTAATAAAATGGTTATGCAAACTTATCATAATTAACAGAAAGTACACAATTATTAACAGATTTTTAAATGATATTATGTTTTTCATCAGTTATGAAAAATGAATATCTAACCATTTAGTCCCTTTAAGAAAACACTTTAGGATTTATTTCAAGTAAAGTCATGATTTATATCATTATCAGTGTATTGTTAGCTTACTATCACCAGAAGGTTGACCGATCAAATCAGCTGATATGCTAATTCTTGAAGTTTTTGATGGAGCTTTCATAAAATGTCATATGAAGGTTTCCATTTCAAATCTGATAAAAACAATACAAAATATTTGACATTTGGCTGTCATGGATTTTGGCTATGAAAGTTTGTTATCACTATTTTCTTAAGAAGTACTAGATAGATCTTTCTCAAATTTCACATGTAGATTCTCCTTGAGCCCTAGTCCAAAGGGTTCTGTCTATCTATCCAAGATTTTATTATTATCTTGGTCACTGTTGAAAGTTATCCAAAATGTTCAGATTGTTTATCTGTGATTTTGTTTTTGTCTTGGTGGTGGTCAAAAGTCTGATGACCGTGACAAAAACGGGCAACCATCTTTGATTTGTCAGTTTTATATCAAAATTGCTATTTCTTTAAACAAATTCTCAAATTTCATATAATTTTGAGCAAAGAAAAGAATAAAACGAGAAAAGTTGGGAAAGATTCAACATTCAAAGAACAAGTGTAGATCAGGTTTTGACAGAATCAGATGGTCTTGAGCAACCATGTATTTTTCAGTCTTCCCATACGTATTATTTATTTCAATGATTCTCAAGGAAGGACTATTTAGGCATTTTGTTACGATGATACATTAATTTAGAACTCTACTTTGAGGCAACATTGCAATATCAACATTAAATGTGTTTAGACCTTTTTATGCATTTGAAGCTAGACTTGATAATTCTGTTACCACCATAAATCTGAGATGACCTTGTCTTGACAAAACTGTGTTCAACACACCTGTGATTATCCCTTAATCCCAAGATACTCTTGTGATCTGGCTTAGAGCTTGACTACCACTAAATACAATGTAGCTGGGGTAAATAGTGTCGGTTGACATTATGTATATATCTAGTAAGAATTATAGTTGTACACTGAGAAGATGAATATCAAATTTTCTAGAGTTATAGCCTTAGAAAATTTCAAGAAATGATCAGTTTCTGCTGGTTTTTCTCTGAGCAGAATGGTAATATTATACTGAATTAATTTTCATAGAACTGAATATGGATAATGAAATGAAATTATGGTTGTCAAGTTCATAATTTGCTCCTGTCAAACCATGTTTTCCAAAGTTGTAAAATTTCAAGAAACTCACTTTTCATTCATATTCTCATGCAGTTCTTATCGGGGATATTGAACTGAAATTTATAATTGTTTACACCAAGTCAGATATTAATTAAATTCGTTCATCAGCCTTAGTCAACCAATACCTGAATAGTCATGAGAATACCTCTTAGAAAGTCAGTAGCACTGAAAGAATAAATACATTGTTTACTGAAGGTGTGGGTAATCAAATTGTACACAGCTGGTTAAGGTTTCATATAGACAAGTTTCCTAATGACTGAAATATTAATTTCTGTGGATAACTATACTCATTTTACTACAAAATAAGGAACTAAAGTAGCTCTGGGAGGATTTCTTTAAATATTTTACTTCATTATACAATACCTAACTGTGACAGTTTTCACCACACAGTACATATCAAATCATTAGGAATATGTACAGTTATATCCTCCCTTCAATATTTATATCTAATCTGTAATAAGCTGAAAGACAAGAATAGTAAGTGAATTAATAGGAAAATGCAATATGCCAAAGACCCTTTAACTATCTTGGAAGGTTATACATAACATTATACTTACACTGTATTCTGGATTTTACAGGATTGCCAAAGACGAGAGATTTCAGAGACTGCCATGTCTACACAAAGGAACTTATGCTGATGACTGTCTTGTACAGAGGATAACACAGGTAAGTTGTCCTTAAGCCAGAGATGAAATTTTACCTATAAGCTTCCTCCCTAGTAGTAGTCCCTAGTTCAATTTACATGGGTATATTTCAGGAATGATTAGGATTAGTCGCAATTAGCTCCCCACCAAAACTTTTAAAAAAGACAGTGTTGAATATTATTGGTTGTTCTACTGGTTAAGAGTCATTTAAGGAAAAGGAGACTTACAAAGGAAACATATGTGTTAGTATTATACTTTATATCTGGATCATTGTGTTAACCATGTAGGTATGGTCAGTCAGATTTGTATTGTGTTAACCATGTAGGTATGGTCAGTCAGATATGTATTGTGTTAACCATGTAGGTATGGTCAGTCAGATATGTATTGTGTTAACCATGTAGGTATGGTCAGTCAGATATGTATTGTGTTAACCATGTAGGTATGGTCAGTCAGATATGTATTGTGTTAACCATGTAGGTATGGACAGTCAGATTTGTATTGTGTTAACCATGTAGGTATGGTCAGTCAGATATGTATTGTGTTAACCATGTAGGTATGGTCAGTCAGATATGTATTGTGTTAACCATGTAGGTATGGTCAGTCAGATATGTATTGTGTTAACCATGTAGGTATGGTCAGTCAGATATGTATTGTGTTAACCATGTAGGTATGGTCAGTCAGATATGTATTGTGTTAACCATGTAGGTATGGTCAGTCAGATTTGTATTGTGTTAACCATGTAGGTATGGTCAGTCAGATTTGTATTGTGTTAACCATGTAGATATGGTCAGTCAGATATGTATTGTGTTAACCATGTAGGTATGGTCAGTCAGATTAGTATTGTGTTAACCATGTAGGTATGGTCAGTCAGATTTGTATTGTGTTAACCATGTAGGTATGGACAGTCAGATTTGTATTGTGTTAACCATGTAGGTATGGTCAGTCAGATTTGTATTGTGTTAACCATGTAGGTATGGTCAGTCAGATATGTATTGTGTTAACCATGTAGGTATGGACAGTCAGATTTGTATTGTGTTAACCATGTAGGTATGGTCAGTCAGATTAGTATTGTGTTAATTGTTCAGGTATGGACAGTCAGATTCCAGCACCTCTCTGGAAGAAGACATTTTCTTACAAGAAAAAACATGTTTCCAGTTTTGAAGTTACAGACAAGTAGTCTTAAGGATGTCAGTCATATGTCGGAACCAAACATATTGTGATAAACATTTCTGTATCACACTGTCTATATTGTTGACAATGTAATACCATGGTAACAATATCCATTACTATATTATGAAATTGAGAAGGAAAGAATCACAGACGGAATTATGTGTTTCAAAAACCAAATAACAAATCACCACAGGGTTTGTGGTATCATTAGAGTTAAGTTTGGTGAATACTTGATGTTTGGTTTCATACAAATTCTGGGAAATAAAATACCACCCTGCCTTGTTTTTTTATAATCATTTGGAAAACTTTTACTGGCTGTCAACATACTAATGACTGATTTTCTAGTACTGTATAACTTCTGTTTTTTTTACTTAAATGGTGTCACTTTATTTAGGAAATCTCCAAAAAGTCAAGAACTTATGTAGCAATTTTCATGTTTTTCAGCATAAGTGTTATATCATAGCAACATGTGATAAAGATCTTAAAAGAAGGATACGAAAGATTCCTGGTGTACCCATCATGTACCTACAGCAGCGCAGGTAAGGAAATGTCCCTATTATGTTCTAACAGGCAGGTAAGGAAGTGTCCCTATTATGTTCTAACAGGCAGGTAAGGAAGTGTCCCTATTATGTTCTAACAGGCAGGTAAGGAAGTGTCCCTATTATGTTCTAACAGAGGCAGGTAAGGAAGTGTCCCTATTATGTTCTTACTGAGGCAGGTAAGGAAGTGTCCCTATTATGTTCTAACAGAGGCAGGTAAGGAAGTGTCCCTATTATGTTCAAACTGGTAGGTAAGGAAGTGTCCCTATTATGTTCTTACTGAGGCAGGTAAGGAAGTGTCCCTATTATGTTCTTACTGAGGCAGGTAAGGAAGTGTCCCTATTATGTTCTAACAGAGGCAGGTAAGGAAGTGTCCCTATTATGTTCTTACTGAGGCAGGTAAGGAAGTGTCCCTATTATGTTCTAACTGAGGCAGGTAAGGAAGTGTCCCTATTATGTTCTTACTGAGGCAGGTAAGGAAGTGTCCCTATTATGTTCTTACTGAGGCAGGTAAGGAAGTGTCCCTATTATGTTCTTACTGAGGCAGGTAAGGAAGTGTCCCTATTATGTTCTAACTGAGGCAGGTAAGGAAGTGTCCCTATTATGTTCTAACAGAGGCAGGTAAGGAAGTGTCCCTATTATGTTCTAACTGAGGCAGGTAAGGAAGTGTCCCTATTATGTTCTTACTGAGGCAGGTAAGGAAGTGTCCCTATTATGTTCTTACTGAGGCAGGTAAGGAAGTGTCCCTATTATGTTCTAACTGAGGCAGGTAAGGAAGTGTCCCTATTATGTTCTAACTGAGGCAGGTAAGGAAGTGTCCCTATTATGTTGTTACTGAGGCAGGTAAGGAAGTGTCCCTATTATGTTCTAACTGAGGCAGGTAAGGAAGTGTCCCTATTATGTTCTTACTGAGGCAGGTAAGGAAGTGTCAGTTCTAACTGAGGCAGGTAAGGAATTATGTTCTAACTGAGGCAGGTAAGGAAGTGTCCCTATTATGTTCTTACTGAGGCAGGTAAGGAAGTGTCCCTATTATGTTCAAACTGGTAGGTAAGGAAGTGTCCCTATTATGTTCTAACTGAGGCAGGTAAGGAAGTGTCCCTATTATGTTCTTACTGAGGCAGGTAAGGAAGTGTCCCTATTATGTTCTAACAGGTAGGTAAGGAAGTGTCCCTATTATGTTCTAACAGAGGCAGGTAAGGAAGTGTCCCTATTATGTTCTTACTGAGGCAGGTAAGGAAGTGTCCCTATTATGTTCTAACTGAGGCAGGTAAGGAAGTGTCCCTATTATGTTCTAACTGAGGCAGGTAAGGAAGTGTCCCTATTATGTTCTTACTGAGGCAGGTAAGGAAGTGTCCCTATTATGTTCTAACTGAGGCAGGTAAGGAAGTGTCCCTATTATGTTCTTACTGAGGCAGGTAAGGAAGTGTCCCTATTATGTTCTAACTGAGGCAGGTAAGGAAGTGTCCCTATTATGTTCTTACTGAGGCAGGTAAGGAAGTGTCCCTATTATGTTCTAACAGGCAGGTAAGGGAGTGTCCCTATTATGTTCTTACTGAGGCAGGTAAGGAAGTGTCCCTATTATGTTCTTACTGAGGCAGGTAAGGAAGTGTCCCTATTATGTTCTAACTGAGGCAGGTAAGGAAGTGTCCCTATTATGTTGTTACTGAGGCAGGTAAGGAAGTGTCCCTATTATGTTCTAACTGGTAGGTAAGGAAGTGTCCCTATTATGTTCTTACTGAGGCAGGTAAGGAAGTGTCCCTATTATGTTCTTACTGAGGCAGGTAAGGAAGTGTCCCTATTATGTTCTAACTGAGGCAGGTAAGGAAGTGTCCCTATTATGTTCTTACTGAGGCAGGTAAGGAAGTGTCCCTATTATGTTCTTACTGAGGCAGGTAAGGAAGTGTCCCTATTATGTTCTTACTGAGGCAGGTAAGGAAGTGTCCCTATTATGTTCTTACTGAGGCAGGTAAGGAAGTGTCCCTATTATGTTCTTACTGAGGCAGGTAAGGAAGTGTCCCTATTATGTTCTGAGGCAGGTAAGGAAGTGTCTGAGGCAGGTAAGGAAGTGTCAGGTTCTTACTGAGGCAGGTAAGGAAGTGTCCCTATTATGTTGTTACTGAGGCAGGTAAGGAAGTGTCCCTATTATGTTCTTACTGAGGCAGGTAAGGAAGTGTCCCTATTATGTTCTTACTGAGGCAGGTAAGGAAGTGTCCCTATTATGTTCTTACTGAGGCAGGTAAGGAAGTGTCCCTATCTTACTGAGGCAGGTAAGGAAGTGTCCCTATTATGTTCTAACTGAGGCAGGTAAGGAAGTGTCCCTATTATGTTCTTACTGAGGCAGGTAAGGAAGTGTCCCTATTATGTTCTTACTGAGGCAGGTAAGGAAGTGTCCCTATTATGTTCTTACTGAGGTAGGTAAGGAAGTGTCCCTATTATGTTCTTACTGAGGCAGGTAAGGAAGTGTCCCTATTATGTTCTTACTGAGGCAGGTAAGGAAGTATCCCTATTATGTTCTAACAGGCAGGTAAGGAAGTGTCCCTATTATGTTCTTACTGAGGCAGGTAAGGAAGTGTCCCTATTATGTTCTTACTGAGGCAGGTAAGGAAGTGTCCCTATTATGTTCAAACTGGTAGGTAAGGAAGTGTCCCTATTATGTTCTAACTGAGGCAGGTAAGGAAGTGTCCCTATTATGTTCTAACTGAGGCTGGTAAGGAAGTGTCCCTATTATGATCTAACCAGTGCAGGCAAGGAAGTGTCCCTATTTTGTTCTATTATGTTGGAAAGTAGAAAAAATCTTTAAAATTTGTCTTCTACTGTGGGAATGTTTTGATTTTGCCAAAATTTGGTCTAAATCATGTTTGGGTGGAGGGAAATCAGTTGTGTGAAAACAATAGGTTTCGGTCCCTTGGAGCAGGAAAGGCAGGACCTAACAGGGGAAATAGAATAATTCTTTTAAAACTCTTCATCTGTAGGAATGCCTGAATTCTGTCTCAGTTTTGTTTGAAGCATCTTCTAATGAAGGATAATTAATTTTCCACAAACAGTATATTTATTGATACAAGTCTTTGAATACTTGACCTGTACTTTAAATGAAGCAATTGTGCAGACTTAGCCAGATGAGCAATACAGACCCTATGGGCCTCTTCTTATAATGACTTTATCATTTTAGCAAATTTCCTATATCTTTTTCTTCAATTTACTTAAATAACATCAAAAGATATGTATTTCTAAAATTCTAATATTGACTTTTACATTTCAGGTACTCCATAGAAAGAATGCCCGATGCTTTTGGAGCCCCAAAGACATGATACTTTTCATTTATTTTGAAATCAATAAAAACAAGAAAAAACTTGTCATTGTGTGGTTTATATCATTTGTCTCCAAGCTGTGATAATGTTATTTAGTACAATTTGTCTGTTGGTTCATGGTGACATGGTGCTATTCTATTCCTTATCCAACAGATTTTGGTTTTCTTTATACAAATCATGACACGTTAAAGTCAGCCCATTTGGGCGGTAACTTTTCCCCTGACCCGTTTTAAGGATCACATTTTAAGTGTGTTAAAACTGCTTTGGATGAATGCTCGCTCATTGAATAGGGACAAGACTAAACAATGGTTCACCTTTCATCATTCTTATTAAATAGGGACAAAACTGAACAGTGCTACACTTTTTATCATTCATATTGAATAGGGACAAAACTAAACAGTTGTGAAACCTTACATCATTCATATTGATTAGAGATAAAACTTCACCTTTCGTCATTCATATTGAAGAGAGAAAAAACTAAACAGTTGTGAAACCTTTCATCATTCATATTGATTAGAGGCAAAACTTCACCTTTCGTCATTCATATAGAATAAGGACAACAGTAAACAGTGCAGCACCTTTCACCATTCATATAGAATAGGGACAAAACTAAACAGTGCTGCACCTGTTGTCATTCATATAGAATAGGGACAAAACTAAACAGTGCTGCACCTGTCGTCATTCATATTGAATAGGGACAACAGTAAACAGTGATGAAACATTTCATCATTTATATTTAAGAGAGACAAAACTAAACAGTTCTATATAGTTATTTGAAATCTACAATTATTCATGCCAGAGTTGTATATTGTTGTTTACATACGAAGCAATTGCATAATACTATGATCTTTGAAAATTAGGGAATAAAAATGTTAAATTCTATGAAAAAGAGCTTCACTCATGCCAGTTTATTCAAATAGTGGCACAATTCAATATATACACATGTATTTTGTTGTTTTTCTGATGTACATTTCATATGAAAATTAAGAAATTGATTCATTTATAGGTGGTGTGCTCCTCTCTGTCTACATTTTTACCTTTCTTTCAGTCACTCGATTTTGGCTTCAAAATCGAGGTCCTTAGCATCACTGACGAGTCCTATAAGGACGAACAGCTGTTTGACGCAGTTTTATTCATGCTTGGTGTTACTGTATTTTACTCTAAAGTTGTATTAAAAGGCGCTATTCAATTGTATGTCTTTTGTACAATCTTCGGTTTAGTTATATGTACAGCTTTCTATTCAATGTTTATATAACAGCCGATATCCTAAGTGATGTTGACATACGTGTTTCCATTTTTGTGGGAACATAAAATATGGAAACCGTTTACCTTCGTCTGGACACCAGCTTTGGTATAGCAAAGTTTATTGAAGCTGACAAAATCCTGTGTGGACATTTGGATCAATAATCCTTTGTGATTAGGCGACACCTGTTACTCGGTCACAGATTTTCAAAAGATATACATGTTTGTAGCAATTTTGTGTGGAATCCAAATGAATATTCATGAATGTTCTTCATAAATCGCGGATATTTTCCTAATTGATGGAAAGCCATGACAATCAATAGAGAGTGTTGAATTGATTCACATGTTCCTGTTTGGAACTCCACCCGCTATTTCAAGAGACATAGAAGTAGTACATACAGACTGTTTTAGCTCTCGTGCCAGCCGGAAGGGCTACCTGAACTGATTTAGGTGGGTGTGATTGAGTATTATAGAAATATGACCTTGACCGTTGACCACTGCTATGATATCAAGGCTGTACAATATAAGTCTGTTTTGTAAGGCCGAAAGGGTCAAGAGATCTTGTCCTGTATGAAAGGGCAAGGTCATAGATTATTCATGTGTCATATTCTTGGAATAGTATAATAATGAATATTATATTAACATATAATAATATCAGTGATATATATAAAAGTAATATTGTATGACAATCTTCAATAAAATTTAATTTTTCAATATCGCAATTTTATAACCTTTAAAATCAACACCCCAAACGTGATGGCGCCATATATGTATGATAATTACTTTTTTGGGACATGAAAACTGCTATAATAACCTGAAATATTTTAATTAGTCAATAACAACTTCCAACAAAAAGTACTTTGATGAGTCTTTGTTGATTATACAAAGTGGCTGGGCTGTCGTCTGACAGCACTTCGACATAGGTTATGTACACTGGTTCGTTCTCTTAACATTTAGGGTCCTTGGGGCTGGACCCAAAAAGGGAAATTAGACAATATTTTGCTTCAAAATGTTACTAATCCTTAATATCTGAAAAGATTTCTTTCCAATTTTGTCTGACACATCATTAGGAGAGGACAATTCATTTTTGAATTCAGAAAGTTAATTTGATTGCTTGGGATTTAGACGCGGCGCTCCAAATGGGAAAGTCAGATAATGTTTTAGTCTAGAACGCTACTCCTCCATAATGCTTGAAAAGATTTCATTCAAATTTTTTATGGCGTGAAACTTACTTATTTACCATCAATAAATTGGATAAAACAATTTTCGGTGAAGTAGGATAGTAAAAATCAAAGAGTTACATCCAAAAGACTATTATTTTTTCATAAGTCGTCAAAGCTGCTTCCGTCAGTAATATGCATTTACACATGCGGGTTCCCTCGACTTCAAATGCAATTTCGAAACGCAGCTTCTAGACAGCTGAACCTAATCCAGCGTGATCAGATGAAACTTAAATAATATCTTCAAAAATTTGTACAGTCGTAGTCAGATGCCGAGAAAGTAAAAATAAAATTGAACCAAAATTGTTATCAACTTTTATACCTTCCATCATGATTTTTTCGCTAAAATGTCGATGGTTTCTATATTGGTGTCTATAGCACGGACGATATGTCTTGAGGACGATAGGTCGGACATGAGATCCCAGCTACTGACATTGAATTTTTAAAAAAATCAATACAGTTTTTAATAAACTAATTCTACCAGCGAGTGTCCATTGATTTTAGAATTATTCATATGCACTGCAGCGACTACTGGCCAAAACCTGGCCTCTTTATTCGGGTAATAATCATGAGTTACATGGTAGTACAGAGCCCTAATTGATAGTGTTGGAGACATGGTGTAATTTGATTTCAACGTTCAATGTATCCTCGAGATTCTATAAGGTCACGTATAATTAAGTAAGCAGTAATCCTGCCATTGAATTAATCTTTTGTTTTGTCTTCTCTCGTACATCGTGTACAACGTAAAACAGCCATTCTGCATGGCTTAAGTGTAAACACCTGGGGCTGCAAGATGAAGCGTAACGTTGCCTCATCGCTCCAAATTGGTTTTGTATCATTTCTGATATAGCGCACAGACCCTACCGATGTTTTTGGGATTACCTTATGTGGTTTGATACTGAAAGGTTCTTTCAAACGCTTGTACACAGTTTCGCAAGCCGGAGAAAATTATGACTATTAAAAACGATTTCCAATGTCATGAAATGGATTCAGGTTGCAGGCGTATCGCCTAGCGACAGGAATAGCCACGGCGCTAAAAAGACAACACCTTAAGATGGGAGTTGTCATGGAGATAAAAAGACAACGCCGAGCGATAGAAATAGTCCTGGAGATGCTTGAGATGAAAAGACAACGCCGAGCGATAGAAATAGTCATGGAGATGCTGGAGATAAAAAGACAACGCCGAGCGATAGAAATAGTCCTGGAGATGAAAAGACAACGCCGAGCACGCCGAGCGATAGAAATAGTCCTGGAGACGCTGGAGATGAAAAGACAACGCCGAGCGATAGAAATAGTCCTGGAGATGAAAAGACAACGCATAAAGATCTAGGAATAATCAGGGAGGTGAAATGGCAATGCCTGGCGATAGAAATAGTCATGAGATGAAAAGGCAGCGCCGTAATATAGGAATAGTCGTGAAGATGAAAAGACAACGTGTAGCATATACTTACTCACTGACTTACATACTTGCTTACCAAGGGTAATCGAAACCTGGTCATTTTGGTGACGGGCAAGGAAGGCGACTAATCCATCGTTTATTTATTTCACTTAAGTGTCACCTTTCAATACGTTAATTTAAAACAGATATCTGGGACTTACAATCATAAACTATATTAACATCAAGCTATTATAATGACAAATGAGACACTTTGAATCGTAAAATAAGTTCTATCATCCATACATATTAAATTTAAGATAGGATAGAAGAAACCAAATACATGAATTAAAATAAAAGATGTCCAATTACAAGATACATATACTAAGTACAGGTTAGTAAATCAAAACGCAATTTCACAAACATCCTCTTTCTTCGTTAAAGAAAATACACTGTCTTACCTAATTAAAACTGTTTTGTTGTTAAATAGTTTATATATTTTTCATCATTTTAAAACATCACAGACGTTCTCCATTTGATGGAAGAGACTTAATACCAGGTCGCTATACAGGGTGCAAACACACAAGAAGTGAATGTCAATGTTTCCAGAGTTCGTTTTAAAAAAAGACAAACCCGCTCGTGTAAAGGAATTGGGTAAACACCTAACCACCCATAGAATATCAAAAGTTGACAGTCAAACACTCCATTAAAAGCAAGTGGCTATATAAATTATACGTTCAAAAACAGGACAAAAATACAACAGTAATGTAGATTTAGTGGCCGAACATCAATGTACTTCTGGTAGGAATTTTATTTTCTGTGTGGAGAGAGTGCCTGTGTGTGCGTGTGAATGTTATTTAAAAATCTACAAGTATATCTCAGACTGTGGTCGTGGTAATTATTTATTGCCGACCAAAATGGCCCTGAGCAGGCAAATGCAGTAGTTGACATGTTAAATGATATTACATATGCTTGCATTCAAATTTGTGTCATTTACATGGCTATAAGTCCCGAAACAAGAGCAGAAATTCAAAGCTTATTTTCGACACATTCTGGTGTAATATGTGTAACTGAAATTGAATAAGACGAAAATAAGTTAAACATTACTGACAACTACAATTATCATAACATGATAACTCTATCAATGTTATGTTTCATTATGTCCGTTTCTATGAATTGTTGTAGACGGAAAGAGATTATATCATATTCGTCGTATGTGATATTTATCATTTCCTATTTCATTATCGACATGTTTTGACCTGACTTATTACGTCTGATCAGAGGAAAAAACCACTGATTTCACAACTAACTCAAACCGGAAGTCGAGATCTCGTGATGCCACGTTGGGCAATGACGTCATATGCAAAATATGCCCACCCATCACTGAGCAGTCGCAAAAATCGGAAGAAGGAAGCCATTTTGGTTCAAAGCCTACTACGATAGGGTGCTAATTTTTCTTCGTTTCATCGCATACAAGGGATTCTAATCGCTCTCACATACATTCTCGGTCACTATAGTATGTCCACAATGAATCCCGAGTAGTAAGTATGAGAAAATCATAGAAATCTTGCCAGGGAAAATTGATACGTCATCACGTACGATCGCCAATGGCGACTCTCAGTCATACTTTTCACCTCAGCTGTCAGAGTATCGCGCGTATATTCTACGCGTAACTCTCCTTTTCATGACATTTTATATCAAAGTATTATGATTTCCTTCTAAATGCATGTTCGAAATTTTCAGTTTTTCTGCTGTTTTCACCTAAATTACCGTACATGCTGCCATGTCTTGACGTGTTCATAACTTGTGACTTCAGCATGACCAGACACTCAAGTCGACGATTTCTGTGTATGAAAATAAGACGACTTTTCATTATATTTGGATTGTTTTTAGATATGAAGCCTAGATACTTTAATGATTATGATGTGGCCTTGATCAATACCTTGCACGTACCCTCTTGTCCGTCGATTGTTTGATATCATGAACGCGTCCATCAGACAGTTGACACCCCCCTAATTACGTTGTTGAATCAACGATTTTACAATAGTTTAATGAAATATAAGCGTTATAGGTCTTAGATACAGTCAAGAGTGTGTACCTCCACATAGATGGCATGGATACTAAAATTTAGTTACTTATTCAACAAATTATTTTTCCTGCTTCCCCTTAGGTTTTCTACCCATTACAAGCCTGACCTCCTCCCTAATATTACTCATGAATACATTTCACTTAATATCACACCTGTTGATGTAATTCTATTCAACAGGTGTTTTTTAGCACTTTTATCAAATATTCTCCAACCATCACAACACATAATGTCGGATATGTCAGCCAAATATATATATATATTCTGTGGTAGGTTTTCATTGTACATAAATATGGCTGCTTTTTAGCAGGCATGAATGGGAATTTCCCTTTAGCTTGATTAGCAGAGTTTTGGACTTCTGATGTTGCAAGTATAATCCATGACAGAGGCATACCACTCCTTTTCTATTACTTAAATGCAATAGACTACCCCATGTGCAAGCTGGGGGGACTTGAGATTGAGTCTTTGCTCGAGCTAGATAACCTTGGTTGACATAATAGCGGAGAGTTTTTATGGCAGGTTTTAATTGTGCAGTAGAACTTCTCTAAATCAATCCTATATGAGACATGACCATTTTGCAGGTTTAGTGGGGGTTCAGTTTGCAGATGTGAATGAATTAAAATTTGGTTAGCTTTGAGCAATTACACTGCTCATGTCCATTTTTATTGAGTATAAATAAATTGAAAGTAAAGCTAATGGTTCCTGTACACAATGTGTGACTTTACTCAGAAATAAATCTGCACTCTGCTGAAGTACATTTTTGACTTTGTCTACAGCCCACACTGTTCAGTGAAATGATGGATGGATTCTTTCAATATGATTTCGTCCTTTCATTGGTGATAATTGTGATAGTAAATTATCACCAATTGGGGTAGATATTGTGTAAAAATCCTAACTGAAAGATGTATGTGCCTGAGGCACAAAGCTCAATGTTGGAACTCTGATCTTGATTACTTGGCTAATGCAGGTTTTCAGAAGTTATTTTCCATATGCTTTTGAGCATTTCAGACAAAAAATCAATTATGTATTTGGAAATGAAAGAGGTCAGTAATGCAAAGTTTTCATTACTATAACAATGAGGATAATTCATACATCACCATTTCATTCAGTTTCAAGAGGTAATTGCATTTGGTTTTTAAGGAGGATCAGATGTGGTTGCCTTCTAGATTTGTGCATTTCGTTTTAGCTTGATCGGTAAAGCAGTAGGCTTTTAAGTCATTGATTATGACTGTAACAGAGGTCATTATGTATTTCAATGCCTGCGCCAGGAATCAAACCCGGAACCTCTGGCGTAATAGTCTGATGCTCAACCAATCGAGCTAAAGAGAAGTTCTCTTTAGCCGAGTGGTATATTGCGGCAAGTATTTTACCAGGGTTACAGGTTTGATTTCAGACAATGAAAATAGTGTCCTATTGTTAAAACAATTCAGGAGCTCTAGAAAACAATTAAAATATATATCCGAGGTTATGCAGGAAATATTTTGAGTCTGATAAGATCCAGATACTCAAAGTGGTTGCGAGTGGCCATTTTAGATTTGACTTGGAGTTTGAATGACAATGTATGAAGATTCTTTCTTGATTCTTTATGAATATGCTCGATATAGGTCCTAGTTGGTTTCATGGTAATCAAACATGCCCTTTACAATGACCAGCTGCATCAGCTACAAAAGGTAGAATTTAACAAGTGCTCAGTCAATATATAGGCTATATCGTATAACATGGCTCAATTTTACATTGCTCAGCTCTTCTTACTGGCCTGGAAATAAATAGCTGTCAATCTAAGTATGATTATTTTATTACCATCAATAAACAACTTTTTCTTCAAATTCTTTTCAATTAGTCTTTCTTTCTCATCCAAACAAAACCTTTGGTCTTAATGATCTTAACTATTGTCATATCTGATCAGTGTCATATTTATATATAAATTCTTTGGTTATATATATAGATTACTAGTCATTCAACTGCCATGTCATCAGAAATGATCAGACCAGGGTATTAAAGATTACTAGTCATTCAACTGCCATGTCATCAGAAATAATTAGACCAGGGTACCTGGAATACTAACATAAAATCGTCAATTGTTGTAATGTGATTCAACTATTTAATGTGATTAAGAAGAATGGGAATTTATCCTTCCTCCGAGTATTCATATTCTGACCACCTGTAAGTACATAACTTCAAGATGTTTTCTCTTTAAGTATGTTACATATGAACTTACAATTCTGCAATTAAGAGACATGTTAACCACTACATTTATTTATGAAAACATCAAATTTTGTGACTCAAATTATGGAGACTTGTCCTTTTTCTATGGGACCCTCCTGAAAAATTTTGAGAACCAACTTTGTCTCATAGTATATACATTTGGACCTATCAAAATTTTGGAATTTGTGTTCTGGACTTGCCTAAAAAAATCCTACAAAAATACTGATAAATAACAAAGTCCAAGGTAATAAACATTGTTATTTTGAATCTCTTGACACAGATGTTCACATGCTTTGGTTACATCCAGTTATTTAATGCAATTGATTTTGATGTTTAACTTTTGCATATAAAAAAGAAAACAGTCTTTTATAGTCTATACACATACTGATTATAACGTTTAAGTGACATTGATTTCTGAGTCTTGTTTCAGGAAAATTTAAGTGAAATGTCAATTTGTTTAATAAATCTATTTGTGTGATATTCACTATTTTAGAAACTGGTATCAAATAAAGTTGAAGAATAGGGTTAACCTCTTTTCCAAGTTAAGATATTCTTTTTGCCCTTAACATTGTTTACTTTACATAGCATTTGTGTAGATGACCTAGCTAGTAGATAAGTCCAACACTGTATAAGTATGTATGTAGTTTAATTTGTGTCAACTTCCATCTTTCCTAAAGTTCATTTTTTTGCTATTTTCAGTGACTACCTGTTTAAACTTTTGCTGATTGGAGATTCAGGTGTTGGAAAGTCCTGTCTACTTTTAAGATTTGCTGTATGTATACTATTGTACAGTTGTATGTACTATATAATACCAGTTAGTTTATGTCAATACAGATTTTGAATATGGTATGAATATTTACACAATTGTTCCTATCATTGAGTATGGTCACTTTTTTCAGAGTTATGATAGATCAATATTACTATTTCTGGTGAACTCAAATTGATATCTTGTCTGCAGCTAAATTTAAGTTCATATTACCATTGAAATGATATACTAATGAGAAATTAGTTGCAAATTCTTACTTAAGTATCAATGTTATGTGCTGCAAATGAATGGTTATGAATTTAGGTCACTGTCAATATGTTTGATGAAGTTATATCATCTGCAGTTTGAAAATATATGTCCTTTATTTTGCTTGATATACCTGTGCTTGTGTATTAATATGACAGTTTTCAGCTTGCTTTAATTACAAATTGTCTGTTGCAGGACGACACTTACACAGAAAGTTACATCAGCACAATCGGTGTAGACTTTGTAAGTATTTAGTACAGCTATTTTTACTGGTACTTCATCAGAATGTGAAGCAGATGAAAGAATTTTCAATGATAAGTCCATTTCTGTAATGAAGTAGCTTATTTGTTAGACACATTTCAGAGATGAAGCTTATTTGTTAGACACATTTCAGAGATGAGGGTGGGGAGAAGCTGTATTGAAAAAGTTTATTATAAGACTGGTGTAATAAGTCAGGATAGCCTGGTCAATCCGGTATTAGACAGCTTTGATTTATTTAACAATTACCTACATGTAACTTAATAAAAAGGTTAATTTAAGGAAGATGTCACTGTTTATGATGATTTTATATTTTGTTTCAGAAAATACGAACAATAGAACTAGATGGAAAAACAATCAAGTTACAAATTGTGAGTATAGAAAAGCCAATTGAAGTCCTTATGAAATACTTGTGATATATCCATATAGAGAGTACCTGTGATATGAACGATGACAACATCAATCCACTGGTGTTTAAACTGCTTAAACAAAGGACTGAAATAAGGATGACTCCAGTGTTCCCAAATAAGACAGATTTATTACAATGACTTCTAATAGAATAAAGTAAATACAATTTAAGAAATTTTGCCTGTAGGGTCCTAAAGTCAGGATACACTGCCAAATAAATTGTGGAATGCCTGGTGCTTTGTCACATGACACTATATTCTGTAAGATGTCTTTTAAGAGGTTTAAGATAATATAAGTTGACAATGATCAGGGTTTAGGCCTGCATTGTTTCACCAACATATTTTAGGAATTAAAAGGTTAATACTTCACTCCAGATAAAGGTTTTTATTCCATCATTTGATTTATATAAAGTGATTTAAAGTTAAGAGCAGGTTGCACTTTTCCAGAAAGTTACTTATAATTAATGTTGATACAAGTAGTAGTAAAGAAAGTTATTTAAAGCTGATTCAAGCAATAGTGCAGCCACAGGCATCATTTCATTGTTTTTATTATTACCTTTTCATCCAGACATCCAGTATCTACATTGACAGTGAGAGTTGTGTCCCTTCTTATGTGAATCCTGTGTGATAGGAAATGTCACTCAGGATATTTTCAGTACATTCCTGATTTCAAACTTGTTAATAATTATATGATTCTTTATGCTTTCATAGTCACTTTGTTTTTCAAATGTTTGTGTTTTAGTGTATTTATTTTGAGTTAATTTTTTTAAATAGTGGGACACAGCAGGTCAAGAAAGGTTCCGAACAATTACATCCAGCTACTACCGAGGTGCCCATGGTATTATAGTAGTGTACGATGTAACAGACCAGGTATGTATTTTGACTCTAGCTGGTTTCAAAGTAAAAATGCTGTCATTTGTTTTGACATCTGTTCCTGTTCTGTTTTGATCCGATACAGTGGAAACCACTTCATGTCACTCTTTCAGTTAATATGACATAATGACACACATTACTTGGGCATGAAGTCAAAACTATAACAAGTTTGACCCTTTTTACAGTACATTTGAAATGATCATTCATAATAATTTGTGATAAAAGGATCAATATTTTTAAGAAATCCTTAAAAGAAAGTGTTTTTAAAAATCACTGCCAAAGTGGAAAATAAACAAATAACAAATCTTTTTGATTACAAGCATTTTCTGTAGGAAACAAGTTGGTTTAGGGCATCTTAAAGTTCATTTCCAGGTTTAGATATTGAAAAAATATATCAACTGTTAATATCACATTCTGGTTATTATCACAATTAAGTGGTTTTCACTGTATTATGTCATACACCAGCACAAACTCTGTTGGAAGAGACTATGATTTTGCACTATCACCAGCATGTCAGTTTGTCCAAAGGATATCTCTAAACATCTTATAAATTCAATATTTTGAGAGTTCATTCTTGTGAGGGTAAAGTTTTGTATTCAAAATTTTGGACTTATGGTAGGTCAAATGAATTCCAACCATCATAAAAGAGGAACTAGTTATTGTGTCTGGCACTCATTTACTAACCAGGTGACCAGCTACAAATGTCTTTTTTTTTCTTTTGATATGTCATCCTAATGAACATAAATAGGTTTCACACTCAGCATGTATACACAATTATACCTGTTCTGTGATTTTTAGCTAAATGGTTACATGTAAGTGATAACGATGTGACAGAAAGTAAATGTTCAGATGTTGACCAACTGTATTTCACAACACATTTGTTTATATGTAACTATGTGAACAGAGCTGTTTTGTGATGTTGCATTGATTACACTTGTAAGCTGAATTATCCTTGAGCTAACAGTTCCTTGTTCATTGTGCAAACTACCGTTTTGAATTTAGTGTTTGAAGCCAGCAAGATTTGTTTTACACATTTTTTTAACCTCTTACAGCTTGGTTCATTTTACTACTGATTAATTTGGACAAGCAACAAAAAATTACAAGGGAAGGACAAAAATGGTCATTTTTGCATAGAATCAGCGAAGATTTTCAATTACTGAAACAATACCTTTGTACAATTGACGACTTCATGTATGAGGAATTAAGAAAGATCAAGATCACTGTTAGTAGAATATATGTCAAAATTTGATACTTATTCTAAAAGGGATGTGGAATACACGTGTTTCTTGGTTTTAACATAATACTGATCAGAAGAAATTTTAAGAAGGGTACTTGACATTTGTCTAAAATAATTCATGAAGACTATTGAAATTGCAATAAAAATCTATGCAGCTCCTTAATGATGTGTTTTTCTTACGCATTATCTGTCTTTTCTTTGCTTCTAGGAATCGTTTAACAATGTGAAGCAGTGGCTACATGAAATAGACAGATATGCTAGTGAAAATGTTAACAAATTATTGGTAGGAAACAAATCTGACTTGGAAATGAAGAAAGTGGTTGATTACACTACAGCCAAGGTAAGACTTAAATTTGTCCTTTTTTTTTTTTTTTTTTTATAAACCTATTAGATATTAAATACCATTACTCACAGGACCATCATGGTGTCACAATTGTAGCTTACCATATAAAGGGCTACAATATTTTAAATGAACACTCAGTATTGATGTTCCTTTTGAGTATCAGGTAGTCATAAATAACTTACTTTACTGTACATGAAACACCTGAAAGTATAGGAAATGTAAGTTTTTTTTATTGAACTATGATACCTTATTATTGCTGTTATAACAACTTTAAATGCCATATTAAGACAGTTGAATGCTTTATACAGTTATGTTTTTGATGTGAAACTAGTGGCAGTTTTTAATTTCATTTATTATGGTATAAAAGTTGTAATGTATTCAAATTGTTATAAATACCAACTGCTGTTCTGTTGGAGTTTTAATGGTAAAAAGCACATTATTAATACTGTGTTGATGCACCTTAAATCGAAAAATGTTTCTAATCCTCTAATATTTATGTGTTGTATTTTTTCAGGAATATGCAGACCAATTAGGAATTCCTTTCTTAGAAACCAGTGCTAAAAATGCTACAAACGTTGAACAGGCTTTCATGACGATGGCAGCAGAGATAAAGAACAGGATGGGCCCAGTGACAGCTGCCGCGGACAACAAAACCAATGTGAAAATAAACCCGAGCACACCCGTGAAGCCCTCTGGTGGTGGCTGCTGTTAACTGAGAAGACTCTTAAGTCACCGGGACACACTTTGTAATTTCCAATACATGTAAATTGATATATGTATTTCTAATTTACTCATTATTGCCATCGTTTGATGACATTTGAAAGAAGACCAACTATACGTCTTTCAGTAAATTATGGTGGGATGTTATAAACTGCAGGATACAACAAATAGAGAACATTTGTTATATAGGTGCAACACACAGACCATCGTAATCTGTCATATCATGAGATATTGATTAATGGTAGAAGTGTAAGTTGGGTTTTGTGATGGGGTGGTGCGGGTGATACGGGGATAGGGTTGGGATACAAAAATTGCACTGTGATTTGGCAAGAAAAACACAATACCCTACTTGAACAACAAATAACTGAAGTTTGAAGTGAAAAGATTTTTGTGTTCATTATGTAGGCATGTTTATTTTCCTGGTATTTCTATCTAACTTCTTTTAAAATTCCTTTGGTAGTCGTGTAAAATTAAGCTTTAATGGTTTACACTCAATAGGTAATGCTTCAACTTAAATGTCTTAATATCATTTACTATATTGTTCTTTTTTGTGTAAGTGTAAGTCAAAAACTTATTTGTTGATTATTTGGGTAAAATAATGTAGAAATTTTTTTTTTTGAAAATTGTACGTTGTGTAATCAGTGCTGTGACAGGACTGTCCAGAGATATGCTGGGTATTTGTGGTAAGTTAATGTGCTTGATTGAGGTGTCAATGTGAATGTGGCTGAAACCTACTTGTTTCAGAAATTTAAGATTTTAAACAAAAATACTGTTTGGATGAGAGTCCAGAAAGTACAGCGTCTGTGTTTTTGCCAATAATTTCTTGGATGATATTTATATGAATCCTTCAATATTTATGTTTGCATATTAACTTGTAAATTGGTGATGTACATAGTATTACAGGAAAAGAATGAGATAGTCATGTTTTATAGTGCACCATGAGAGCTATTTTGAAGAGGGGCTTCTCTCTTAAACTTCATTTTCCCCACATATTGGTTTATCTGTCCTTCATATTCTTGTATAGTATAAACTATTTTCATCAGTTGTCGGGAGAAAGCAATTATGTGAAAAATCAGAGTTGGAAAAAAAAGTCAGCATTCCACTGGCAATTACACTATTTATCCATCCATTTTTTTTGCTAGGTATAACTCATGTATGTCGATGTGATACAAGAGGCATGTACATAATTGACAGAAAGACAGAAAGTGTGAGGTATGGGTAACTGTGTATCATTTATAACTGTTACCATTTTAGTATAAGATATTCCTTTTAACACAACAATGCATATGTTGTTAGCATACATATGTGAGGCACAGAAATCAGTAGTCTACTATTATTGCTATAGAAGCAATATTATTTTATAAACTTACATTGTAAAAACAAATGATTTCAAAGTGAAGCAAATGATCCATTAAAAGTAACAGAACTGTTTCATATTGTTTAAAAACCATATAATTTGCCAAAAATGATATGTTGAGTTTGTGTGTGCATTTCTGTTGGAATTTACATGTACCAAAACACTGCGAAGATGATGTTTTACTATGAATGTAATCATGACAGATTTTATCATCAGTGACAAATTATTTGGTTGTAATTATTGCTTTTCCAGGATAAGAACTAGCAATATGTTAATAAGTCCACACTGGGTTGTACTATTTGGATTCAACCTTCCTCACATTTAAGTGTCAGCAGTTATGTTTGCTTATGTCCCACATGTCACCTAGTTCCCTTCACATGAACTTGTTTCAAAACAAATTGTTTAACTTGTTAGATATTCTGTCATACACATTTTGTGTATAGTTGGTGGCTATATTTTGTGTAAGAGGATGGTTGGTGTGTGGGGTACAAGGTGACAATGTAATGGGAGCTTGTAAGTCTGTGCCTCACAGTCAGGGTTATGTTAAATAAGGAACAAGCTGGCTTGTATCATTTGCAGTCTGTATCACTGCATGGCTAGTTCTCATCTGTTCAGTCAATAAAATCAATAACTATGACCTGTATGCTGTTGTTTTTGTTTTTTGTTTTGCTTTGTTGTTTTTTTTTCTTAACAAAATTATCATTGCTAATACAGTGGCAACTCCATATGTTCAACCATCATATATGTTTGTTGATGCTATAATGTCTGATCCATTGTTGTTAGGATCATTTTTGTACACAAGTCTGACCAGGGTTGTTTGTTTGAAGAAGGAGACTTGTTGATCATATTTTACTTCCTGATTGACAAAGACTTTAATGACTCATATTAATACCTTCTGGTAGTCCATGTTATACCTAAAACGTTGATAATCAGTTTGTTTGTTGTTCAAAATCTTGTCTATGAAATGTCACGGTGATGTAGGATGACAAGGCAGTATGCAATGCAGTGTGTCATTTTCAGGTTCATACTCTTAAGATATAAGTCACTGACATGGTTGAAAAAAATCTTGGGGATTATGGCATGTGACATGGAAAGGATGTGATGATTTATTTGTTCTTTGCTCAGATTATAACTACTTTGCAAAGAAGGTAGGTCATCCAATTCTTGCAATAAAAATGAAGGATGGGAAGATGATATGCACCATTTTTCAGTTCTGCAAACCTGGACCTAAGGTTAAATTAATATCCAAGCTAAATTACCTGAATCAACTTGCTTACCTGTTGTGTTGTGTCTCAGTTCTTCTGAAGTTAAGGTCAAAATTCATTGTACAGACCATTATTGCTCAATACAACAGTATCAATGAAACTGATGAATGCTCCCTTAAAGCACATTATCCTGCTTTAAATGCAAGCGAAGTTATGCTCAGGGCACAAAATTCTAACAAAAGATTTTCCAAGCCCTAATTGTGGTACACTGCACATAGGATATGTATGCTGGATTTTCCTCATCCTTGTCTAAATTAAAGCCATGTAATTCTCTGGGCATGAAATATCAAGGGCAGTAAATATGTTACTTAAATGTTGTGGGTCAAGACATTAGTACACTGCACTAGTATGACCAATGTATACATGAAGTTTATTATCCTCACTTTACCCACTACAAAGGACCATTATATCTCATTATTGTTCTTCAGGTACCTTGGTTCAATTTTGGTAGTAAATCATTCTCAGCAGCCTAGTGCTTCCATTTCTAGGGGGATTTCAATCAAACTTTACACACAAGTGAAAGACTTATTTTGTGAGTTGTAGGGTCAAGATCAAACTCAATCTTTTAATGAAATCGTTGTTGGTGCTCTTATGACTTCAATTCATCTTTATTGTGCTTAGGTGGAACCACAAGGAGATCTCTGTCATCGCAGACTTATGACAGACAGATATCAAAGCTTGTGGTATTTTAATCTTGTCATCCCTCTGCGACATGTGGCCTCAAATAGGTTTTGCTGTTTGTTCTTTTCAGCTTTGCAAATCTTTTTTTTTTGAGATTGTTTCTCAAAGTTTTCACTCATTTTGTTCAAAGATGGCAAACTTTATTGCAATGACAAAATTTTATCAATGGCATTTTGATTAGGTAAAACATATTTTGTTACCGTTTATGTATTAACTATGATACAATCATATACTTCTATTTGGCACAAGATGGACGTATATTGTTTCACCAACTGGTCTTCTTTTCATCATCCAGTTAATACCCACTTGTAACATTTTGACTTGTACCGAGTCATATTAAAGATCACGTTAATTATAGGAAATGGTTCTCTAGTAGACCCTTTATTTTTGTGTCTAAATAAATCTATTCTGTGTACATGCCATTATATTCCAGTTACATTGATTAATGTGGGTTTAATGAATTACTGAATAAAATATTGTTTCTTAATTATGTTCCATTGCAATAAAATATTAATTAACATACATATTATGAAAGTGATATTTGAACTTTCAAATCTTCATTAGACAGTATTATTAATACCCTTTAAGTTTTTGTATTTAGTTACTAAAATAGTATACTTTGTATATCACACGGTATCAATTATTTTGAACAAAATTGTGATGAATTTGGCAGTACAGAGAATTGGTATATTCTAACTTGAATATTTGAGCACTATCAACATGAATTAAAAAGTCCATATGTTGATGTTTTAATAGAATTTTATTGTTCCCATTATATTATACTGGTAGTAACTGTATTTGACAATGAATGACATGTACCTTGTATATAAATATGAAAGATGATGGCAAAATAGGAATTTCTTACAATAATAAACAAAGTAAAATAAATATTGATTTTAACACAAAATAGGACGGTTTACAAAACATCTATAAATAAAGCTTTAAATAAAACAACAAAAGGTAAAACATTTAAAATAATCAAATACAATATTGCACTGAAATTGATTCATCACTAATAAAATCATAATATATCATTTCAATAAGTCGGACTTAAAAAAAAAAAAATAAAAAACATGATTCTGTTAAAAGAACATTGATTAATATTTTCTATCACTACAATTGGTCAGCAATTTTCATAACCCATGTTGTAAAATGTGTGTGGTAGGGAAGAAAGGTGGGGGGAGGGTTTGTGATTGTTTTGTTTTTGTCCCCACGTTCAGACTTTGTTAAATGAGTTATATATATATAGCATGGCTAGTTGATAATATAAATGATTACTTCACAGCTCTACAGGAAATTTCAAACTAAGACTCAATATTCTGACAGAATTTCCTAGGTTGTTATTTATGACAAATGTATTTATACAACGATATTTATTGAAAGATTGAGACTAAAGAAATGCCTGCATTTAGATCAGCTGAACATTCTTGATTTCTAGTGCTAACCAATCTTGACTAGGTTTTCTTAAAGCTATCATACCAAAAATGAACCCTTCAGTGACAGTATCATAAAGCATTAACAAATTTCTTATTCTGACAATGAGTTTTCATCAAATGTAACAAAATAATGAAAATACTGAAAAACCCCTATTCCAAGTCTTAAAAACAAACTATGCAGCCTCAGTGCAGAATCTATATGTTCCCATAAAGGACAATGCAGTGTACTGGTGCAAGTATTAGTTCTGTTTACATTTTGTCCCAGTAATGAGTGAAGGTGTAGAGGGATAAAGGTGATATATAAAACACTAACAGTTAAGTGAAACAAAGGTAGATAATACTGGTCCCTGTTAACTGACATTGTGTGTTCATGACATGGAGCATATCAATATTATGTCATGGAGAGTGCTGTTCTGATATGGTTAACATAGTAATAATTCATAAATATTTTGGTGAGTATACCATCAATTGATTTGTAACTTTCTATTGATATTGTTATGTAATATTTACATTGATATGATACCAGATATGACAAATCTTTCTCTGCTGTAAACATCCCCCAAAAAAATCTTTCTTATTAAGATCAGGTAACCCAGTAGAGTGCCACAAATAGTTTTTTTTCCCCCAAACAATAGTTTGTTTTCGAGTTAACTCGCAACAGCCAGGGTTATATGAGGATAGCTTACATAAGAAATGATATATACAAGTCTGAAACTTTGACAATGATAAATGGGGTAAAAACACTTCAGATCTGATATGACATTAAATAAATAGTTCCAAATCAACATTACTTTTGATATTGAGACATATTTTGTCCAGCAAACTTAATCATCTCATAAAAAACTCTCCAGCTGGAGACTTTTCTTACTTGGTCTCATCACAAAATATGTAATAATAATAAGATATGACAGTATATGAATTATATAATAACTATGCCACTTAAAATGCTATATGTAGTCACACAAAGTTACATTAATAATGTTTGATATTGATACAGTTAACTAATGACATACAGTCATGGCACTAGATCATCTATGGCAACTGCATTTGAATAAATAGTAAATAATTTATTATATTAACTAATCTATCAATATAAATATATTCTGTGTAATTAAGCCATTCTTGACCATAAAATTACAATGATCTTTAATGCACTGTTCCACACAAGTATGTTGTAATAAATGGCTAGTTGATGGTATTCCTATATATAAAGGGAGGCAATCACAAGCAATTTACAAATGTATTCATAAAGGGAGACAATCACGTAGAGACTACACCATATTGTTCTCTTCATTGATGAAGCTCTTGAATAATTCAAATACACCTCTAGATATTCTTCAAACGTATGTGGTATGATATTATGTTAAGCTACCAAGTTCATACAAAAATATTTAGGGGTTCTTTGAACTTCTTTCTTTATGACAAGATATTGAAACGGAGCAGATACTGATTATATCACACATCATGATCACAGGAAAACATGAATCATGCCGTCACAAATAATGAAATCAATTATCTCTACACGACATCTGTTCACATAATGCATTTAACACCATAATCTTAGAATCAATGACATCACAAAGTGATGATTTCTGGATTTGATGACAACCACCAGTTGTGATGAACTCCAGAATTTCATGACATGCTTTGTGTTTGATAAAATCATATTAAGATGATGACAACACTTGATGGCATCTAGTGTTTAAAACAACATTGTCATTACAAAATGTAAATGACAACAAAATTTGATATCAAAGTTATGATGATTCCATGATTTGATGATGTTGTGCTTGGATGAACAAACATCTGATGACATCATGTTTCAATGAACACAAAATATGATGACATCATGTTTAGATCATCACAAAATCCGATGTCATCATGATTAGATTAACAAAAAATCTGATAGCATCAGACTTTGAAGACTCCAGAGGTGATGATTTCAAGTTTTGACAATTTCTAGAGCCTGATTCTCTGAGGGAGGGTCTTGAGAATAGGCTGGTGGTGGTTCCCGAGGAAAAGGTGGCTGGGCATATGCTTGGAGGTCATGAGGAAGTGGCATGGCTGATAGAGGAGGATTACTCTCCTGAAGTGGGGGTGCTGAAATCAAAATATCAAATGGTAATCACAACTAATCTTAAATATTCTTGGCTATAAATCAACATTAAGTGAAAACCACTTATTTTGCAATGGAATTGGGTATCAATTGAGTTGTAACTATCATTGTAGACTACAACATATGAAAAAGCACTGCAATATGTTTACACGGAATAAAACTTTATTGATGAGCTGCTGATGAAAGTACAAAATTTTGTAAGTCAATAACTGTATGAAAATTTGATTACCTGATGGTTGTACAGGGTGGTGGTTGACATTAGTCTGGAATGGTTCACACTCAGAGACTGCCTTTGGTGCTTTGCGGTAAACACGTCCCTGGCTGGACTTCCTTTTACAACAACAACAAACAATGATGACGGCCAATACTGCGATTAGACACACCACACCCACAATGATTCCGATGATGAGACCAATGGACAGCACAAATGCATCCAAGCCATCCATAAACACGTCACCTTGAGAAAATTAATCACAATACTGTACACCTGGTCACATGTCAAAGTTATATGACAGAACTTTATGTAGATATGAAGAAACCACCACAAAATTTCAACCAATAAGATCAGCAGTTGATAACAGTGTACTCCTTATAGGCTGAATTGAAAGTATATACAATAATACATCTGTAGTAATCTGCAGTACCACCTGTATATGGTACAAGTAAGAGTAGGAATAATGAGATGCAACAGAAGTCCTTTTCGTCAATGAGCAAGGTATTGGTTTAATAAAACCACATGAAATCATATTCTACAGAAACGATTCTGGTATTTCAAAATTCCATTGAACCAAAGCTGTATTGGGTTATTTGAGTACAAAATGTTATATTCCTGACCTCTGATATAAAATAATAGCACATATTGTCTAATAGATTTAAATATTTATTATCAGACTTCTCTCTGACAATGAGTCACTACTCGTCAATCTTGTCAATACCTGTTGTTTGACTTTAATCTAACCATGACTTTATTGATTCCTCCATGACAAAGAGTTAATATTTATTGTCATACTTTTCCCTGATTGTGAGTCAATACTTACTTTCAGACTTCTCCCTCACAATGAGCTCAAAGTTGTACAGTTTGGAACTCAACCTCCTCTTTTTTAACAACAGTGTCATGTAACGGCCTGAGCTGCAAACACTGTGGACATCTGATCCACAAGTGAATTTGTTCTGCAGAAAAATCAGAAGTAAGATACTCACATTCTCAAATTCTACATATTACCTGTTTATACTTTTTACTGGAATATCAATATTAGCTTATTTACCTAATATCAGGTATTAGTATTTACCAGTGAATCCTTATTTACCTGGTATCAGGTATTAGTATTTACCAGTGAATCCTTATTTACCTGATATCAGGTATTAGTATTTACCAGTGAATCCTTATTTACCTGGCATCAGGTACTAGTATTTACCAGTGAATCCTTATTTACCTGGTATCAGGTATTAGTATTTACCAGTGAATCCTTATTTACCTGATATCAGGTATTAGTATTTACCAGTGAATCCTTATTTACCTGGCATCAGGTATTAGTATTTACCAGTGAATCCTATTTACCTGATATCAGGTATTACCAGTGAATCCTTATTTACCTGGTATCAGGTATTAGTATTTACCAGTGATTATTTACCTGATATCAGGTATTAGTATTTACCAGTGAATCCTTATTTACCTGGCATCAGGTATTAGTATTTACCAGTGAATCCTTATTTACCTGGCATCAGGTGTTAGTATTTACCAGTGAATCCTTATCTAATTGGTATCAGGTATTAGTATTTACCAGTGAATCCTTATTTACCTGGCATCAGGTATTAGTATTTACTAGTGAATCCTTATTTACCTGATATCAGGTGTTAGTATTTACCAGTGAATCCTTATTTACCTGATATCAGGTGTTAGTATTTACCAGTGAATCCTTATTTACCTGATATCAGGTGTTAGTATTTACCAGTGAATCCTTATTTACCTGATATCAGGTATTAGTATTTACCAGTGAATCCTTATTTACCTGGCATCAGGTGTTAGTATTTACCAGTGAATCCTTATTTAATTGGTATCAGGTATTAGTGTTTACCAGTGAATCCTTATTTACCTGGCATCAGGTATTAGTATTTACCAGTGAATCCTTATTTACCTGGCATCAGGTATTAGTATTTACCAGTGAATCCTTATTTACCTGATATCAGGTATTAGTATTTACCAGTGAATCCTTATTTAACTGGTATCAGGTATTAGTATTTACCAGTGAATCCTTATTTACCTGATATCAGGTATAAGTATTTACCAGTGAATCCTTATTTAACTGGTATAAGGTATTAGTATTCAACTGGGTATCTAGTTTGAGTAATGAGTATAAAGTTAGATAGTTACTAGGGTATCAGTATTTACATGGGTAACTGGTGTAAGTATTTACAAAGGTATCAGCATTTACCAGTGAGTCTATTTCTACCTCAGTATCAGTAGTTACCAATCTACTAATGTTCATTGAGAAGGGAATGATCAGTGGTATTTACTGATCAATTATCAGCTGAAAGATTACTTACCATATAGCTGCCTGAACTGGAATCTTTGTCATACACAAACAGTTCTACATCACAGTTCTCAATGCTGTAGGTGATGAAGTGCAGGCACAACTGGTCATTGCGATTAGCTTTAAAGGATAAGTCACACTGCAGTGTGGAGTAAGCTTCACCACCCTTTGCCAAAACGGTATGCTGTTCATCGTCTATCAGGATGGGATCGGTGGAAGTGCAGTGACCGTACTTGTCAAAATAATCTGTAGAAAACAATGAAACATCTATCAAATAAACTTAACCATTGAATAACCATCATCATGCAATGATTTGATTTATTTATTTTTTTTTTTCATTATTACTTAGCCTCAAGACTTTAAAATCAAAATTACAAGTAGCTGAAAAGGTATTTTACATGTATGCAAATCATCCATTTATCAACATTGCTTAACAGTTTAAGAATAGTAACTTACATGTGCTGGTTATTACTGGTACAATAAGACAGCTGGATATGAAAGTAAAGATAAAAATCCATTGTCCTCCAGCATCCAGATGAAACTGCAGCACCATGCTGGCTTTTAAAATCTATAAGTTACAATGGCAAGGGCAGACAACCCAGAAAAGGGGTCTGGGTTGTAGTTGTGATCACTTGTGCACCCTTGTCCATCTGGATATTCCTGTAAAACACAAAAATTTGAACTACAGGAAACAAAAATTCAGTAGTTTGAATATGAAACAAAATTTCTCTCCTTAATAATTATGATTTGTTCTGACCTGACCTTGAGGCCAGTGAACAATTTATAGAACATAAGATTGAAAAAAAAAATGGCCCAGATATTTTATATACAAGTTAATATACTTTCGTAACAACAACCCATTAATGAACAATTACTTTACAACCCAAAGTTCTTCTTAAAAAGATTACCTGGAATTTCTTATCAGCTAATGTAAACTTGAAAATACCTGTTTCACATGCACGTATGGCCCGCTGCCATACACAAATGTATCTTTCAGAACAATGTGAAGGCTTGACTGTATACGAACTTGTGACTATCATTTCAAAACACCTAGAAACACAAGTCCATTTGAAGTATTCTCATGATAATTTTATACCTTGTTATTGAGTCTGATCAAAGTCTCCTTGGAAAGGAATTAATAAAAACTCCAGGCTTGTATTCCCATCCCATACATATCATATGACGTGTTTAATTGTTGAATATTGAATAGATATATTGTTTAAACTGAAGTCCCCTCGAAAATAAATTTGTTTAAGAAATGTCAAAGAATCATTTCATGATTTTCAATAAATTATGATGGAAACATTGCATATGCAACCCTGCAACTCCAGGTATTCTTACATCACAGCTGGTCTTTTGTGTATTAAAGGTTGGATCAAAATCCCTTGAGAAATTACGTCACTCAAGCGATGTCACTCGTTGGAGATGGCTCAGCTATCAGAAAGCTTGCTATAAATAAGGAGAGCCCCAATAACCGGAATGACTGTTGTAAATAGGAGGTGTCTCAGCTATCAAGCACCACCGACCACTCAACATGTTACATTACTTTAACATAACTTCCAATTAATATTTTCTTTCAATCCAAATCCATGAGAATTAATTATTTAAAACAAAAACCTCAATACATGTATTAAATCTTAAATGTTAGAGTTTCTTTCATTCACTATCTAGGGGATAGGAAAGTCTTATTAATTTGACACTTCTGCTTTCTACAATAAAAACAATCCAATATAACAGACAAAGTTAATTTGTTGTATATAATAATCCCTGTATAAGACTTTCCAAAGGACCTAAACATTATGATGAAAGTTAATGTTATTTGTTTAATTAACATTTGGACAAAGACTGATTCAATACACGGACTGTTTATAGATTTACTGTGTTGAAGTTGGCAATATAGTACTACCACATTGAACAAAAAAGATCAATAATAAGACAATGGCTATGAGAGACATGTATTTTTATATCATGTATAATAGAACGCTATTTGCTTCTGGTATACATAAACTACAAACCCATTTAGATTCTCAGATAAAATGCATGTGTAACTATGTCATATAAATGGGGTAGATATTTTGAACAAGCCCCTCAAGACAAATTTAAAACAATATAACCAGCTGTTATTACAACAGAACAAATATATAAGTGTTCTGTCTGTAAATATAATAAATGCTCCCTTTCTAAGCTTCGCTGGAAGGATTACTGGAGAATCAATATGTTGCTAGCATATTGCTGTGCCCCAGGATTGTCTGTGCCAGCCTGGGGGAGCCAGCGAGATTCATCTCCAATCATAACATCATGTAAAAGTATATATCACAACACGCAAATCTTTATAACACGGCATGTTATTCTAACTTTCTTTTCAATGAAAAATCAGTGATGTTCTTGCTTCCCTTTTCCATACATAACCAATCATCAATGAAAATTTTCAGAGAATAGCAATATGTTATTTTCACGATAGACCAGGGAGTCTTGTTAAACCTGTGCCTCCCTGGTAGAACATAAATAGACTCTGTGACTAAATATTTCCAATCAGCAGTACATGTGGGGGCTTGACTATATATACTGAACTTGTGACTATTCCTGTAGTATACATGGGGGCTCAACTCTGTATATTCAACCAGTGAATATTTCTGCAGTACACATGGGGCCTTGACTCTATAAACTAAACCTCTTACTATTCCTGGAGAACACGTGGAAGCTTGACTGCATATACTAAACCTCTTTCTACTCCTGGAGAACACGTGGAGGCTTGACTGCATATACTAAACCTCTTTCTACTCCTGGAGAACACATGGAGGCTTAACTGTATATACTAAGCCTCTTACTACTCCTGCAGAACAATGTGGAGGCTTGACCGTATACGAACTTGTTACTATTCCTGTAGTACCCAAGGGGGCTCAACTCTGTATATTGAACCTGTGAATATTCCTGCTATACATCTTGGGGCTTGACTCTGTATACCAAACCTCTTACTACTCCTGAAGAACAATGTGGAGGCTTGACTGTATACCAAACCTCTTTCTACTCCTGCAGAACAATGTGGAGGCTTGACTCTATACCAAATTTGTTACTATTCCTGTAGTACACATGGGGGCTCAATTCTGTATACTGAACCTGTGAATATTCCTAATGATTTCTGTATAGTAGCTAGGCCTACTAATGAATGATAATAGGACATAACTTATAAAAATATGTCTGGTTAACTAAGGATTAGGACCCCTACTGTATATGGTCTAGGTTTGACTTACTAAGTATTAATGACCTCTGTAAAAGGACTTTGTCCACTAAGTGTAAGGATCCCTGTACAAGGTTAAGGATCTCTGTATAAGGATAAGGATCCCTGTACAAGGTTAAGGATCTCTGTACAAGGTTAAGGATCTCTGTATAAGGATCTCTGTATAAAGATAAGGATCTCTGTATAAGGATAGGGATGTCTGTATAAGGATAAGGCTCTCTGTATAAGGATAAGGATCTCTGTATAAGGTTAAGGATCTCTGTATAAGGATAAGGATCTCTGTATAAGGATAAGGATCTCTGTAAAAGGATAAGGATCTCTGAATAAAGATAAGGATCTCTGAATAAAGATAAGGATCTCTGTATAAGGATAAGGATCCCTGTACAAGTTTAAGGATCTCTGTATAAGGATAAGGATCTCTGCATAAGTATAAGGATCTCTGAATAAAGATAGGGATCTCTGCATAAGTATAAGGATCTCTGCATAAGGATAAGGATCCCTGTACAAGTATAAGGATCTCTGTATAAAGATAAGGATCTCTGTATAAGGATAGGGATGTCTGTATAAGGATAAGGCTCTCTGTATAAGGATAAGGATCTCTGTATAAAGATAAGGATCTCTGTATAAGGATAAGGATCTCTGTATAAGGATAAGGATCTCTGTATAAGGATAAGGATCTCTGTATAAGGATAAGGATCCCTGTACAAGTTTAAGGATCTCTGTATAAGGATAAGGATCTCTGTATAAAGATAAGGATCCCTGTATAAGGATAAGGATCTCTGTATAAAGATAAGGATCTCTGTATAAGTATCTATGTAAGGACTAGGTCCATTAATTATTAAGGACCTATGTGTGAGGACTAGGTTCACTAAGGACAAGGATCCCCTTATAATGACTAGGTTCACAAAGTATAGGACCTTTGTATAAGGACTAGCTAGGATTAAGATCCTTGTATTAGGGTAATAAAAGTCACCTGTTTTTCCTAACAGGATTCCTTGTGTACATGCAGATCACTAATCAGCTATCTATCCCCCAGTGTAACACTGGTAATCTGATACATAAAGCTTCCTCTGTGGTATACCTCAGTACCCCTGTGATTCACACAGGTTATCCTATCTTCTCTACGTGTCAAAATTAATTTCCAACTCCTCTTCACAAGATGTGGAAGGATCTTAAAAATCAAGGGCGATGTGTAAACCAAATGGAGGCTGTGTGCCAGACTGGCCTCTGCTGCTGCTGCTGGTATGTCAACATACCTCTAGTACAAAGCATTTCATTGATTCAGATCCAGGCACAGATAAGGATAGGGGATAAACATAAAACAGATCAAAAAATTAAAAAAACACCCACACACAGGAAAAAGCCTGCCTCTAGCTTCTTCTGGTACATATAAACAGCAAGTTGTTCAGGTGCTAAGCCTTTCTTTGGTTAGATTATCACAACGAACATAATTAAAAGTTCTTCATTTTTATATTGAAATTATGTTACTGCTGTGTTAAGAAAGTATAGTTGTTCACCTAAAAGAAATACTGATTCCCCTCGGTACGCATCATTTCCTATCTTTTAACTTGGCTCTACAGAATGTACATTCACATTGCTAAAATCTTCAAACATTTATAAAATTGATATCAATGATATAGTTTACTATAGGGAATGTGGTATGTGGTTATCAAGAGTATAGGCTGTTCCTTTATCAACCTGTTCTTTCTAAACCTTCTAACCAGGAAATTGATCACAGCTTTGTCTACAATGGCTGAAACATTGCGTCTAACCACACCTGTGACTAGATTCCTCAAGGCCACATTAACAGAAATGTTAAAGTATGAGTAGGAAAGCTAGTCAAGGTCTTAAATACTCTAAGTATTATTTTTCTCCATTGTTTTCTTGTTTTAAATCATGGAAAGATTGAATCAATGATGATGTGTCTCCTTTAAAGATCAATGATAACTGTTTAACACCAGCAAGCTCCATTTAACAATGCCATCACCTGATTGTCCCTATCATGCAAGATGATCAGTGGGATACACACAGGTACATGTGAGGTGTATTGGACTGTACAGACACCTCAGTCAATATTGATTATCTCATTTATATACACTACTTCAATGCAGCACTTACTCAATCAATGTCAATATGTTACATTCTTTGAATATTAGAGAGTTATTCCCCTTGGGAGCGTGGGTCTAATTGACCTGTGTGTATTGATTGGTGGGAATATACACAGTTGGGTAGGGACACCAATATCAACACCACCACTGGCCTCAAGGATGTTAACATTACTGTGATCAATTGGTTACCACAGCAATACAAATCTGATTAATAATGCTAAGTCAGATTTGGACAGCATGATCTGAGACCAACACATATTATTGAAGAAACAACACAGGACAATATCCAGTATACATGTATTTTAAGGATGACACGATTTTAGGGGTAATGAGTTCTGAGGTGAAATAATCTACTAATAAACATGTAAAGGTTTCTATAGTTGATGTCCACTGTATCATGAGATACAGTAATTATTACTCAAATACATCAGTATGAAAACACGATACCACACTCAAATTATGATATACAATATATAGCAGTATATGTATGCTTCAACGCTACATACAAAAGTACGACATACATATTTGTAACACTTATCTTTCAAACTGTTATAGTATCTTTTATAAACAAGAACTAAAGTAACATTCATTGTACATTTCAAACTACATCAATGTGAAATACAAATTGAATATTGTATGTTTCCTGAAAAAAAAAATCACTTCATATATTGTACATTTAATAATTTCCAAAACTACATAGTATACTTTATATGTTGTACATTATTAAAACTAAAATCTTAAGATAACAGAGGACAATCATAAAAAACAAACAAAAAAATTATTGCTGTTTAACCACATTCAACATGAATACTACCCTCTCTTACCTGATCGTGATAGTCAATTTATATAATAACATTCATTCAGCATCACCCACTGATGAATTTTACAATCATACATGTACCATTGCTGTGCAAGAAACAGACAAGAACAGCAGTGTACTGCCGATCCTTCCAGGTCAGATGAGGATCGGCGCTAAACTCATACCGTTTCCTGGGTAAATGCAATATATACTCGGACGTCAAACTGATTGAAAACTCATTACCTTTACACGGTCTGAAAACCAGAATTACGTTTGTAACACCTCTAAAGGGCACACCAATCTGTATTGACAGACGATGACACCCAAGTGCCTCTGATTATATCAGCAGAATTCTTAGACAATTATTCTTAGAAACATATTTTTAGAGATCAAAAAATGAAACTTGATATATAAACTTAGCAACACGAACATGTTACTATTGTAATATTGATACGAAATGAGGCACTCATATCGGCCTTAAATGAAATTGTCAATCGTGAAATAAAAACAGTGACCCGCCACAGGCACATATATCTGGAATGAAAACAACATAAGCAAAAATCCTGCTATAGTGACTTAATTTTGCTTGAGTTGTTCCAGATACAGGTACCTATGAACCCACAAGTTAAAATGCACCACACCTGACAATCGTAACTCCAGTCTCAGTACCACGGAATACGGTTGAGGGTTCAATGCGAGTATACACGACAATTGAAATAGTACCTTAAAACAACGAAATAACGCTCAACATTACAAAAATGTGTCCTTTTTGTACTATTATGTCTGTGCCACAAATTAAAAATCGAGCTAACTTACCACTCCGTGTTATGTGTTCGTCTCCATGTTGGCTAGTCAGAGCCAGCCTCTGTATCGTTCCTAAACAGAGGGCGCTGCCACTGCTTCCATTACCGATCGATAAACCATTTGACGTATTGCGCGTGAATACAGTGACGCGCTTTTCGATTACAAGTACTCAGCGTGCAGGGTGGTTTATCCTTTTATCGGCCACCATATCAACGAACAGAGAGGCGATGATCAAACGGCCAAACCATATTTACATTTCTTGAATGGTTACCATCGCAACACAGTTAAATATTTTCTTGAAAATGCATGTTGTACTTTTCCTCAAATGTTGATTCGAACAATAATACACCGTGCAGCTTCTGGTAACAAGCAACATCCTAGACTTACGTACCCTGTACTTCAGAAGCGTACAGAACTAGCTAATTCTAATATTCAATTGTTTTGCAATCATTCTCGCATGCATATCAACCATTACAGTTATTCAACACAACCAATTCTTTAATGTTTGATCGGCGGAAGCATTTGACTTATTGAAATTTACCGTGTCCGGCGGAAACTTATTAACGGTATAGCTTTGACTTCGTGATGTACCACACAAACACGCGTACAGCACGGTGTGTATGTATATTTGTACAATGAATTGATCTCTCGTTTCACTAAGCCGATTATAAGCATTGACCACTGATGAATACCATGTGTAAAGGGTTTGTTTATACAACGGCACTTGCAGTAACCTCATCACCTGCGGACGTGATCCCTTATCTCGCAGATGTCGAATACCTCAAAATATTCCATCAATGAAATGTATTTCAACCTGTTTCATCTTTATTTTGGCAATAGAATTTACCTAACTGCTACACTTATTTCTTCTGTATTGCTTCTATTTCCGATAACAAATAAAAATTGAAAATGAAGGCTTGATTCGTAATCAGGCCTACACACCAGAGACGCTTAAGAAAACCTTCAAATAATCCCATTATGTTGTAATGTTACAAAATGTATACTCTGAGATAACATGGTTTCTGTTATTTCTGATATAAAAAGTTATTTACACTGTATATTGTGAAGTAACGTTACACGTGTTCATTACATTATGCATCCTCAATACTCCAGGGGTCACGATCACTTTCACTCTCTACACCCCTTGACCATGTCATGGCAAAATTAGTGGCACAAACGAAGAAATATAATTGGTTCCAAAAGGAAAAAAAATCCAGATCAATCACAGATTGATACGCTTCTTTTGAATATTACATAGGAACGACACGCAACTTCAAAACCATTACAATATACCATTATGCGACCTTCAGATTCGTTTGATCAATATCACAGGATCAAACTAGACTTGTTCACAGTGTCGCACATGAAACCTTCAATTTTGTCATGACATGTTCTATAGATGTGGAGAGCAAAAAAGTGATTGTAAGCCCTGGAGTATCGAAGACGTACATTATGGTAAATATCCTGGATGACAGTCGTAAGCTTATGCCTCAATTGTAGCATTAGTGTTGGGTGGCATTAAATTGAATTCAGAAAATTACAATTTTATTTGCTTTATTTTAACAACTTCTCTTTATATATATTTATATTATAAACAACAATAACAATGATATGAACAATGAATACATATAAATGCATTATTCTGTTTCCATTATATTGATTAATCTCGTCACTTTGAAGTTCAGTTGTAATTTGGTGTCTGTATCATCAACCTTGTTTAACAACTGAACTGCTAATCTGATATCTGGATGAACAGACTGGCGTCATGCGGATTCGTTCAGCCTCGCATACAGGTGACCTGCCATTATAATCAGTTTTACAATAACACCACAATATAATAACTGGGAAGGGTTCGATAAGGATTTTCGAACCATATGTCGACAAAACTGCCAATTCTTGTAGCAAGTTTTAGTGGATTTTTTTCTAAATCACGTAATAAAATGTATTTTATATCTATGCATATTATAGTCACTGACAATTAAATATGATTATTATCTAAGTTCGCTGTATAGCCAAATGAGAAGCCTCACTGTGTTCTACATATATGTATCGACGCACGCTGCTGACACGTAATCAAAGCATTAAATAAAAGCTGATAGTTGTGGAATATCAAGAAAAAATACAGGAATGGAATATTTTAAAGAAAATTTTCACAATATTTTCAGTTTTCACCAAAAATTGTTCCATTTTGGGTAGCTTCATATTTGCAACATTTTTTAAAGTAATGTAAATTAACCCAGAAGACTTTATAAAAGCCCAACAAAAGGGAAATTACGTTTGACTGGTAGCTGTGTCTCCACGAAACTCTGATAACGACAAGGCATTGATTAATGATACCACTAATACATTGATTCGAGCTGTAGTGATATAGGGACGTATGACTTATATATAAATGCACGTCCCTGGTGATGGCACAGGTACTTGACACGAGTTCTCAACACCGCTACAGTTCAGATGTATGTATTGTGTTACTAAAATACATTCGTGCCAAATTCCTGTGGTGGATATCAATATTTCATGAGATGGCCATTACTTCAAATCAATGATATCAATATCTAAATACTAGGTTGTCGCTAAACTGGATTATATAGAAATGCTTACTGTAGCCTCTTTTCATTTCTGAAATATATTTGAATTCGAATTGTTTTCATCTGTTTTATTATTCTTATATCACACTGGTCTGACTGAAGCTTTGTATTAAACAACGGATTTCTATCAGAAACAGAGTTTGGTAGCTTATCAAAACCATGAACAAATACCAGATACAAAATACAAAGAGAATCTCTTCGGTGAGATGAAGTGAAACCGAAAATAGCAACTAGATGGCGCTGGTGTTCACTTCCTGTTGCCGTTCTCAACTTATCCTGCCGATTAAAAATTTCGGCAGATGTCAAGCACATGCCATGTAAGTGTACAGTTAATGGGCATTTTGGTGTTAGCGGAGGATTAAATGAATGTAAGTTGTTGTTGTTATAGAAAAAACACATTTATATTGAACTAAAAGCACCATGATGACACGTCACATCAGACAGCAGGTTGGTGACAACCGGCTCAGATACGTACCATAGAGTACATCATTTAGGACAACCGGTAAATAGGATCCTAAATGAGATTTCATTTCATATAAAATTTTGTGAAACGAGCCTTCGAAATTTTATCGTAAGCCGAGCAAAAATTAAAAACTCAGAGATGAGTTTAATAAAATATCATGAAATGAAACAAATTTAAGATAACATTTTGACAGGTTTTAAAGTGAAAATGTGGAGGATAAAATCGAGAGGAGGCAGCCAATATTTTGCACTAGTTTTAATTCCAGATGTGACGTCATTGTCCTTATTATGACATCACAATGTATTTCTGGTTGGTGCAACCAATGAAAAATGTCAATCAAGCAAAAGAGAATCGACAAGAAATTCAGATTGCTTCTTTGTGAATCAGTGGTTTATTTTTGTGTACCCTAACTAGGATGTAGCAGGATTATAGTGACATCAGTTATAAAAAAAATGGTGCCCTCAACATTCATTCACTAATGATAAATTTATTTATAGTCAAGTGGCTTACAATACGTACATTGTAGTTCTGTTGTATCCAGGTTTTCTTCTTGAGTGGCACTTAGTTGCAAGATGATCTACCAGACCATGATAAGTCGGACATGTGACGGGCACCCATTGACAGCCAACACTGACACAGCCCACCACCAACAAGGCTCGGATGTAAAGGAGGGTTTAAAAAACATGAAGTTTTTGTCACGTATGGCTGGTCGTTTTCAAGATAGATGTTCCTTTTATTTGGATGCAGTGTGTGTACAGTAAGTTCAATGTCATATTTACACCATTTGCAAAACAACATGAAATAGTGCAGAAATATAGACAGCTGTTTTGTTTAAAGTATATGCTTTGATGAAATTCAATTTGTACAAATCAATGATAACTATGTAACAGGAAGGAGTAATGAAAATCACTCTGCCTCCACTGGAGTTCAAACTAGTAACCCTTTGGTCTCTAGCTGAACACTCTACCACTTAGCTAAAGGGAGATTCTGACAGTCGGAGGCTAGTAAGGCAACCTTAACTCTCCTTTCACACTCCTCCTTTCTTCACAAAATCTTTGATCTCAAAGACAACAATTACCAAGGTTCAACATCTCCAAAGAAGCACCTCAAACTCCTATAGTCTACCCTTGGAGTGGTCAGTGCCATCAGATCTGTCATAGGAATCAGTAATGAATAACACCCAGATCCCACAGTAATTTAAGCTAGTCACCATTTGGTCTCCAACCGAACGCTCCATCACTCGGCTAAAGGTAAACTTCCAGTAGCTGAGATTGTAAGCTGACCAGCATTCTCTCCTTTTACGAAGACCTTATCAAACTAAAATACATAAATTCACACAAATAAAACACACACAGAACACTACAACAGCACTTTTATTGAAACACAACTAAAACACACACAGAACACTACTACAGCACTTTTATTGAAACACAACTAAAACACACACAGAACACTACTACAGCACTTTTATTGAAACACTACTATAACACACATCTTCACAAGCCTCAGTACGTTATTATATAAGTGATATATAAAACGGGGCAATGTAATTACTTAAGTAGGATTATTAAAAAAAAAACTTTTATATTCAACTATACTATCACTACAATCACAGTTTACCTGGTGAGGACTTTATACTCAGCTGTATACTCACAGTTTACCAGGTAGGGACTTTATACTCAGCTGTACACTCACAGTTTACCTGGTGAGGACTTTATACTCAGCTGTACACTCACAGTTTACCTGGTGAGGACTTTATACTCAGCTGTACAATCACAGTTTACCTAGTGAGGACTTAATACTCAGCTGTATACTCACAGTTTACCTGATGAGGACTTTATACTCAGCTGTACACTCACAGTTTACCAGGTAGGGACTTTATACTCAGCTGTATACTCACAGTTTACCTGTTGAGGACTTTATACTCACCTGTACAATCACAGTTTACCTGGTGAGGACTTTATACTCAGCTGTACACTCACAGTTTACCTGGTGAGGACTTTATACTAAGCTGTAAAATCACAGTTTACCTGATGAGGACTTTATACTCAGCTGTACAGTCACAGTTTACCTGGTGAGGACTTTATACTCAGCTGTATACTCACAGTTTACCAGGTAGGGACTTTATACTCAGCTGTACACTCACAGTTTACCAGGTGAGGACATTATACTCAGCTGTACAATCACAGTTTACCAGTTGAGGACATTATACTCACCTGTACAATCACAGTTTACCTGGTGAGGACTTTATACTCACCTGTACAATCACAGTTTACCTGGTGAGGACTTTATACTCAGCTGTACACTCACAGTTTACCTGGTGAGGACTTTATACTCAGCTGTATACTCACAGTTTACCTGGTGAGGACTTAATACTCAGCTGTATATTCACAGTATACTAGGTAGGAACCTTAATACTTGACTGACCACTCAGTTTACCATGTAATATTGTCATATTTTTTGGATTGAATTATCGTACTTGTAGTGAAACCATGAAAATACTTTGTTTCAGTTTTATTTCTGCCCTTGGTCTGACCTACCTGGTTGTATGTGATGCTTCGTACCCACCTGTACTAGCCTTTTCTTTCCTTGATGAGATACAGAGAGAATTTCTCAAGAGCTATGAAAAGACCAAAGTGGATGCAGTGACCAGACCATACAGCCTTATAGATTTTGGTAATTATGCAGAATTATGTTCTTATTATTAAGATGTGATATCATTTAAAATTTTGGTTCTTCATTAGAGATACTTGATTCTTTACAAATTACACAAAGCCACTCAACAGATACCCATTTAAGCATTGAAAGAAAGCCATGAAACTTGTATTTTACATGTATATAATATGGCTCCTTTGACATCTTTCACTTAGTTCATTAATGATTTATGATATTGTTATATGCACTATTTGTCGTCTCTTAATTTCTGGTAATGTACTCAAACATATGTTTTATATTGAACATAATTGATGCAGACCACTAAGTAAAAATATTCCACTGTTTTCAGATATGTCAATGCAGAAAGTGAAACAGCGGTACAACAACCCTCGATCCCTGACTACCAAGCTAAACCTAGCGGTACTAAGTGAAGAGTTGAAGTTACGTCCACCTAGTATCATTAGTCCAGAACAGCTTCGTCCAGATGAGAACTCCTACAATGTGTACATCGACAACAATATTAAGTCTAACACATTCTCTACATCAGGTAATGAACAGACCTGTCGATTATGTGATCCTTTCCATAAGTATTTCAGATTTGTTTTACAATTTAAAAAGATAAATTGAAGTACTATGTACATGCATGAGATACACATAACTAAAAAAATATATTAATGTCATTTTCATTTGTTTTACAGCATCACGTCACAGGCATGGAAGTTATGTACCTATGGGTTTAAGAACAGTGTTGGCAGTAGGACTGAGTTTGTTTTGTGCTGTACTGAATCTAACACGAGGCCTTGCTGTAATAAATGATGCTCATATTGAGGTAAGCACTGCTGGTAATTATCACACCTAGGAAACAGACATATCCCTTCTTTGTGTTCGGACACTGTCATTTATGGATAAATAACTCAGACTTGAAATAATGTGTTCTCTACCATATATGTGAGAAATAGTTATCCGCCAGTTATGAACAATATTCAATGTCTTAATCCAACTACTATGCTGTTTTCCTTGTGTAATTAAGGTGTGTAACACAAAAATGTTATGTTTCTAATATAACAATGTTAATTTTAGGACTATGACACTGACCACTATCAGTATGCAGCAACTTTTATACTCAACGGCATACTCTCAGTATACCAGGTAAGGACTTTTATACTCCACTGTACACTGTCAGTTTACCAGGTAAGGACTTTTATACTCAACTGTACACTTTCAGTTTACCTGGTAAGGACTTTTATATCCACTGTAGAGTTTACCAGGTAAAGATTTTTATACTCAACTGTACACTCTCAAAAGACTTTTAAGTGGTACACTCTCAGTTTACCAGGTAAGGACTTTTATACCACTGTACACTCTCAGTTTACCAGGTAAAGATTTTGGTAATTATCTCAACCAAGATTATTAAGATGTGACATCTCATTTAGGTAAATTTTGGTACACTCTCAGTTTACCAGGTAAAGATATACACAGCTGTATCTCTTTACAAATTACACAAAGCCACTGTAACAGTTACCCTTTTATTTAAGCCATTGTAAAGAAAGCCATGAAACTTGTATTTTACATGTATGTAATATGGCTCCTTTCTCTCAGTTTACATCTTTCACTTAGTTCATTAATGATTTATGATATTGTTATATGCACTATTTGTCGTCTCTTAATTTCTGGTAATGTACTTTTAAACATATGTTTTATATTGAACATAATTGATGCCACTGTACACTCTCAGTAAAAATATTCCACTGTTTTCAGATATGTCAATGCAGAAAGTGAAACAGCGGTACAACAACCCTGTACTCTCTCACTACCAAGCTAAACCTAGCGGTACTAAGTGAAGAGTTGACTTTTACGTCCACTCTAGTATCATTAGTCCAGAACAGCTTCGTCCAGATGAGAACTCCTACAATGTGTACATCGACAACAATATTAAGTCTAACACATTCTCTACATCAGGTAATGAACAGACCTGTCGATTATGTGATCCTTTCCATAAATATTTCAGATTTGTTTTACAATTTAAAAAGATAAATTGAAGTACTATGTACATGCATGAGATACACATAACTAAAAAAATATATTAATGTCATTTTCATTTGTTTTACAGCATCACGTCACAGGCATGGAAGTTATGTACCTATGGGTTTAAGAACAGTGTTGGCAGTACACAGACTCAGTTTGTTTTGTGCTGTACTGAATCTAACACGAGGCCTTGCTGTAATAAATGATGCTCATATTGAGGTAAGCACTGCTGGTAATTATCACACCTAGGAAACAGACATATCCCTTCTTTGTGTTCGGACACTGTCATTTATGGATAAATAACTCAGACTTGAAATAATTTGTTCTCTTACCATATATGTGAGAAATAGTTATCCGCCAGTTATGAACAATATTCAATGTCTTAATCCAACTACTATGTTGTTTTACTTGTGTAATTAAGGTGTGTAACACAAAAATGTTATGTTTCTAATATAACAATGTTAATTTTAGGACTATGACACTGACCACTATCAGTATGCAGCAACTTTTATACTCAACGGCATACTCTCAGTATACCAGGTAAGGACTTTTATACTCCACTGTACACTTTCAGTTTACCTGGTAAGGACTTTTATACTCAACTGTACACTTTCAGTTTACCTGGTAAGGACTTTTATACTCCACTGTACAGTCTCAGTTTACCAGGTAAAGATTTTTATACACAACTGTACACTCTCAGTTTACCAGGTAAAGATTTTTATACACAACTGTACACTCTCAGTTTACCAGGTTAGGACTTTTATACTCCACTGTACACTCTCAGTTTACCAGGTAAGGACTTTTATACTCCACTGTACACTCTCAGTTTACCAGGTAAAGATTTTTATACACAACTGTACACTCTCAGTTTACCAGGTTAGGACTTTTATACTCCACTGTACACTCTCAGTTTACCAGGTAAGGACTTTTATACTCCACTGTACACTCTCAGTTTACCAGGTAAAGATTTTTATACACAGCTGTACACTCAGTTTACCAGGTAATGACTTTTATACACAACTGTACACTCTCAGTTTACCAGGTAAAGATTTTTATACACAGCTGTACACTCTCAGTTTACCAGGTAAGGACTTTTATTTATAGTCCACTGTACACTCTCAGTTTACCAGGTAAAGATTTTTATACACAGCTGTACACTCAGTTTACCAGGTAATGACTTTTATACACAACTGTACACTCTCAGTTTACCAGGTAATGACTTTTATGCACAACTGTACACTCTCAGTTTACCTGGTAAGGACTTTTATTTATAGTCCACTGTACACTCTCAGTTTACCAGGTAATGACTTTTATACACAACTGTACACTCTCAGTTTACCTGGTAAGGACTTTTATTTATAGTCCACTGTACACTCTCAGTTTACCTGGTAAGGACTTTTATTTATAGTCCACTGTACACTCTCAGTTTACCAGGTAATGACTTTTATACACAACTGTACACTCTCAGTTTACCTGGTAAGGACTTTTATACACAACTGTACACTCTCAGTTTACCTGGTAAGGACTTTTATACACAACTGTACACTCTCAGTTTACCTGGTAAGGACTTTTATACACAACTGTACACTCTCAGTTTACCTGGTAAGGACTTTTATACACAACTGTACACTCTCAGTTTACCTGGTAAGGACTTTTATACACAACTGTACACTCTCAGTTTACCTGGTAAGGACTTTTATACACAACTGTACACTCTCAGTTTACCAGGTAATGACTTTTATACACAACTGTACACTCTCAGTTTACCAGGTAAAGATTTTTATACACAACTGAACACTCTTAGTTTACCACATAAGGACTTTTATTCAAGGGCCTTCATTACTCATTCACACTATAATAAGATAACAGTAAGAGAAGAGTTGAAACTTATTGAGGAGACGGTGAATGTCAAGATCTGTCACAGTTTTCTGGTTCACAGCTGTTGCTTTTAAAGAACTTACTACTGCTATAATGTCTTTAAATATGAACAAAGATGTGTTTTTGATTTGTTGTAGGTATACCTCCTGTGTGTGCCGTTGAAGACCAGAAGACCACTGGCATGTGCAACACTCTTCAGCATTTGTCTGTGTCAACTCTACCTGTGGGAATATCGAAATAATTATCTCATCATTTTTCACTTCATTGTTGCTGTGTTTGGAACTTTCGTAATATTTCAACGGAAAGTGCAAGAAAAACTTCCACAGTATATGTTATGATAGTCAATACACTGTTGTTGTAATTGGATATGGGTTTTAGCCATAATATATAAGTTCAGTGTTCATTGGTTTTTTTTTTCTTTTTGACATAGGCCCTTGTGTTTTTTTATCAAAATGATAAGAAGCAAACTGCAACAAAATCAATTGTTTATTAATGTATATAATATCAATTTTCATGATTGCAGCAAAGCTCATCTGTACACTGAGACTAAATTATTGAGAATGTCAGCATTACCTGGGAAATGTGGTTGTTCTGCTTTAGACATATTCATATGGCCAGTATTTCTTATCAAGAATGGAATTTCAATATCTTATACAGTGTTTCTCTAGACTCTGTATGTTGTACTCTGTTTTACATAGGAACAGACTTTTTTGTAATTCTGTTGACACAGTTTGAAATACCCTTTAAATCAATACTAGAATGATTTAGTAAGGTGAATACTGTTTTCTAGTCAATTATATGATATTAAATTCATAATTACATTTTGATGATATTGTAAAATGACCTTATTTTGATCATCAGTGAATGAGTGGTAGTTATCTTAGTACCATACAACCTGTTTCATCAGGCAGGTGAGCTTAAGAGTTTGACCAAAAAATGCCCAGTACTCAAATAGACTCATAAGTAAGATGTTCTTAGGAAAAATGTGAATTTAGACCTTGGGACATTTTTTAGGCTAAACAAGTTATAAGAGAATTTTCGGGACCAACATTTTCGTTTCTAATCTGATTAACACTGAAAGAATCTTGATAGAGCCATAATTGTGTGATTTATCATAGGACTAAGGAGGATCTGGAAAGTCATATAAATGTTTTTCCTTGCTTTGTGACATCATGGCATTCTAATACTGCCTAAAGACAATGGACACATATGATGAGGACAGTAAGTGGTCAAAGGAAACATGATTTTGTTTTACATATATTTTTAGGTTAAGTAACAAAAATCTTGAACCAATATCCATTTTATCATTGGATTATCTGTGATGAACCTTATTTTCAAAGTCTACCTGTCAAGCCTGGCTGGGCTTTAAATTTGTCTTCTATGGAAACTTGCTGACATCTGGAAACTAGAACTGGGATTCATAGAGATTGATTTGGTAGATATGGAAAAGGGCAATATTTTTCTACAATGTGAGTTCACATTTAGCATTGTATATCAGTTGTGTTTTATTGGCTCATTTTGCCAACATATTACTGATTGAAATTCTGTTGAATGGAGTGCTTTGTAAATTGATCTGTAGCAATATACATACAGACTACCTTTATTTGTGACTCCTGAACAAAAAGAAATCACACAACATGTCAGAAGATTTGATTCAGAGATTGTTCATTAATGGTTAAAAATGAAATTCATGAAGTTTTCACCAAAAATGTATTACATCTTTACCATTATGCCCCACAGTGTCATGACAGTGTTTTAGGACATATTGACAGATGTCAGTGGTCAGTGTTTTTGGGGGTCCATATACTAAGGTCATTGGTCATTATTGTATGATCTATTAACTAAGGTCACTGGTCAGTTTATTATGGTCTATCAACTCAGGTTATTTATCAGTGTTTTACGATATTTTGACTAAGGACATTTTTTTATTGGTGTTTTACGATCTTTTGACTAAGGACATAGCTCAGTGTTTTACTAATTTTTGACTAAGGACATTGGTAAGTGGTTTATGATCTTTTGACTAAGGACATTGGTCAGTGTTTTAGATCTTTTGACTAAGGACATTGGTCAGTGGTTTATGATCTTTTGACTAAGGACATTGGTCAGTGTTTATGATCTTTTGACTAAGGACATTGGTCAGTGTTTTAGATCTTTTGACTAAGGATATTGGTCAGTGTTTTACGAACTTTTGACTAAGGACATTGGTCAGTGTTTTAACGCCCATCGACTAGGTATGTCCATCACTGTTTATAATCTATTGATCAGTGTTTTAAGCCAGTAAAGTGATTTTTTTCATTACCAAAATCAGAAATATTCCAAACCCCACTACGTCCTTCACTAGGATAATGGTTGTTGTGAGAATGTTGATTGAATCTGCGTGTTAGTTTGTGTCAAGAATGTGAATTGTAAAGCATGAAAATACTATGAAATAAAAATATTGATTAAGAAAATAGAATAATTTGTATTTCATTTCGCATATAAGTCCTACTACAGTCATCATTATAGTTTTATTGAGGAATCAAATATGGAAAAGACATGCAGTCCTGCAGCCAATGTATACACCCAACATTCGGGCCCGTGCTTTTATGGCAAAACTGAAACGAAAACAAAAAACAAAAAAAATCTATTTTGTGTGAAGTTAACAGTTGGAAATTATAATATTGTAAATTAGATAGGTATCCTGTTTTCACGCAGGATGTTTTGTTTTTATTCAAAATGACAAAACAAATGTAACTATGTTAAGTTAGTTCCTGCTGGTGTAGGCGTCAAACTTGACTATCGGGTAAACATATCTCAAAGTATATCTTTAAATCACAGTCTGATTAAAATGCCATAATATTATCATTATACACCACAAAGACATGTAGGCCTATAATGGAACAATTGATAGACAATACATATCCAAGAGCAATGGCAATATGTATGCCATTTTACACCTTGTGAGTTATTTATTTCTTTTTATTTCAAAATAGGTAATTTAAGATTTTTAAGAATTTTTGGGTTACCGATATTAACCCTTCTCATACTTTAACTGCCGATATGGAATAAGAACGATAACTCATGTTAAAGATCGTGTCCGTATTTTTAGCGCTATAAGCGATATCTCTTTCGGTATATAGTTTGTTTTAATCTCCATTTTCGATTTGGTATGCTTTACAATATATTTTCCACTGAAATAAAAGCTATTTTGTTTCATATATAACAAAAGTAGATAGATCAATGAACGAATAAATAAAATCAGATGATTTATAATATTATAAGCGACCTTCCATTTTGAACAGCAACACATGGCGGGATGTTGTTAAACAGATGGATGGATGCACAGTAATTTCAACGAGTTAGAAAAGACCAGTCCTTAAAAATACATGGTTGAAAAAAGATTTTGACCGCTTCTGATCAATGTACTTGAGAAGATCGACAAAATGAAGAGAGTTTCAGCATTTTCTGTGTTTAAAGCTAAAAAGGTACTGTGCATGTGTCACGATAAGAAACGTGAGAAATGCACGTTACTCAGTGTTGCTATATTTGTATTATTAACCACGAGTGATGTATATATAAAGATACCTTCAAAATCTAGAGTAGTTATGTAGTCGTGATGTAAAGGTTGAGAGTACAGTTCAGATACTGAAACACTGTCACTTAAAAATGATAATAAAAAAAACACAATATCCGTGTGTGTAGTCCACAAGTACCTGTGATTTAAGTTAGAGTTTTTGTGACTCATGATGCTGATAATCATGGATCCTTGAGCTGCTGCCAAAGTCAGTGTAAGAGGAGCGAAGTGACAAGTAGGGGAAGAAGGCTGCAGCTCCCTCCAGCAAGAAGGGCACAGACACCCCTCCCCATAAGTAAAAATTGAAATTTTAGATACATTTAAAATCCTGCATTCGGAGCATTTTCAAGTACTTTTTTATGCTACTGATATTTCCAGAAATCATGTTATATTTGATGTGTTACTAACTGATTACTCAAAGTAGTAACTGTCCATCAAATACAGGACCATATGAGGGGTTGTGTCCAACCTGATAAAGTATAGATTTTTTAAAAACATAATAACCACATATAGATTTTATAACATAGGAAGAAGACCAGCAGAATGATATCGACAAAGGGATGATTCGTCGTGCAGCCAGTACACCTGCTGTAAATGTAACTGATGATAAGAAGGTGGATGGCAAAAGCAAAAAACTCCTGGTATGATTAAGAAATTTGATTGATGTTGTATGTATCATATATTCTTCAGATCGGAATGATATATTCTTCAAGACATGAAAATATGTTACAAAGCTTTTTGCCTATATGAAGAGGAAATTAATCTCATAATGCTCACAGGTTAGTAAAGAGTGAATGTTTAATCAGTCGCAGAGACTTCATCACGACAGATAGGGCTAAATTAGTAGACAGGTTAAACACCCATTTACTAGTAAGGCTTGAGTATGTTGTGATTAATTTCCTCTTCATGTTTAGTATTTAGTTTCTGTTAAATCAATTTTCATACCTTTTGGTATCCTTACTCAAAGTTCTCTATTCCTTATCCTCATATTTACACCTGACATTGGCTACTTCCTTTTGAAGCTATTTGCTTTTTACGATAATTTACAATTATTGAAAAAAAAACTTTTCTGAATCTTTATCTTTTAATGTCAGGGATTTTTCTGCTATAGAACTTGGGACCAAATAATGGCTGCTTTTCTTGAAATTTCCATTCTTGTAAAGTATATTAACATAAGTAAGCAAAATCAGGGACATGTAAAATTCAGGAACTGGAAACAAGGCCCGACGGAGTTAATCTGGTCTTAGCTTTGGTGTTTGTTCATTCGCCATATTTTTGTTAAACCCCAGTCCTCACTGTTGTTATTTAATCCCATCAACCAGTGCCCCTTTAACTGCTTATTTGATTCAGTGTCAGCAGCACAGACAGCCCTTATCAGAACCAATTTGTGAGAAGTGAATTTTTTTTGTAACAATAAAATGATATAGATTAAATGCTTTATCTAAAAAGCTGTTTCAGAGTGAAAGTATTATACTAAATAGGACAGACATTATTTCATTTGTAGATAACTGAAACTTGTGTTTTGTTATAGATATATCAAAAGTTCATAGAAATTATTTCTCCCAAATGTTAGCATGTCCAATTTGAAAATTATTCGCCCTTTTACTACTGTTTACTTTGAAACGACCAGTGACATATTTTTAAAGAAAATTCTATAGTATATAAAGACAGCAAGGCTAGTTGACATGAACATCAAACATTTGACAAATGTCTGTTCAGTATTGGAGTTGAGTCTCTTCCCAAATAGCAGATAATTGTCTGTTTGCTTTAGTATTGGGACCAGGCCTGATTCTCAGATATCAAACAATTGTCTGTTTGGTATTTGGGACCAGGTCTGCTTCTCAACCACCAAATAGATGTCTGTTTGGTAATTGGGACCAGGCCTGCTTCTCAACCACGAAATAGATGTCTGTTTGGTATTTGGGACCAGGCCTGCTTCTCAACTAAGAAATAGATGTCTGTTTGTTATTGGGGCCCAGCCTGCTTCTCAAATACCACACACATATAGATGACTTGTTTGGTTGTTGGGCAAAGCCTGCTTCTCGTCAACCAGATAAATGTCTGATTATTATTGGAACCAGGCCTGCTTCTCAATTACACACAATATGCAATTGCAACTGAATGTATTGACTATGATGTAAAATTTCAGAGGGCACTAAAGACGGGCAGTCTGCGTCAGAGTTTACGGGGAACACCAAAAATGAGACCTTCTATCCTAAAGGTACGTGAGAGTGGTCCAGTAGCTGGAGATGAGGACACTGTGAAATTGACTAGTCTACGAGCATCAAACTCAGACCTGACCAATGATTCAACACCAGCTATCGCTAAAAAGCCACACAAAGAAAAATTGTCTAGTAAGTCACACCTTGTTTTTCCCTCAGTTTCAAATCAGTCAGTTCTTATATGTATTTATAGAAGGAGCAATAGGTCTTGTCTGTTATTTGCATTAAGATCTATCAGACAGACTTAGCTCTGATCTCATAAAGTTGGAGTGCAGGAATATGTTTTGTGAAAACATTGTATGGTTACTAGTCCGCTATGACTATTTACCTCACCTTATCATAAATAGGTGCAAGTCTTCGCCAGGACACACCCAAGGTACCACAAACAACAATCATTAAACCTCGCCGTAAGATGCAGCCTGGTGGGAACCCCTTGCCACCTAAAGGTAAAGTGCAATCCCAATCAAAACCACCTATTGACACAACAAGGTCATCGTCCAAGGTTAAAACAGAAGCATCTGAACTACAAGCCCAATCGCCTAAATCTCCAGCCAGCAAAGAAAATTCTTCACCCAAACAAGGAAGGGAAGGAGTGTCACCAAGTTCAAAATCAGCACAGAAAAAGCACAAGAGACAACAAATTTCTGCTGAAAATGGAACACCAAGCAAGAGAAAAAAATCAGAGGACTCAAGAAGTGATCAGTTTGAATGTAGCACAGAGGTACATTTATTTTATATTATAATTCTGTTCTTCGTATCAAATAATAGCAGGTTAAATCTACTAATTAATTATTTTAATTAATTCAAATTCTAAATAATTTAATTAATTTTAATAAGTATTACCCATCAATGCAAATTGTATTCCACTTTTTCGGTACATAAAATTTCTGAAGTATATCCTTACATGTACCCATAAAAGAGATATAATGAATATGCATACTCAAGCCAATGATGCAGAAAGTTAACTCAATTTTGACAAAAATATTTGAAATTAAGACAAATTTGAGTCCTGGACTGAGGACATGCACACATTTTAGGAACCCACTGTATCTTTAAGTAATGGTATTAATGTAAATTTATGAAATGATGTACTGGACTTGCCTGAGAAAATCCTGAAAAAATTATCGAAAATAAGAAAAGCCTTCTACATGTTAAATGAAAGTTTTATTGCCTTTTGCAGGAGATAGAGCAAGCCATGGATTTCTCAGAAGAAACAATAATGGAAAATTCCAATTTACCTTATATGCATGATAGCACCACGGAAGCCAAGAAAATTTTTGAGTGCCTGATACACCCAGTAAAACCAGATAAATTCTTCAAGTGAGTAAAGGGGCAATTGGCCTTGGCACAAGAAGTGTTATCACTTTATCAGTATTGTGTAGTTATCCTTCCTATGTAGAAAACCATGGATAGTTATTTCTGGTGTATCCTCTCGTCTCTGCTCTTCCTCACTTACTGGTATTTGTTTGTATTCAGTAAGTTATACTCGCTTAAATATTGTTTAATATCAACTCAGTATCTAGTAAATTTGTATTTAAATGTTCCTCATATCAAAATACAGTATCGCTGTTCTGAAAATCAATTGGAAGTATTACAACAACGAAATTCTGATTTCCATTTTTTCTCATTATCATCCTTTCTTACACCATGTAGTACATTATTATAATCGCAGACAATATTCACACATTGCTTATATTTAATGTACAGAGAACTGTGGGAGAAGAAACCGTTATTGGTAAAGAGACATATGAAGCAGTACAATGATGGCTGGTTTAGTACAGCAGAACTGGACAGGATTCTGCGGGAGGTATCAAACAGCACTATTGTCCAATCATCTATTTATATCTTCACTTTAAATAGTATCAGGCCTTACATCTTATTGTATCTGTCCTGCAGTAACCCAGGGGGGACAACTCATAACCAATGACTCAAAGTCAGGGTTGGGTCTAATGCAGGGCAGTGAAAAAGCTATGTCTTTCGTTAAACTGAACAACATTATTATATCGTTGGTTTTATTAGCCCACCATCTATTCAAATAGATGGTGGGTTATTCAAATCGCCCTGCATCTGTGGTCCGTGGTCCGTCCGTCCGTAAACAATTCTTGTTACCGCTATTTCTGGAAAGGTACTGGATGGATCTTTCTCAAATTTCATATGCAGGTTCCCCTTGGTCCCTAGTTGTGCATTGTACCTTTTTTGAACAGATTCGCATTCAAGATGGCCGACAGGTGGCCATCTTGGATTTTGGAAGTAAAAGTTTGTTACCGCTATTTCTGGAGAAGTACTGGATGGATCTTTCTCAAATTTCATATGCAGGTTCCCCTTGGTCCCTTGTTGTGCATTGTACCTTTTTTGGACTGATTCGAATTCAAGATGGCCGACAGGTGGCTAAATGGATCTTCCTCAAATTTCATATGCAGGTTCCCCTTGGTCCCTAGTTGTGCATTGTACCTTTTTTGGACTGATTCGAATTCAAGATGGCAGACAAGTGGCCATCTTGGATTTTGAATGTAAAAGTTTGTTACTGCTATTTCTTGGAAAGTACTGGATGGATCTTTCTCAAATTTCATATGCAGGTTCCCTTTAGTTCCAAGTTGTGCATTATACCTTTTAGGACTGATCTGAAATCAAGATGGCTGACAGGCAGCCATCTTGGATTTTGAGAGTAAAATCTTGTTACTGCTATATCTGAGGAAGTCCAGGATGGATCCTTCTGATATTTCATAGATATTGGTTTCCCTTGGTCCCTAGTTGTGCATTGTACCTTTTTTGGACTGATTTGAAATCAAGGTGGCCCACAGGCAGCCATCTTGGATGTCAACAGTAATACAGCACAAGCATATTGTCCATTATCCAACTGTAACTGACTGCTATCTAATAATACTTTGGGATCTTTTTCAAATGATATTTGCTAATAGGTGCTTAATAAAAATATCTTGTGCCATCATTGAGTACATTCAATGAAGACCAGTTCATGAACATTTACAACTCCTGTAACAAACAAAAAAAAATAAACAAATCTTCAAGAACTGAAAACAGATCCTCAAATGGTGGGCGCCAAGATCCCTCTGGGATCTCTTGTTACCAGATGAATGTTATTCTGCCATCATATTTAGTGTCTGAACATTTCCAATTGAGCCTAAAAGACAAAAAACGCATCCATAATTAATGACATCAGTCAGTTATATGTAGTTGTAGTGTTGTCCAAATCAAATGATTGCTTAATATAATCATATGTATGCATACAGTATATACTCTTGTTGCTGTTTCATTGTAGGAAACGATAGAAGTCAGATTATTTGAACTAATTTACTTTATTTCAGGAAAATGTGCAGTTTTCAGTAAATTTAGATATAACAACATTTACAAATGGAGTGAGAGAGACACACAACCCAGTGGGAAGGGCATATGCACCTGTGGTGTGGGACATGTACCAGGTAAATTAACGACACTAATTAGACGAGAATTGATCGAAAGTTCTGGCTAACCAGGTTCTGTTATCAAGAAGAAGAATGTGATATGACTCTTTGGCCTTTTTCAGTATAATATAATTTCAAACATTATAAATAAGGCTGAGTTTTTGGAGAGTATGTTAGTGGCACCAGAACTGATACCAGTGTAAATATTTATTCAACCTCTAGAAAGTTTTCGTAGTAATCTAGGTGTTTAGTTTAAATATGATCATGTATTCTGTGTGAATTGTGAATTTAATTTTAGAGTGGCTGCTCAGTGCGATTGCTAAATCCACAGACCTACTCCAGGAATGTGTGGAAGTTATTGTCTATGCTACAAGAATACTTTGGCTGTTGTGTAGGAGCTAATACGTAAGTTATGGTAACTGAACTGTACAGTCTATTTTACTTTTATCTGTAAAATATATACCTCTCATAACTACATCCATTTTGTGTATGTAATTTTGGCAATAAAGAGGATTTTTACCTATAAATCTATATGTGTTTTTACCTATAAATCTATGTGAATTTACCTGTAAATTTATATGTGTTGAAGTTGTTAGCAACATGCTTGGTTCTTATATAAATAAAGTTATTAAGAAAATAGAAATATGAGAGACTGCATATTTTCACCAGTTTGCAGACTTAACTTAATTGTAGCGAGGCCACATGGTATGTAGTGTCAATGTTGATAACAAGGTTGTTTTTAGGCTAGTTGAATTGAAACAACTTTATCCTAATTACTGGGAAAAATTCTCAAAACAATGATTTATCTTCCTCACTTTATTTTGGTCACAGATACTTAACACCTCCAGGAACACAAGGGTTTGCCCCCCACTATGATGATATAGAGGCGTTTATACTACAGCTGGAGGGGAAGAAACACTGGCGTCTTTACAGTCCAAGGTCAGTACCCATGTGTCTCGTCATACAATGCTTGATTTGTCAGCTAGTCACAGTGGCATAGTGTTGTCACTGGATCTTCAAACTGTAGAGTTCAGGATTTGTGTTAATGTGAACTAGTCCTATACTCAAACTGTACAGTTCAGGATTTGTGTTAATGTGAACTAGTCCTATAATCAAACTGTACAGTTCAGGATTTGTGTTAATGTGAACTAGTCCTATAATCAAACTGTACAGTTCAGGATTTGTGTTAATGTGAACTAGTCCTATAATCAAACTGTACAGTTCAGGATTTGTGTTAATGTGAACTAGTCCTATAATCAAACTGTACAGTTCAGGATTTGTGTTAATGTGAACTAGTCCTATAATCAAACTGTACAGTTCAGGATTTGTGTTAATGTGAACTAGTCCTATAATCAAACTGTACAGTTCAGGATTTGTGTTAATGTGAACTAGTCCTATAATCAAACTGTACAGTTCAGGATTTGTGTTAATGTGAACTAGTCCTATAATCAAACTGTACAGTTCAGGATTTGTGTTAATGTGAACTACTGTGGATTCATTTTATTTCGTGGGGGTCCAATTTTCGTTGTTTTCGTGGATGAGCAAATCCATGAATTTAAAAACACAACGAAATATGAACTACTTACTATTTGACCAAGTAATCTTTGCCGACACCGGAAACGTCCACCGGTAATGACAGAAGCCCCGTAATTAGTCGGGAGTCGGGTAGTCTGAGGCTCGACATGGATACGCTAAATTGGTGTCAACGATATATAATTATATATCATTAAACATAACAAAAGGTAATTACCCATTGTGATGCTAAGTATGATGGGATCGCAGTCGTTAGCGACACTGTGGACACTAGGCTTGATCGGACCATCCTGTCGATTGAAGATTGGATCCGTATTTCTATCCGACTACAGGTTCACAATAATTATTAATAAAAACAACAGACACAATTTGTTGAGATAATGAATTAGTTTATGCATTTCAAATATTCAATCAGAAGAAAACAACAACAAAGTAAGCACTAGATCATACAAAACTTTTTAACACCCTAAACATTTATGAAACGTGTAATGCTACGCCTTGACATAATATTCCAGCACTAAGGAGTCCATGAACATTTTCTTCTGAGAAACTATGAATTGCGAATCATTAATGAAATTAAATGTTTTTTCCCCACAATATTCTGATATTCTGAACATTCTAAACATATCATGATTATTAATCAGTTCATATTAGTCCTGCTTTCTGGAAGCCATGTACGATCACATCTCGGCGCTGAGAGATTTTCTCGTGCGTGTCAATTACCCACTGCGCGTGTATCGGTTTCAGTACGGATGTTTTTAAGTCTACAACAGCTCCACACATATTGTCCGCATCATCCTCTCGATCACGTAACTTGGCCATCACTTGTTGAGAGTACCATTCATGGAAGTGTGTTTTGAGTTCCTCCTTGTAATCATAATTAACAGACAGGTCTAGTGGTTGCAGTCTATCGGTACAGCATGCCGGTACAAAGAGAGGCGTGATTCCATGGTCTTTCAATTTGGCCAACAGTGCTGCACCCAATCACCCCCCGGCACAAGTTGACACCCTGTTTGGTCCCAGTTAATGACTAGAGAATCCGGAATGTTACTACCACTGACAACATTGTTCACTTTCTCCAAGAATTTTCGCTGAATGTCACTGAAATCCTCCGGAGTAACTTTGACACTTTTTGTCCCCTTGCGTTTCACGAATCCCATTCTCCGTAGAAGAGATCTAGTCCAGAACTTTGTTATCACAATATGTCCACCATATCTCTGCAGCTTTCGTCGCATGAATTTCGTCACGATACCCTCTGCCGCGGCCATCACAATTCGCACATTGATAACACCACCGTTCAATCTCAATTGTCGTATCCAGTCTTGCACTTGGTTGTCAAGTTCTTCGCCTAGCAACAGGGGATTTCCCCTAGGTGACTTGGATAACACTGACAGTTCAGTTCCACCTTTCTTTTTTAATTTCACGTACTGATCGCGCATACTCCTGACCGTTGTCTCACTAACTTTTCTTTCAAGTTCAGCACTGAATTTTCTGGATGCTTTCGCTACCCCGTTGTCTATGGAACACCTAGCGATCTTTGCCCTCGTTTCATCATCATATGTCTGATATTCTCCACGTTTACGTTTACGACCACTGGTGGTTATTGGTTCCGTTTCATCATTCGCGGCTTGGTATGTTAGGGCTTGTTCCCTGCTGGGTGCTTCTGAAGGGTTGGGTAGCCCAGGAACGTCAGGCTTTCGCAGATTCAATTTCCCGGATTTTAACCACTGTGTTAACGACATGATGGATAAGATACATAATGATATGTTTATCACTGTGATTTCTTTATACTATCGACAGTGAGTTGTGTTTTTACTTCATAATTGTTTCTGCAGATCTTGTTTACACACCTGTTACACACATAGTCCATTAATTGACTGATAATTACTGATTGATTACACGCCAGGATATATACTGATTTGTGGTTTGATATTAATTCGAGACTGTTGTAAACAGAAACCAGCGTTATAAAAACACAGGACACCATCTTGAAAAAAAAACGTTCTTTTATTCTGGTCATCAGTGTTAATTCCTGTGAACATAGCCTTAATACAAACAGAAAAAATTTCGACTGGAAGCAAAAAGAGAACATTCTAACGTTTTTATTTTTTCCCCACAGAATTAAAAATCCACGAATTTATGAGTCCACGAAACTGTCTAATTTGTAGAAACAACGAAAATTGAACCCAACGAAAATAAATGAATCCACAGTAGTCCTATAATCAAACTGTACAGTTCAGGATTTGTGTTAATGTGAACTAGTCCTATAATCAAACTGTACAGTTCAGGATTAGTGTTAATGTGAACTAGTCCTATAATCAAACTGTACAGTTCAGGATTTGTGTTAATGTGAACTAGTCCTATAATCAAACTGTACAGTTCAGGATTTGTGTTAATGTGAACTAGTCCTGTAATCAAACTGTACAGTTCAGGATTTGTGTTAATGTGAACTAGTCCTATAATCAAACTGTACAGTTCAGGATTTGTGTTAATGTGAACTAGTCCTATAATCAAACTGTACAGTTCAGGATTTGTGTTAATGTGAACTAGTCCTATAATCAAACTGTACAGTTCAGGATTAGTGTTAATGTGAACTAGTCCTATAATCAAACTGTACAGTTCAGGATTTGTGTTAATGTGAACTAGTCCTATAATCAAACTGTAGAGTTCAGGATTTGTGTTAATGTGAACTAGTCCTATAATCAAACTGTACAGTTCAGGATTTGTGTTAATGTGAACTAGTCCTATAATCAAACTGTACAGTTCAGGATTTGTGTTAATGTGAACTAGTCCTATAATCAAACTGTACAGTTCAGGATTTGTGTTAATGTGAACTAGTCCTATAATCAAACTGTAGAGTTCAGGATTTGTGTTAATGTGAACTAGTCCTATAATCAAACTGTACAGTTCAGGATTTGTGTTAATGTGAACTAGTCCTATAATCAAACTGTACAGTTCAGGATTTGTGTTAATGTGAACTAGTCGTATCATGCTTGTTTTTCTGCTCTTCACAGTAATGTAGTGACCATGTAAACTTGTCATACAGTGTTTATCCTGTCTCAGAGTCACAGTAATGTAGTGTCCATGTAAACTTGTCATACAGTGTTTATCCTGTCTCAGAGTCACAGTAATGTAGTGTCCATGTAAACTTGTCATACAGTGTTTATCCTATCTCAGAGTCACAGTAATGTAGTATACATGTAAACTTGTCATACAGTGTTTATCCTGTCTCAGAGTCACAGTAATGTAGTGTCCATGTAAACTTGTCATACAGTGTTTATCCTGTCTCAGAGTCACAGTAATGTAGTGTCCATGTAAACTTGTCATACAGTGTTTATCCTGTCTCAGAGTCACAGTAATGTAGTGTCCATGTAAACTTGTCATACAGTGTTTATCCTGTCTCAGAGTCACAGTAATGTAGTGTCCATGTAAACTTGTCATACAGTGTTTATCCTGTCTCAGAGTCACAGTAATGTAGTGTCCATGTAAACTTGTCATACAGTGTTTATCCTGTCTCAGAGTCACAGTAATGTAGTGTCCATGTAAACTTGTCATACAGTGTTTATCCTGTCTCAGAGTCACAGTAATGTAGTGTCCATGTAAACTTGTCATACAGTGTTTATCCTGTCTCAGAGTCACAGTAATGTAGTGTCCATGTAAACTTGTCATACAGTGTTTATCCTGTCTCAGAGTCACAGTAATGTAGTATCCATGTAAACTTGTCATACAGTGTTTATCCTGTCTCAGAGTCAAGTAATGTAGTATACATGTAAACTTGTCATACAGTGTTTATCCTGTCTCAGAGTCACAGTAATGTAGTATCCATGTAAACTTGTCATACAGTGTTTATCCTGTCTCAGAGTCACAGTAATGTAGTATCCATGTAAACTTGTCATACAGTGTTTATTCTGTCTCAGAGTCACAGTAATGTAGTATCCATGTTAACTTGTCATACAGTGTTTATCCTGTCTCAGAGTCACAGTAATGTAGTGTCCATGTGAACTTGTCATACAGTGTTTATCCTGTCTCAGAGTCACAGTAATGTAGTATACATGTAAACTTGTCATACAGTGTTTATCCTTTCTCGGAGTCACAGTAATGTAGTATCCATGTAAACTTGTCATACAGTGTTTATCCTGTCTCAGAGTCACAGTAATGTAGTGTCCATGTAAACTTGTCATACAGTGTTTATCCTGTCTCAGAGTCACAGTAATGTAGTATACATGTAAACTTGTCATACAGTGTTTATCCTGTCTCAGAGTCACAGTAATGTAGTGTCCATGTAAACTTGTCATACAGTGTTTATCCTGTCTCAGAGTCACAGTAATGTAGTATCCATGTTAACTTGTCATACAGTGTTTATCCTGTCTCAGAGTCACAGTAATGTAGTATACATGTAAACTTGTCATACAGTGTTTATCCTGTCTCAGAGTCACAGTAATGTAGTGTCCATGTAAACTTGTCATACAGTGTTTATCCTGTCTCAGAGTCACAGTAATGTAGTATCCATGTTAACTTGTCATACAGTGTTTATCCTGTCTGAGAGTCACAGTAATGTAGTATCCATGTAAACTTGTCATACAGTGTTTATCCTGTCTCAGAGTCACAGTAATGTAGTATACATGTAAACTTGTCATACAGTGTTTATCCTGTCTCAGAGTCACAGTAATGTAGTATACATGTAAACTTGTCATACAGTGTTTATCCTGTCTCAGAGTCACAGTAATGTAGTATACATGTAAACTTGTCATACAGTGTTTATCCTGTCTCAGAGTCACAGTAATGTAGTGTCCATGTAAACTTGTCATACAGTGTTTATCCTGTCTCAGAGTCACAGTAATGTAGTGTCCATGTAAACTTGTCATACAGTGTTTATCCTGTCTCAGAGTCACAGTAATGTAGTGTCCATGTAAACTTGTCATACAGTGTTTATCCTGTCTCAGAGTCACAGTAATGTAGTATACATGTAAACTTGTCATACAGTGTTTATCCTGTCTCAGAGTCACAGTAATGTAGTGTCCATGTAAACTTGTCATACAGTGTTTATTCTGTCTCAGAGTCACAGTAATGTAGTGTCCATGTAAACTTGTCATACAGTGTTTATTCTGTCTCAGAGTCACAGTAATGTAGTGTCCATGTAAACTTGTCATACAGTGTTTATTCTGTCTCAGAGTCACAGTAACTTCTTACTCTGTCTTTTGACTCCGTTAGTGTACAAACCCTGGTGGTCTCATCTACTGACAGGAATTTGTTCCCAGGTTATGTGTACTTATATGGGCACTACTCCCTATTGAAATTGTTAATGCTTATGCTTTATGCCAAAGTTTTACACCTGGGAAATTTTGCTTTGCTTCTTTATTGGTCATTTTCCTTTCAGAAATAAGACCAAATATGATATACAGTCTGTTAACATAGTCTTAGAGTTTTCTGTTTATTAGTAATTTAATCAGATTCCAATCAAATGTTAACTGTATTTTGTTGCCTTGACAGCTTGATTGAGTCATCTAATATCTATGTTTTTGTCATTCCTATTTTTTTAATGTGATATTTTTAAGTCCTGATCCCTCATTAGGTGTGCTTACAGTTAAATTGATGTTTAAATATGATGTTAATGATTCTTGGATCATCATGAAGTATAACTAAATTTAATAGGATTTATATGAAAAAATAATCCATTTCAGGTCGGATGCAGAGAAGTTGCCTAGGTTCTCTAGTGGTAAGTTGAATTATAATCCTATGTTTTTAGACTTGATTAAGGACTCCTTTAGTAACAGCTGTGCTTCAGGGGATGCTAACTATCACATCTGTAGACATAAATCAAAGACTCGTCTAGTTACAGCTGTACTTCAGGGGATGCTAACTATCACATCTGTAGACATAAATCAAAGACTCGTCTAGTTACAGCTGTACTTCAGGGGATGCTAACTATCACATCTGTAGACATAAATCAAAGACTCGTCTAGTTACAGCTGTACTTCAGGGGATGCTAACTATCACATCTGTAGACATAAATCAAAGACTCGTCTAGTTACAGCTGTACTTCAGGGGATGCTAACTATCACATCTGTAGACATAAATCAAAGACTCGTCTAGTTACAGCTGTACTTCAGGGGATGCTAACTATCACATCTGTAGACATAAATCAAAGACTCGTCTAGTTACAGCTGTACTTCAGGGGATGTTACTATCACGTCTGTAGACATCAAATTAAGGACACGTCTAGTTACAGCTGTACTTCATGGGATGTTACTATCACGTCTGTAGACATCAAATTAAGGACACGTTTAGTTACAGCTGTACTTCATGGGATGTTACTATCATGTCTGTAGACATCAAATTAAGGACACGTCTAGTTACAGCTGTACTTCATGGGATGTTACTATCATGTCTGTAGACATCAAATTAAGGACACGTCTAGTTACAGCTGTACTTTCGGGGATGTTACTATCACGTCTGTAGACAACCAATTAAGGACATGTCTAGTTACAGCTGTACTTCAGGGGATGTTAACTATCATGTCTGTAGACATCAAATCAAAGACTCGTCTAGTTACAGCTGTACTTCAGAGGATGTTAACTATCATGTCTGTAGACATCAAATCAAAGACACGTCTAGTTACAGCTGTACTTCAGGGGATGCTAACTATCACATCTGTAGACATCAAATCAAAGACACGTCTAGTTACAGCTAGCTGTACTATAGGGGATGTTACTATCATGTCTTGACTTCAAATTAAGGGCATCTTTAGTATGGTAGTAGTTAAAAGCTGGAAACTTAGAATTAAAGAATATGTTGAATTGTGAAATCTTAGTTCTTAGTTCAAGTCTGGCTGAATAGCACCATGCCACATTATTAGAATTCAGCGATTTTTATAGAAATATTCTTAGGGCAGAGGTATCTGTACAATTTGAATCATGTGTTATATATACTTCTATCAGATATTTTCACCAAAAAAAACCCAACAAGTTGTTCCATTTTTGATTGTCTTTGATTTAGGTAACTTCACTGATGCTGATTTAGGCGAGCCTATATTAGAGAAGACACTTGAGCCAGGAGATCTTCTGTACTTCCCAAGGGGAACAATCCACCAGGTATATTTCAGTATACATTATCCAATATTTACTAGGGGACGTTTCACCAGATATATTTTATTACACAGTGCCAGGTATCTACCAAGGGATACCATTCACCAGGTATATTTCAGTATATACTTTCCCGTATCTACCAAGAGGGACCATCCACCTGGTATATTTCAGAATAAAGTGCCAGGTATCTACCAAGGGAGACCATTCACCAGGTATATTTCAGTAAATACTTTCCAGTATCTACGAAGAGGGACCATCCACCTGGTATATTTCGGAATACAGTGCCCGTTATCTTGGCAATAACATGATACAATTCTTTGTTACAAATCACCAATATTACCTTTCCTTTGCCACACCTGGAAGAGAAGAATAATGATAAATTACATGATTTACATTTATCCTAACCATTTTGAGATCTGTCACTGAACCTAAACTATTGTGAAACTTCAACTGACAGGTGTCCATGTTTAACATAAGTTGAAATAACAGAACTAATTGTTTTGAAGCACAATGTATTGAGATTTGTGGGTTATGTATAGATTATGACAGATTTCAGTATATTTTTGACCAGGCTAAAACAGTTGGAGATGAACACTCCCTACACATCACGGTTTCCTGTTACCAGAAGAACACGTGGGGAGATTTATTTGAAAAGGTACAAATTTCTCTTAAAATTTAAAATGCTGTTGTTGCTGTCTATCAACAGTGAAAAATGTTGAGAAGATATTGCACAGACCCTGAAGCAGTTTTAGATTATATTTACAGCATTTCCTTCTAATTACAATGTCACAACTGTTGATGTAAAAAACTTGTTTACAATTCCTACTGCTTCTTACAATGTAACTGTAATACATTCATATTTACAATCAGGAAAATAGTGATCAACCATTGTGTTGATAATCAATTACAAAAATTACCAGGTAAACTTCAAATTAAACAAAATAAACATCAAGGAGAATTATGATGGTTTTCAAGGAAGGGCTTATTCACTGGATCTTAACCATGTAGTTACCCTGTATTTGATTACTGTAAACATGATGTAAAATTTCAACATATACTCAATCTTTGGCAAATTAAGTCTATAATAAATTTGTACACAGTAATTCATATATAAGCAGCATGTAGACAGTGTGATTGGTAAAATCATATTAAAGTGCAATACTTTCAATGCAAAAACTGCTAAAATATGATTAATTCTGAATATACATTATATATTATATTGTCATACCAGACACTTTATCTTACAGTACTTTAGGGAATTTTCTGTACATTTTTACTTTCAGCTCATGCCTAGAGCATTGCAGATTGCCATTGAGGAAGATGTTGAATTCAGAAAAGGCTTACCTCGAGGTTATCTCAACTTCATGGGGGTCGCAAATTCTGATGTTGTAAGTAGAGTGTTTCACCACAATGTTAGCTCAACTTCATCTAGGCGGTGAACTCTAGTGGTGATTAATGTTAAGCTCAACTGCATTGGATTATCAAAATGTACAATCAGTGTATCAGTTCAATGGTTTTATTGTGCCAAGCACAGATTTTGGCATTTTTGAAAAATGGTATATGCAAGTTTGGTATCATACTTTCACCTTAATTATAAGTTAATATCGATAAATTGATAAATATTTGATATAATTATTTCTCAGTGAAAAGTCACCAGTTCAATATTCTTCATAAAATATAATGGCAAAAATATGACACTGGAGAAAAAAATTAAGTTTTATAGTAATATCTGCTTTCAGTTTAAAGTTACCTTTAAATAACACAACTGTATGTCACACATATTTACTTACTTGGTTTGCTCTGACAGGACAACCCACAGAGAAAAGACTTTCTAAGGAAGGTCGAGCAAATGATGGTTAGATTGATCAGCAATGCTCCAGTCGACGCTGCCTGTGACCAGATGGGGAAACAGTTCATACATGACAGTCTTCCTCCTGTTCTCTCAGAAGGTTGGGAGAGTTTTGACAGTAGTGTTCTGTTCTATTAGAAGGGATGGAGAGTTTAGACAGTAGTTTTCTGTTCTATTAGAAGGGATGGAGAGTTTAGACAGTAGTGTTCTGTTCTATTAGAAGGGATGGAGAGTTTAGACAGTAGTTTTCTGTTCTATTAGAAGGGAGGGAGAGTTTAGACAGTAGTGTTGTGTTCTATCAGAAGGTTGGGAGAGTTTAGACAGGTAGTGATCTGTTCTATTAGAAGGGATGGAGAGTTTAGACAGTAGTGTTGTGTTCTATTAGAAGGGAGGGAGAGTTTAGACAGTAGTGTTGTGTTCTATCAGAAGGGAGGGAGAGTTTAGACAGGTAGTGATCTGTTCTATTAGAAGGGAGGGAGAGTTTAGACAGTAGAGTTGTGTTCTATCAGAAGGGAGGGAGAGTTTAGACAGGTAGTGATCTGTTCTATTAGAAGGGAGGGAGAGTTTAGACAGTAGTGTTGTGTTCTATCAGAAGGTTGGGAGAGTTTAGACAGTAGTGTTGTGTTCTATCAGAAGGTTGGGAGAGTTTAGACAGGTAGTGATCTGTTCTATTAGAAGGGAGGGAGAGTTTAGACAGGTAGTGATCTGTTCTATTAGAAGGGAGGGAGAGTTTAGACAGTAGAGTTGTGTTCTATCAGGAGGGATGGAGAGTTTAGACAGTAGTGTTGTGTTCTATCAGAAGGGAGGGAGACTTTAGACAGTAGTGTTGTGTTCTATCAGGAGGGATGGAGAGTTTAGACAGTAGTGTTGTGTTCTATAAGGAGGGAGGGAGAGTTTAGACAGCGGAGTTGTGTTGTATCAGGAGGGATGGAGAGTTTAGACAGTAGTGTTGTGTTCTATCAGAAGGGAGGGAGAGTTTAGACAGGTAGTGATCTGTTCTATTAGAAGGGAGGGAGAGTTTAGACAGTAGAGTTGTGTTCTATCAGAAGGGAGGGAGAGTTTAGACAGGTAGTGATCTGTTCTATTAGAAGGGAGGGAGAGTTTAGACAGTAGTGTTGTGTTCTATCAGGAGGGAGGGAGAGTTTAGACAGTAGTGTTGTGTTCTATCAGAGAGTTTAAACAGTAGTGTTGTGTTCTATCAGAAGGGAGGGAGAGTTTAGACAGTAGTGTTGTGTTCTATCAGGAGGGAGGGGGAGTTTAAACAGTAGTGTTGTGTTCTATCAGAAGGGAGGGAGAGTTTAGACAGTAGTGTTGTGTTCTATAAGGAGGGAGGGAGAGTTTAGACAGTAGTGTTGTGTTCTATCAGAAGGGATGGAGAGTTTAGACAGTAGTGTTCTGTTCTAACAGAAGGGATGGAGAGTTTAGACAGTAGTGTTGTGTTCTATCAGGAGGGATGGAGAGTTTAGACCGAAGAGTTGTGTTCTATCAGAAGGGATGGAGAGTTTAGACAGTAGTGTTGTGTTCTATAAGGAGGGAGGGAGAGTTTAGACAGTAGTGTTGTGTTCTATCAGAAGGGAGGGAGAGTTTAGACAGTAGTGTTGTGTTCTATAAGGAGGGAGGGAGAGTTTAAACAGTAGTGTTGTGTTCTATCAGAAGGGAGGGAGAGTTTAGACAGGTAGTGATCTGTTCTATTAGAAGGGAGGGAGAGTTTAGACAGTAGAGTTGTGTTCTATCAGAAGGGAGGGAGAGTTTAGACAGGTAGTGATCTGTTCTATTAGAAGGGAGGGAGAGTTTAGACAGTAGTGTTGTGTTCTATCAGAAGGGAGGGAGAGTTTAGACAGTAGTGTTGTGTTCTATCAGAAGGGAGGGAGAGTTTAGACAGGTAGTGATCTGTTCTATTAGAAGGGAGGGAGAGTTTAGACAGTAGAGTTGTGTTCTATCAGAAGGGAGGGAGAGTTTAGACAGGTAGTGATCTGTTCTATTAGAAGGGAGGGAGAGTTTAAACAGTAGTGTTGTGTTCTATAAGGAGGGAGGGAGAGTTTAGACAGCGGAGTTGTGTTGTATCAGGAGGGATGGAGAGTTTAGACAGTAGTGTTGTGTTCTATCAGGAGGGAGGGGGAGTTTAAACAGTAGTGTTGTGTTCTATCAGGAGGGAGGGGGAGTTTAAACAGTAGTGTTGTGTTCTATCAGAAGGGAGGGAGAGTTTAGACAGTAGTGTTGTGTTCTATCAGGAGGGAGGGGGAGTTTAAACAGTAGTGTTGTGTTCTATCAGAAGGGAGGGAGAGTTTAGACAGTATCAGAAGTGTTGTGTTCTATAAGGAGGGAGGGAGAGTTTAGACAGTAGTGTTGTGTTCTATCAGAAGGGATGGAGAGTTTAGACAGTAGTGTTCTGTTCTAACAGAAGGGATGGAGAGTTTAGACAGTAGTGTTGTGTTCTATAAGGAGGGATGGAGAGTTTAGACAGTAGTGTTGTGTTCTATCAGAAGGGAGGGAGAGTTTAGACAGTAGTGTTGTGTTCTATAAGGAGGGAGGGAGAGTTTAAACAGTAGTGTTGTGTTCTATAAGGAGGGAGGGAGAGTTTAGACAGTAGTGTTGTGTTCTATAAGGAGGGAGGGAGAGTTTAGACAGTAGTGTTGTGTTCTATAAGGAGGGAGGGAGAGTTTAGACAGTAGTGTTGTGTTCTATAAGGAGGGAGGGAGAGTTTAGACAGTAGTGTTGTGTTCTATCAGGAGGGATGGAGAGTTTAGACCGAAGAGTTGTGTTCTATCAGGAGGGATGGAGAGTTTAGACCGAAGAGTTGTGTTCTAACAGAAGGGATGGAGACTTTAGACAGTAGTGTTGTGTTCTATCAGGAGGGATGGAGAGTTTAGACAGTAGTGTTCTGTTCTATCAAAAGGGAGGGAGAGTTTAGACAGGTAGTGATCTGTTCTAACAGAAGGGATGGAGAGTTTAGACCGTAGAGTTGTGTTCTATCAGAAGGGAGGGAGAGTTTAGACAGTAGTGTTGTGTTGTATCAGAAGGGAGGGAGAGTTTAGACAGTAGTGTTGTGTTCTATCAGAAGGGAGGGAGAGTTTAGACAGTAGTGTTGTGTTGTATCAGAAGGGAGGAAGAGTTTAGACAGTAGAGTTGTGTTCTATCAGAAGGGAGGGAGAGTTTAGACAGTAGAGTTGTGTTCTATCAGAAGGGAGGGAGAGTTTAGACAGTAGTGTTGTGTTCTATCAGAAGGGAGGGAGAGTTTAGACAGTAGTGTTGTGTTCTATCAGAAGGGAGGGAGAGTTTAGACAGTAGTGTTCTGTTCTAACAGAAGGGAGGGAGAGTTTAGACAGTAGTGATCTGTTCTAACAGAAGGGATGGAGAGTTTAGACAGTAGTGTTGTGTTCTATCAGAAGGGAGGGAGAGTTTAGACAGCGGAGTTGTGTTGTATCAGAAGGGAGGGAGAGTTTAGACCGAAGAGTTGTGTTCTAACAGAAGGGATGGAGACTTTAGACAGTAGTGTTGTGTTCTATCAGAAGGGAGGGAGAGTTTAGACAGTAGTGTTGTGTTGTATCAGAAGGGAGGAAGAGTTTAGACAGTAGTGTTGTGTTCTATCAGAAGGGAGGGAGAGTTTAGACAGTAGTGTTGTGTTCTATCAGAAGGGAGGGAGAGTTTAGACAGTAGTGTTGTGTTCTATCAGAAGGGATGGAGAGTTTAGACAGTAGTGTTGTGTTCTATCAGAAGGGAGGGAGAGTTTAGACAGTAGTGTTGTGTTGTATCAGAAGGGATGGAGTGTTTAGACAGTAGTGTTGTGTTGTATCAGAAGGGAGGGAGAGTTTAGACAGTAGTGTTGTGTTGTATCAGAAGGGAGGGAGAGTTTAGACAGTAGAGTTGTGTTCTATCAGAAGGGAGGGAGAGTTTAGACAGTAGAGTTGTGTTCTATCAGAAGGGATGGAGAGTTTAGACAGTAGAGTTGTGTTCTATCAGAAGGGATGGAGAGTTTAGACAATTCCTTGAGTGTCCTTGTAAACAGAAGCTGATGATTCAGAAAATATGATCTATTGAAATGGCACGAAATTTCAGCCTGGATCATACTTTATATTGGTTTTATTCCATTTGTCGGCATTTTGACCTTCTCTAGCCCAGCTACAAAACACTTCAGGAAAAGTACTTTTCCTGGCTCCAATAATTTACCAAAAAATTAATTAATTAAATCTTGTATAAAACCAAAGTATATTTGATGTTTTTTTTGTAGGTGAGAAATCATGTAGTATACACAATGGAGGAGAGAAATGGGATAAACAGAAAAATAAGGTGGTTGGGGCAACTGAAGTGGAGCCAGACACACATATAAAAATTGTTAGGAAAGGTGTTCTCAGGTAACTTAAAACCACTGTAGAGTAGCTGTACCTACTAAACCATTAGATCTAAAGCAAGTACTGAACTGGTTGTGGACTGATCAGATCATCTAAACTCATTTGGTCAAAGTATTTTAAATTCAAAAATTAAAATTAAGAGATTTTAAGATCATATGCCACATTGTGCAGCATCAGTCATCTGTGCATTATTTATGTTTACTTCAATAATCTAAACACTCTGGGCTGTTACTTCAATAATCTAAACACTCTGGGCTGTTACTTCAATAATCTAAACACTCTGGGCTGTTACTTCAATAATCTAAACACTCTGGGCTGTTACTTCAATAATCTAAACACTCTGGGCTGTTACTTCAATAATCTAAACACTCTGGGCTGTTACTTCAATAATCTAAACACTCTGGGCTGTTACTTCAATAATCTAAACACTCTGGGCTGTTACTTCAATAATCTAAACACTCTGGGCTGTTACTTCAATAATCTAAACACTCTGGGCTGTTACTTCAATAATCTAAACACTCTGGGCTGTTACTTCAATAATCTAAACACTCTGGGCTGTTACTTCAATAATCTAAACACTCTGGGCTGTTACTTCAATAATCTAAAGACCCTGGGCTGTTACTTCAATAATCTAAACACTCTGGGCTGTTACTTCAATAATCTAAAGACCCTGGGCTGTTACTTCAATAATCTAAACACTCTGGGCTGTTACTTCAATAATCTAAACACTCTGGGCTGTTACTTCAATAATCTAAACACTCTGGGCTGTTACTTCAATAATCTAAACACTCTGGGCTGTTACTTCAATAATCTAAACACTCTGGGCTGTTACTTCAATAATCTAAACACTCTGGGCTGTTACTTCAATAATCTAAACACTCTGGGCTGTTACTTCAATAATCTAAACACTCTGGGCTGTTACTTCAATAATCTAAACACTCTTGACTGTTACTTCAATAATCTAAACACTCTGGGCTGTTACTTCAATAATCTAAACACTCTGGGCTGTTACTTCAATAATCTAAACACTCTGGGCTGTTACTTCAATAATCTAAACACTCTGGGCTGTTACTTCAATAATCTAAACACTCTGGGCTGTTATGTTTAGTTGAAGAAATCTTATTTGTGTTGAAATGAAAAACATTAGCTATATACTACGTAATGAAAAGAATGGGTATGTACAAAAAAGTTGCTGGGCTAAAACTTTAAAACAAAGTCTTTATTACCTAAAGAACATGTGAACAAAACAGACCTTTTGGGCTGTTTTTTACACAGGCTGTAGGTGGCTGTAGAAGTATGTTGTTCACTAGGTTAAAAATCTCATAGACCCAGATTGATCATTGTCTTCTGTACAGTTTGTGCTATCTGATTACAGACTCCTAACAGAAGAGGATGAAGTAAGGATATATCACACACTTGAGAACGGACGTGTATACCATGATGTTGATCCTCAGTATATAGAGGTAGAGGCTGAGGTAAGGATATATCACTAGAGAATGAACGTGTATACCATGATGTTGATCCTCAGTATATAGAGGTGGAGGCTGAGGTAAGGATATATCTCTAGAGAATGAACGTGTATACCATGATGTTGATCCTCAGTATATAGAGGTGGAGGCTGAGGTAAGGATATATCACTAGAGAATGAACGTGTATACCATGATGTTGATCCTCAGTATATAGAGGTGGAGGCTGAGGTAAGGATATAGCACTAGAGACAGTATATATAGGTAGAGGCTGAGGTAAGGATATATCACAATGGAGAAAAGATATATTGATCATACTAAGACAATGTGCATTATACCAAATTCAGAGCCCTTGACCCCAAAATTGTAGAGTTATTGCCCTTGGATAATTTTTTTTTACAAATCATTACTGTTAAAATTTAGTGTGTGGAGCATTACTTTGCCTGCATTAAACCTAAGATATTAAAATGTGATGTATACATAAGTCATCCAAAAGCAAGGTGCAGTGTTGCAAAGTCATACCCCATGACCTTTTAGTACAGAGTTATTGCCCTTATTAAAATTTTATGACATGAGCATAACTTTGCTTGCATTTAAGGTAGGATAATGAAACTTAGTGTGTATATTGATCATAATAAAAGAATGTACAATATACCACATTCAGGGCCTGCAACCCCTTAATTACTGAATTATTGCCCTTTGTTGAAATGTTGTGTCCTTTAAGACTTTTTCAGGGAGTATTCATCAGTTTCATTTTTTTTTTTTTTTTTTTTTGATACATTTTAACATGATTGAGTATTACGTGGTCTGTCATTAGACCTTAGATAAGTCCTATTATGGCTGAGTTTTTGGATGAATCTTTCTTAAATATTATATGTAGGTTTCCCTTGTCTGACCCTTTTCTTTTAAGGAATTATCAGAGAAAAAAAAACAAAATTACTGAGAGGCGGCCATCTTTGATTTTGGCACTGAAAGTTTTTTATCACTATACATTGAAGAAGTGGATAGATCGTTTTAAAATTTCTTTTTCAGGTTTTCTTAGTCTCTAGTTGTGCCCTTTAAATTTTGGGACTGATAACAAAAACAAAATAGTTGACAGGCTGCTATTTTGTATTTTATAATATATAAGTTAGGAAATATTTCTTGAGAAGCACCATGTGGGTCTTTCTCAAATTTCATATGGAGGGTCACCTAGGTTCCTTGTAGTGCCTATGTAATTGTGACATTTTGACATTGGAAGTTTGTTACCATATTTTGTGAAGTCCTGGATGAATCTTTCTCGGATTTTAATTATATATTCTTTTGATTGCCTAGTTGTTCATTGTCCATTTTATAGCTGATCAGAGAGTAATAAAACACAGAAACTGGACAGCCAACCATCTTGAATTCATCAGTTGGCCATGATAGCATTTTTCTTAAGTGGAATTCTCAAATTTCGAATAATTGAGAGCAAATACAGTTTAAAGAAAGAAGGAAAAATTAAAGGAAATTTCATACTTTTAAAGAAAACCAACAGTGGACATCCCTCTGTGGTTTCATTGTCCTGTTCATGGGTAGTAAATTTGTATTTATTTGATTATTGATATGTTTATAGAAAAAGTAATTATTTCAATATGTATTGATGAGAAAATCAATTAATATATCCCTTAATGTTAATGTTACAGGTGGCATCTGCTGTAGAATTCCTCATTCACTCCTACCCTGAGTTTGTCAGTGTTGAAAAATTACCTCTTCCTACTCTGGAGAAAAAGGTTTGTATTCCTGTCTAGTCCTTTGTCATCAGATAAATGTGATTTCATAAAACAGTTCTTCTGTCTTGACCTTTGTGTCAGATAGATGTGATGTTATAGAACAGTATTCCTGTCTTTTCCTCTTTTGCCAGGTAAACATGATTTTATAGAACAGTATTCTTGTTTAGTCTTTTGTTGTCAGATAAACATGATTTTATAAAACAGTATTCCTGTCTAGTCCTTTGTCATTAGATAAATGTGATTTTATAAAACAGTTCTCCTAACTTGACCTTTGTTGTCAGATAAATGTGATATTATAGAACAATTTCTCCTGTCTTTTCCTCTGTTGTCAGATAAACATGATTTTATAGAACAGTATTCTTGTCTAGTCCTTTGTTGTCAGATCAGCACGTGTCTGTGGAAAGTGAAAGATGTCTCACTCCACTAAAATAAAGAGCTATATGTCCTATTGAAAAGTGATACAGAAGTGGATAAGTTGTATTGTCCTTTAGTCACTCAGCATTTCATATCAGCGGTATAAACAAATGGTACATCACAGGAAGGTTTGAGCTGCATCTAAGTCTGTATTACAATTTCTCTGACAGACTGGGGAAGGGGGAAGGAGCTTCTCTGTTATAGCAAACTAAGTCCTTGTCATGCTGTTTCAAGTCCTAATGTGTTGTTTTGTTGCTTTCATTGTATATTACTCCTATTATGGTATGAAGTTTCAATTTGATTGAGCAGTGATTTTGTTTCATTTCCAGCTTGAAATTGCAACATCTTTGTATGAGAAAGGCTTGTTGATTACGGGAGAGCCCCTGACATCATTGGATGATGACAGCTCAAGTGACCATTGACAAGGACACGCCCATCATTTCAGATTTGTGATATAGATGAAAAATTAACTGTGAACTAAGAATGCTGTATAATTGCTTAAATAAAGAGGACTTAGAATTCACCAACTTGTGTTCAGTTCAGACAGTGGTTATACTGTTATTGATGTACTGTGTGTTATATTGTATGTCTTCAAATTTGTTTGATGTATTCTTTTAAATTTATGAGTCAGAGACAGCTTTATATTTGTACTAGTTGCAAAATGATCGTGTATATTGTTATTCAAGGAGGTTGTTACATTTGTACAGATATGTTTTTAATATTGGATTCATGTCTTTCATCTTATTAACTCCTAGATTATTTATGTAACCTTACAGTGTGTAAAATGTTAACCATAGTTCTAAAAGCATGAGTTTTCCCAACTGTTGTAACCAGAAATTTTGGAGCTTGAGGTGGGGTATGGTTAGGAGTGATAAAAGAGATTTTTTTTAATAGGTCCTCATATAGCTTGAACTTTTATCGCAGCACACAGGATGAGAACTTCCAACCTGTTGATTGGATTTTAAAAATAAAGCCTTCACCAACAAAATATCTTTCCAAGCACGTTGAAATAAAACCACAAATAACATATTGAATTATTTTTACCTTCATCACTTTGTAAAAGGGATATGCATCACCTAAAATGGAAGATGAATTATTTTAACCTTCATCACTTTGTAAAAGGGATATGCATCACCTCAAATGGAAGATGTGGGAAGGTTGAGATTTGGCATGACACTTGTGATATTTTGTATTGGCCTGTCTCCAGGCTTCATTACAACTCTATATTGTATGTACTTGCAATATTTCTGTGTAATTAATTACATGTGATTGTTTATGAAATATCCTTTAAAACGATGTATAAACAACTAGAGTGAAGCCATGAATCAGACAATATGATACCAGTATATATGCATCTTTATCACATTATGTTTGCTTTTAGGCGGAACCAATTTCATAATACTTGATTATACAATGTATATTGACTTGAACATTTAAAGCTTGCTTAGGACTGTTGCTTTTAACACACTGAAGACAAAATAAAAATTTTATGTCTTCAAAATGGAATAAATTGTCACATCATCAGGTTGTTGTTGTTGTGTATGTCACAGGGAATATTGACACAAACAACATGCTTACATCATTGAAAATGAATAAATCATTACCAATAGGATGGACATAAGCTGAGGGAGAGATCAGAAAGATTTCAGGAAGACAAATTACTTTTTGGAACAAGTTTATGAAATCTTCTGTTTTCAAAAGAGTGCTCCCAATATTCTTCTTAACATTTTTAGTTGTAGGTGTGATATCTAATCCTTTCACCTTGATCAATGTTTTGTTAATTCACTTAATTTATGTAGAGGAAAGATATATATTATCTCATAAAATGTATGCAAATCTTGAGTAGTTAGTAGGTTAGTAGAAATAGGTCAAAAGATTTCACCTGGAGCGCAGAATGTTTATCGCTATGAATGTCAAATAGTTGAGGATGAAAAGGGAAATATTGAATACAAGATTTTTTCAAAAGTCCTGTTGAATAGTAAATGTAAGCACAAGAAAATATTTCCTTATTGTGAATCTTTCTATTTTTTGATAGCAATAGTCCTACATCTCCTACCTTTATTTTATATATATATAGAAATATGCTATTCTTAGCGTGACATGAAGATGGACGTGGTTGATGCTGGTTAGTTTGCCTGTAGGTGACTTTGTTGTATATTCTTGTTCTCATTTGAGAACATGACATTGCTTATTTGCATTGACCAAGGTTTACATGGCTAGTGTCGTTGATGAAGCAGAAGATGCATACTCTTCTGGAACACCTGGTCTTATTCTCCTTGTACTTTTTCAGGAGACTGTGTAAATCTCTCTTCTTGCATGTATTTCCTCTAGTTTTATGGAATTTGAGTTTGGATTATCATTATGTTGCCATGTTGGTATTTTCTTTATGTTTTTCATCAAGGAATCTGCCATATAGCATGAGACATCTGAGTCAGTAATGCCTATCTGTAACACCCAAGTCAGTAACACCTATCTGTAACACCCAAGTCAGTAACACCGACATGTAACACCCAAGTCTGTAACACCTATCTGTAACACCCAAGTCAGTAACTCCTACCTGTAACACCCAAGTCAGTAACTCCTACCTGTAACATCCAAGTCTGTAACATCCAAGTCTGTAACACCTATCTGTAACACCCAAGTCAGTAACTCCTACCTGTAACACCCAAGTCTGTAACACCTACCTGTAACATCCAAGTCTGTAACATCCAAGTCTGTAACACCTATCTGTAACACCCAAGTCAGTAACACCGACATGTAACACCCAAGTCTGTAACACCTATCTGTAACACCCAAGTCAGTAACTCCTACCTGTAACACCCAAGTCAGTAACTCCTACCTGTAACATCCAAGTCTGTAACACCTATCTGTAACACCCAAGTCAGTAACTCCTACCTGTAACACCCAAGTCTGTAACACCTACCTGTAACATCCAAGTCTGTAACATCCAAGTCTGTAACACCTACCTGTAACACCCAAGTCTGTAACACCTAAGTCTGTAACACCCAAGTCGGTAACTCCTACCTGTAACACCTAAGTCAGTAACACCTACCTGTAACACCCAAGTCAGTAACACCTACCTGTAACATCCAAGTCTGTAACACCTAAGTCAGTAACTCCTACCTGTAACACCCCAGTCTGTAACACCTACCTGTAACACCCAAGTCAGTAACACCTACCTGTAACATCCAAGTCTGTAACACCTATCTGTAACACCCAAGTCAGTAACTCCTACCTGTAACACCCAAGTCTGTAACACCTATCTGTAACACCCAAGTCAGTAACTCCTACCTGTAACACCCAAGTCTGTAACACCTACCTGTAACATCCAAGTCTGTAACACCCAAGTCAGTAACTCCTACCTGTAACACCCAAGTCTGTAACACCTATCTGTAACACCCAAGTCAGTAACTCCTACCTGTAACACCCAAGTCAGTAACACCTACATGTAACACCCCAAGTCTGTAACACCTATCTGTATCACCCAAGTCAGTAACTCCTACCTGTAACACCCAAGTCAGCAACACCTTCCTGTAACACCCAAGTCAGTAACACCTACCTGTAACATCCAAGTCTGTAACACCTAAGTCAGTAACTCCTACCTGTAACACCCAAGTCAGTAACTCCTACCTGTAACACCCAAGTCTGTAACTCCTACCTGTAACACCCAAGTCAGTAACACCTATCTGTAACACCCAAGTCAGTAACTCCTACCTGTAACACCCAAGTCAGTAACACCTACCTGTAACACCCAAGTCGGTAACTCCTACCTGTAACACCCAAGTCAGTAACTCCTACCTGTAACACCTATCTGTAACACCCAAGTCGGTAACTCCTACCTGTAACACCCAAGTCAGTAACACCTATCTGTTAAATAATCTGGTGTGTAAAACGAAAACCAGTTAATTTAAGATTTGGATTTCGTTTTTATTGTTGTATTAGTGGAACGTAGCGATAGCTTAACTTGAATATTTCAATTAACACGCATAAACAATCAATTATAAGTTAAATACGACTCCAACATATTAAATAATTAACACATCTATGTACAATATGCCGCTACCTAACTGCACATCTACACAGACGCTACCTCACTCTGAAAATAAAATGACTAGAAGCACACTCTTCCACATTGATATGACGTATTAAACAGCCGTCTTACAATGTACAATAATACCACAAATACCTTAACGTTACTCACTGAAATAAAGTAAAGATTAACTTATGCTATTTAAGTTAGTCATTACTTTACAATAATATGTCATCTACTATTATCTACATTTACACACAGAGTGTCAATATTTCAGTATTTTTTCAAACAAATCACATGCCATTGAAACTGCCTTGATCGTAAGCCTGACTTGTCAATGCACATACACTGGAATTAGGCACTAATTCCCGACCAACGGCCGGTATATACCCGTATTTCCGAATTCGTCAAGTCAGAGCGCAATTAATACTTGGTCGATCTCGTTCCTCAAACACTCATTAGAGAGATAAAACATCTCTCTTTAAGGTAATGTATGTGTTACTAAGATCTGCGGCCTTAAAATATAAAAAAAATCATAACTGAAAAAATGTGTGCATTTTTTTCTCGGAAGTCACTTGTCGCTGTAATACAGATACCGTATGTATATATGGACCGTGTATCAGGAATTCGTGCCAAATCCCTTTGTGTACATGCACATCAGAGCCACGTTTTGAGGATCTGACTACTATATACTCACTGTTCAATCTCCTTGAAACAGATCATGGTGTCAACATACTATTATTATAAATGTGACATTGACACCAACCTAATTGTCCTATACCCGTTCGTTCATGTGACATTCAAATGACCTTGATGAATCGTTCCTTCTATCGACTGTTTATTATCTTTACCCCAACATAATGTGTCATTAACACTCGTGTTATTGTCTCAATTTGCATTGATTTCCCGACCACCGTGTATCTCCACATAATTTGTGATCGATGGGTTTTCCACACAAATGAACAATCGAACTCTTCCCCCTCGCACCCCACCCGTGTCCCTATCGTCTTCATGCTATTGGCCATGCCTTAATTGTGTCCATGACCCTCCCGCTACGATGTAACCATACTTATGACTTAGATTCTCTCATAACTGTACTGAAACTTTCTTAACTTTTCCGCCAGCGTTTTAATCTTCCGATTAAATTGAGTACTCCATCCCAGCTTCTCCGGTAATTGTGCCGTTGTTTGTTCTGTTTCCATAACCGTTTCACTATTGTGTACGAAAATTTCCCGAAATAAAACCGGATGATAGTACCACAGATACTCCCGTTCTTTTGTCATAACCTCAAGGTAGCTGCATTCTTAACTCTTCTGTGTATCCATCTGACCTTGATTAACAGGCAGCCCTTGATGCTGCTGTTGTTGGTGTTGTTGTGGTTGTTGATATTGTTGCTGATGTTGCAGTTGTTGCATGTGCATTGCCTGTTGCTGCTGCTGGAACTGTTGGAATTGCTGGAATTGTTGTTGTTGGGCCATCGCCTGCTGTTGCTGCATCATCTGTTGTGCTAGCATCTGTTGTTGTGCCATTTCGTGTTGGTAGCGATCAAAATCGCGCCGTCTAGCGGAAACGTACTCAGGATAAGAAATGTAGCCGTCATGGTCAAAGTCGTCTTCTCTCAGTACTTTGTCTACTATATCTGTAAAACAAAACAGAACTTTCAGAGTGAGTCGTAAATTAAATATTGAACATTTAGTATGGAGCGTGCTCACTTCAATAAATCTATGCGAGACATTTACAAACTGTATGATGGAACATATACAGACCCATGCATCTTTAACGTATAATTCTGTATCGTTCATATTTGATTCTTTAACAAATATTCTTTAGACATTTATCAGTGATGGAAGTTTGTTATTCTAATTGTCGATGGACTGGAATACAAATATAAAAAAGCCGTCTTAGGTAAAATCACACAGAGAACATATACTTAGGATATTGTGAAGTCAAAGCCCATCACAATAAACTAAATGCTCAGATGTCGCATATAGTATTCATCTACTCTATGGCTATTTCAACCAATCACGACCGCGACTATTTCCTAATGCTTATTTCTGAAAGACTGCTTACCCGCATAATGTTTGGTGGCCCCATCACTGCGCTTGCGCTGTAGTTCAGCTACCTCCTGTTCCGATTTCCCAGCCTTTTCCGCAGCAGTTAAGTCGTACATGTTACTCATGTGGCTTAAGGCGGACATTATTTCCAGACCGTCTAGCTTGGTGTTGTTATCCGCGTCGTGTAAGCTGTGAATATGCGCATAAAATTGTATTTAAGGTGATTTTAAAGATTTTTGTTCAACAATTTCTCATAAGGTAAAGAAAACTTCAAATATGAATTCAATGCACGTTTACGTCATAAAATTGCAAATTATATAATACCGGAAGTAGTGGAATTCCATTTCCTGTGGCGTCATAGGCTTGCTGGTATCTATCTCCTCTTTAAGGTGTTCCTTCAGATGTCTGAAATCGAAAGGAACTTATTAATGGGGAAAAGAAATTGTGAATGGTACCTATATTAGACATGATAATAGCATCTGACGGTGGACTAAATCTACATAATATAAGTAAAAAAGGATTCCTGATGTAGTTACTTACGCTTCATCGTGGACAATTTTGTTATCGTGAAAGCCGGTATTTTCGGCTGGTTCTCCAGTTGTGTTGGGGAGGGCGGGATCATTACTTTGGTTTCCCTGACATTGTCCGATTCGCGAAAGCACGGCCAGCAGCAGCAGCAGCAGCAGCGCAGATGGCAGCAGTTGTGGCATAACTACAGGACCTGTCAAACGAGTGTATTATTAATTTCATGACATCCATACTCTCGCGTGCATTGCATCATAAAGTCAAGACCTTGCAAACCCTTAGCAATTAAACAGCTTCCGGTTGAGTTATAAAATCTTATCCAGTATTAAATCGAAAACAATAGCTGATTTAATTGTGATTTTACACCGGAAGTGATAACTTCAAGTAATATACTAAAATACCATTTCACACCGGAATGAATCAGGCCCTTCGGCGCTTTCCATGTTAGAGATGATGCATTGTTTCTGTGCCCTAAAGCGAAATTCAGGTAAAAAGGTAAATCAGTTGTGCTCCTATTTTGATTAAAATGGTATTTTTGCAACAGGTTTTGTGTACTTCATCGATGTATATGTTTTTAAAATTTATTTTAATCGTTTCAGACTTTAAGTTTTTTCTTTTTCCGCATGAAAACTAGAAAAGACATTTTGATCGTCACGGTAATTTCTATCCAATCAACGGATCGAAAATTCTCATTCCATGCCGAGATAAAAGTTCCAGCCGTCAGCTGTTCAAGGCGGTTACATAAACAGTTTGCGGTTTTGTGTTTTTAAACCACTTTGAATAATTTAATACACCTAAAGCGCTATTACTCAGAAAGTCAGAATAACAAAATTTCGCGTTACTAAGGAGATGGAGTAAATTGCGTCATATGTGTAATACAGGAAGTTATAACCCTACACTGGTTTTACACCGGAAGTTATGTAAATACACGAGTATCATAACCGGGAGATTTATAACAACATTGATGTTATATTGGAAACCAGTACATTTGTATATCACACGAAACATTGACATTTTCAGATATAGTATCACAGAAAACGATAGTGTTAACATTACGATGGGAAGATAAAGAATCCTGACATCAGAGTGACATTAACGACACATCGATTAATGGATAATTGATACACGTCTACTTAACATATCTTTATTATTTAATTCCTTTACGAAATATATTTGCCCAAGCTTCACACTTTGTTGTTAATTTAAAAATACCGGAACTTCCCATATTGTTAACATTCGATAAAATGCCGACACCAGCTTGAAATTGCGTTGTTTATTTTCACTGTACATATTTTTGCTTAATCAATAATCTTTTACCTGTCTAGTATTAAATTCTACTGAACTCTGCACGTTTAATCAAATATCTGTAATAATTAATTAAGCTTCTCTGAACGTTTAATCCAGTTACTATACATACCAAAAAATGAATGGTTGGTGATATTTCCTTGTTCCTACGGCTATACACGATCATGTGATGTATATTTACAGACAGAAACGATCTACAGGTTTCATATTTATATACAACCTACAACATGCTACAGAACAGAATACATTGGTCTGTTTTACCTGGTGTGATCAGTAGCTAGATTAATATAAAAAATGACATTATTTAAAGACTTACCTTAGACAGCAGCCACAGTGTATCTGACTGTATCACGTACAAGATGACAGGTGACTTGTGACGGATCACCGTATGTTACCTTAAAGCCTCGATTCCGTCCAAGATCTGTCCCTAAGGGGTCAGATCATCATGTAATTTGCCGCAAGACTTTGCATGTTCTCATCAATCGACGTGACATTCAAATAGTTGTTAAGTCGACGTACTTCCCGTTTTATAGCTGGTGTCGATTTCTGTTTAATAATGTTCATTATGGATTAATGTGAAACTGTCCCGAACCATCCAGCTCATTACCGAAAAGACATAAACTCCCGTCCGCACGGAAATGGTTTCTCGAATATAATGGCTACCGTGTAAATGGATGCTTTTTATATATGTCATAAAGACATTATATGACGGTGTGATGTAATGTATTGTAGAGTTTCTGAAAAAAAATGTCAGTACATGTATGATGATTCACTGTGATCTAGAACATCACCGGTCTGATGGTTCACCTTCATCTAGAACATTACCGGTCTGATGGTTCACCTTGATCTAGAACATCACCGGTCTGATGGTTCACCTTGATCTAGAACATCACCGGTCTGATGGTTCACCTTCATCTAGAACATTACCGGTCTGATGGTTCACCTTGATCTAGAACATCACCGGTCTGATGGTTCACCTTGATCTAGAACATTACCGGTCTGATGGTTCACCTTGATCTAGAACATTACCGGTCTGATGGTTCACCTTGATCTAGAACATCACCGGTCTGATGGTTCACCATTATCTAGAACATCACCGGTCTGATGGTTCACCTTGATCTAGAACATTACCGGTCTGATGGTTCACCTTGATCTACATCACCGGTCTGATGGTTCACCATTATCTAGAACATCACCGGTCTGATGGTTCACCTTGATCTAGAACATTACCGGTCTGATGGTTCACCTTGATCTAGAACATCACCGGTCTGATGGTTCACCTTGATCTAGAACATTACCGGTCTGATGGTTCACCTTGATCTAGAACATCACCGGTCTGATGGTTCACCTTGATCTAGAACATTACCGGTCTGATGGTTCACCTTGATCTAGAACATTACTGGTCTGATGGTTCACCTTGATCTAGAACATTACCGGTCTGATGGTTCACCTTGATCTAGAACATTACCGGTCTGATGGTTCACCTTGATCTAGAACATTACCGGTCTGATGGTTCACCTTGATCTAGAACATCACCGGTCTGATGGTTCACATCTAGAACATCACCGGTCTGATGGTTCACCTTGATCTAGAACATTGCCGGTCTGATGGTTCACCTTGATCTAGAACATCACCGGTCTGATGGTTCACCTTGATCTAGAACATCACCGGTCTGATGGTTCACCATTATCTAGAACATTACCGGTCTGATGGTTCACCTTGATCTAGAACATTACCGGTCTGATGGTTCACCTTGATCTAGAACATTACCGGTCTGATGGTTCACCTTGATCTAGAACATTACCGGTCTGATGGTTCACCTTGATCTAGAACATCACCGGTCTGATGGTTCACATCACCGGTCTGATGGTTCACCTTGATCTAGAACATTACCGGTCTGATGGTTCACCATTATCTAGAACATCACCGGTCTGATGGTTCATCATTATCTAGAACATCACCGGTCTGATGGTTCACCATTATCTAGAACATTACCGGTCTGATGGTTCACTATTATCTAGAACATTATTACCGGTCTGAACATTACCGGTGATGGTTCACCATTATCTAGAACATTACCGGTCTGATGGTTCACCATTATCTAGAACATCACCGGTCTGATGGTTCATCATTATCTAGAACATCACCGGTCTGATGGTTCGCCATTATCTAGAACATCACCGGTCTGATGGTTCACTATTATCTAGAACATTACTGGTCTGATGGTTCACCGTTATCTAGAACATTACCGGTCTGATGGTTCACTGTTATCTAGAACATCACCGGTCTGATGGTTCGCCATTATCTAGAACATTACCGGTCTGATGGTTCACCATTATCTAGAACATTACCGGTCTGATGGTTCACCATTATCTAGAACATTACCGGTCTGATGGTTCACCTTGATCTAGAACATCACCAGTCTGATGGTTCACCATTATCTAGAACATTACCGTTCTGATGGTTCACCGTTATCTAGAACATTACCGATCTGATGGTTCACTGTGATTGGCTACGTTGTCGGTCTGATGGTTTTTATGGTACACATATGTAAGGCTGTTTCAGTAGATAATTATTGGTGGTTATCTATTAGCCTTCGAGGATACCAAAACAGCTGGTGGCTACCTTACCGAACAACCCACGGGAGACCCGTCCCACGTTATGTAGAACAATTAGAGTGAAGTGTCTTAACCAAGGGCACAGCCACGTCAGAACAGACCAGTCCATCTAAGCTTTCAAAGAAACATTAACCGCTTCGTGTATGGCTTCGTGTATGGGACGTCAAACCACGCACCTCAGCTCCTCACCCGAGGTAACGTCAAGGATTGAATGAGCTATCGCATAAAATACACTTACATGTTAACGTGAAAAAACAAGTACATTTATTATGCTCTAGAACATCAATCTTGTTTCACATTTGGACACTGATGATGAGAATGGCTGGTGTGATGGTATAAATATATATGGATATATGAACAATTAATGATATTCTCGCGTCAATTATAAATGTTCTAATGAAGATACATAGCCACACATTTATCAAGGATTTTCACAGTGTACATTCTCGTTCCCCTTATCTCCAAGGCCATAGTGAAATAATGACCTCGTTTGTCATTACACATATGGAGGAATGGATGCACGTACACATTTTCATTTAAAAGTTGCAATATTACTATATACGTGTATTTAACCTCTCTCACTGTTTCTGGGTTTGAGTAAACTTTTGTACATCTTGCGGCTGTTGTTGAAATTTTTGAAATTCTTCAAATTGTTTCATCTGTTCTGGAGTGGGTGCGTTTGGTGGTGGAGGTACACCGGGTGGGGATTGTGCGGCTCCCCCTGGTAGTTGTTTCCGTCCGCTCGCCTGTTGTTGTTGTTGCTGTTGCTGTAGTTGTTGCTGCATCTGCCACTGTTGAAAAGCCTGCCACTGTTGCATCTGTTGGAACTGTTGCGCTTGCATGTTGCTCTGTTGGATAGCCATTTCACGCTGATAGTTTTCCATATCCCGTCTGCGTCCTCGGATGTACTCCGGATATGACACGTAACCGTCCCTATCGTGGTCGTCCTGTATTAACACCTTATCGATGATGTCTGAAAATTAAACGAGTGGATAAGGAAAAACCCAAAGATGTCTTTACATTTATCTCTGTCAAAGTAGTACGAAATTATCATCCCTTCTCTGCCGCTTATCCTTGTGTTACTCACAGAACTTATCATCATGATTAAATAATCTGGAATCAAGTGGAACACGCTGGATGGAGGAGAATCAAGTGTTTGGATTTAATCTTTGCCTGTGAACGTTTTAACCCAGATTCGGACTCGTTTGATGGCTTGTCCTTTACCAGTGAAATAATTCCAACTTTTGTCCTTTACTGGTAAAGTATTTGAATACCTGTCCCTTACCTGATATGTATATTTGAATACCTGTCCCTTACCTGAGATGTATATTTGAATACCTGTTCCTTACCCGTGAAGTATTTGATTGCCAGCTCCATACATGAGAAGTATATTTGAATACCTGTCCCTTACCTGTAAAGTATTTGAATACCTGTCCCTTACCGGTTAAGTATTTGAATGTCTGTCCCTTATAGTTGACAGTTCTATACTTGTGAAGTAGATGTATATTTGAGTACCTGTCCCTTACCTGGGATGTATATTTGAGTACCTGTCCCTTACCTGAGATGTATATTTGAGTACCAGTCCCTTACCTGGGATGTATATTTGAGTACCTGTCCCTTACCTGAGATGTATATTTGAATACATGTCCTTTACCTGTGAAGTATTTGAATACCAGTTCCTTACCTGAGAAGTATATTTGAGTACCTGTCCCTTACCTGAGATGTATATTTGAGTACCTGTCCCTTACCTGTGAAGTATTTGATGGCTTGTTCGGACCTTTCTTGTTGCATCAACTGTAGCTGTTCCTCCGTCTTCCCTATTTTTTCGTTGTCTTTGATTTTAGACATGGGTACCATGTGAGACAGTGCTGACAATATCTCCAGTCCGTCCAACTTAGTATCATTGTTCGTGTCGTGTAATCTGTCAACATCGCAATGGAGTGGTTTTAGAGAAAGTAGAGTTATCTCCCCCAAACAAAGGAACCTAAAACTAGACCATCAACTAAACTAAAGATGGGTGTTTCAAACCACTGCAGTAGTTCTCTGATTTCTCACCACAGTTCCTGCCACACTGAGTGTTACCTTGGCATTGTTATTGAAATAAATACAAGGGAAAATCAAAATTTCAAAGTTTCCAGTATCAATTCCTACCTAAAGTAGTGAAACTCCATTTCCTGGGGCGTCATCTGGCGATTAGTATTGATCTGGTCCTTCAAATGTTCCTTCAAATGGCTGCAAGGATATAAAGAAAAGTGCTGGTTGTTTTGCCTTTTTGTGTGTACTTTTACAGAGTCAGAGACAACCATTCTAGGTATCGTCTATATTCTGCTACAGATACCTGGCCAATATTGTTGAAAAAAGTGATTTTGTTGAAACAAAATAATTAAAAGAAGCGTTGAGTGTTTGTGATGGCTGTGTTCGCGGTCACAGATAAGGCTTTTTGTTCATTTATTTACAAGAGTTACTCCCCTTCATTTGCTTCGCCCTTACTTAATAAAACTGTATATCTATGTCATTCTGTCATCAACAAGAGTTACTCCCCTTTATTTGCATGGACCTTATTTAATAAAACTGTATTTTTTATGGTTAGACGTTACTAGCTATTTCTATGTCCTTCAGTCATCAACAAGTGTTACTGTCCTTTGATGTAACAGACGACAACAATAAAACACACATATACCGAAGTCCCCATGTTATTGGTGAATCCTGCCATGTCAACAGAAATCCACCGTCAGGTTTAAAATTGTTATACTCACGCCTCATCCTGTGTGACCTTTGGGTCGTGAAAGTCAGTGACTGCCACGCCCCCGCTGTCTTCGTGACCTTGGTGACCTGTTGCGAAAGGAGCCAGGCAAAGCAGCAGCGCAAGTAACGTCATGGTGTCTGTTGATGAATGAAACATATAAAGTCATCAGTGTCTTTGAGTGTTATAACATCAATAAAAGAGACGTCACAATGTCTGTCAGTGTTATAACAGAAAGAAAAGAGACGTCACAACGTCTGTCAGTGTTATAACATCAATAAAAGACACGTCACAATGTCTGTCAGTGTTATAACATCAATAACAGAGACGTCACAATGTCTGTCAGTGTTATAACAGAAAGAAAAGAGACGTCACAACGTCTGTCAGTGTTATAACATCAATAAAAGAGACGTCACAACGTCTGTCAGTGTTATAACATCAATAAAAGAGACGTCACAATGTCTGTCAGTGTTATAACATCAATAAAAGAGACGTCACAATGTCTGTCAGTGTTATAACATCAATACAAGAGACGTCACAATGTCTGTCAGTGTTATAACATCAATAACAGAGACATCACAATGTCTGTCAGTGTTACAACATCAATAACAGAGACGTCACAATGTCTGTTAGTGTTATAACATCAATAAAAGAGACGTCACAATGTCTGTCAGTGTTACAACATCAATAACAGAGACGTCACAATGTCTGTTAGTGTTATAACATCAATAAAAGAGACGTCACAATGTCTGTTAGTGTTATAACATCAATACAAGAGACGTCACAATGTCTGTCAGTGTTACAACATCAATAACAGAGACGTCACAATGTCTGTCAGTGTTATAACATCAATAACAGAGACGTCACAATGTCTGTCAGTGTTATAACATCAATAACAGAGACGTCACAATGTCTGTTAGTGTTATAACATCAATAACAGAGACGTCACAATGTCTGTTAGTGTTATAACATCAATAACAGAGACGTCACAATGTCTGTCAGTGTTATAACATCAATAAAAGAGACGTCACAATGTCTGTCAGTGTTATAACATCAATAAAAGAGACGTCACAATGTCTGTCAGTGTTATAACATCAATAAAAGAGACGTCACAATGTCTGTCAGTGTTATAACATCAATAAAAGAGACGTCACAATGTCTGTCAGTGTTACAACATCAATAACAGAGACGTCACAATGTCTGTTAGTGTTATAACATCAATAAAAGAGACGTCACAATGTCTGTTAGTGTTATAACATCAATACAAGAGACGTCACAATGTCTGTCAGTGTTACAACATCAATAACAGAGACGTCACAATGTCTGTCAGTGTTATAACATCAATAACAGAGACGTAACAATGTCTGTCAGTGTTACAACATCAATAACAGAGACGTCACAATGTCTGTTAGTGTTATAACATCAATAACAGAGACGTCACAATGTCTGTCGGTGTTATAACATCAATAACAGAGACGTCACAATGTCTGTTAGTGTTATAACATCAAAAACAGAGACGTCACAATGTCTGTCAGTGTTACAACATCAATAACAGAGACGTCACAATGTCTGTTAGTGTTATAACATCAATAACAGAGACGTCACAATGTCTGTTAGTGTTATAACATCAATACAAGAGACGTCACAATGTCTGTTAGTGTTATAACATCAAAAACAGAGACGTCACAATGTCTGTCAGTGTTACAACATCAATAACAGAGACGTCACAATGTCTGTTAGTGTTATAACATCAATAACAGAGACGTCACAATGTCTGTTAGTGTTATAACATCAATAAAAGAGACGTCACAATGTCTGTCAGTGTTACAACATCAATAACAGAGACGTCACAATGTCTGTTAGTGTTACAACATCAATAACAGAGACGTCACAATGTCTGTTAGTGTTATAACATCAATAACAGAGACGTCACAATTACTGTCAGTGTTACAACATCAATAACAGAGACGTCACAATGTCTGTTAGTGTTATAACATCAATACAAAAGACGTCACAATGTCTGTCAGTGTTACAACATCAATAACAGAGACGTCACAATGTCTGTTAGTGTTATAACATCAATAACAGAGACGTCACAATGTCTGTCAGTGTTACAACATCAATAAAAGAGACGTCACAATGTCTGTTAGTGTTATAACATCAATACAAAAGACGTCACAATGTCTGTCAGTGTTACAACATCAATAACAGAGACGTCACAATGTCTGTCAGTGTTATAACATCAATAACAGGGACGTAACAATGTCTGTCAGTGTTACAACATCAATAACAGAGACGTCACAATGTCTGTTGGTGTTATAACATCAATAACAGAGACGTCACAATGTCTGTCGGTGTTATAACATCAATAACAGAGACGTCACAATGTCTGTTAGTGTTATAACATCAATAACAGAGACGTCACAATGTCTGTCAGTGTTACAACATCAATAACAGAGACGTCACAATGTCTGTTAGTGTTATAACATCAATAACAGAGACGTCACAATGTCTGTCAGTGTTATAACATCAATAACAGAGACGTCACAATGTCTGTTAGTGTTATAACATCAATAACAGAGACGTCACAATGTCTGTTAGTGTTATAACATCAATAAAAGAGACGTCACAATGTCTGTTAGTGTTATAACATCAATAAAAGAGACATCACAATGTCTGTCAGTGTTACAACATCAATAACAGAGACGTCACAATGTCTGTTAGTGTTACAACATCAATAACAGAGACGTCACAATGTCTGTTAGTGTTATAACATCAATAACAGAGACGTCACAATGTCTGTCAGTGTTACAACATCAATAACAGAGACGTCACAATGTCTGTTAGTGTTATAACATCAATAAAAGAGACGTCACAATGTCTGTTAGTGTTATAACATCAATACAAGAGACGTCACAATGTCTGTCAGTGTTACAACATCAATAACAGAGACGTCACAATGTCTGTCAGTGTTATAACATCAATAACAGAGACGTCACAATGTCTGTCAGTGTTACAACATCAATAACAGAGACGTCACAATGTCTGTTGGTGTTATAACATCAATAACAGAGACGTCACAATGTCTGTCGGTGTTATAACATCAATAACAGAGACGTCACAATGTCTGTTAGTGTTATAACATCAATAACAGAGACGTCACAATGTCTGTCAGTGTTACAACATCAATAACAGAGACGTCACAATGTCTGTTAGTGTTATAACATCAATAACAGAGACGTCACAATGTCTGTCAGTGTTATAACATCAATAACAGAGACGTCACAATGTCTGTTAGTGTTATAACATCAATAAAAGAGACGTCACAATGTCTGTTAGTGTTATAACATCAATAAAAGAGACGTCACAATGTCTGTCAGTGTTACAACATCAATAACAGAGACGTCACAATGTCTGTTAGTGTTATAACATCAATAACAGAGACGTCACAATGTCTGTCAGTGTTACAACATCAATAACAGAGACGTCACAATGTCTGTTAGTGTTATAACATCAATAAAACAAATATCGTTACGTCTGTCAGTGTTGAAACATAAATAATAGAGACATCATAGTGCCTGTCAGTGATAAACCTAGATAAAACAAACATCATTATGTCTGTCAGTGACAAAACATAGATAAAGAAACGCCATGGTGAGTGCCAGTCGACCAATAGAAACTAAGAGCCGCAAAGATGTCTATCAGTGAGTATGAAAGCCAGGAACGCCATGATCTCTGTCGTGTAATATATATTTAATATAAATATGAGAAGTGCTGTGGTGTCGACCGGTTAACATCAAAATATGAAACGTTATTGTGTTGGTCGGTTAACATTATTATTATTATTATTACATTCTTAACGGCCCGTCAAAACATAAAAGGCCATTAGGACCATCAAACGGTAAAATACAGCTATCTAAAAGGAAATAACATTAAACAAACCAAAAGGTAACATGAATACCAGAAATATCGTGTCGGTCGGTAGGCATAAATATAAGAAACATCATGGTGGCGGTCGGTGAACATAAGTATAGGAAACGCTATTGTGTCGGTCTGTTAACATGAATATAAGAAATTAACTTTAAAAAACGATGGAGCTAGAGGCGAATCTGCAAGGAAGTTATCGCCCTTTTATACTTACTGCCTAGCAATTGAACTAGCAAAATTCCATAAATTCCTCAAGTGTGATAAGTTTGCGACAAAATTAAGACGAAGCGTCAATAAATGAAAACACAACATGAATGTTATTAAATTATCTATACGTGCAATAAAAATTATATTGATATGTAATATATCCAGTTATAGGGCTATGGAACCCTCTGAGCTTGGTACAAACAGATGTATGTTGCTGACATGGAATCATTCACATAACATACAAAAAATCAGAGATAGGAATTATGATAATCTGATTTTTTAATCACACAAACTTTCGAAATACAGCATATGGTACAAAACAACAACACAATAATCCCTTGATCGTGTTAAGTAACACGTCATCACTACACAAAAACTTGTCCTCGGGCTGTGACACGGAATTAACATAGTTTAACATATGGACAGACAACCCTTTAAATCTCCGTAAATTGACTGTAAATATGCACATACTCGCTACAGAGAATTAATTATGTGAATTATACTTAAAAGGAGAAACCTATTTGCAGATGTGATGTATAAGTGAACATTACTGAATGTGTGATTAACACACGTGGTTCGAGGCGTTGATTCCAATCAACAATGATTGGAAGACAATGCCTCTAATTTACCAATATGTATGTAGTGCCTTGTGGTTGTTTTAAACCTTTGTTTTCACAATCTCTACAATTATCAGTATCGTGATAATTAAATATGAACTCTGGTATACAGATAATTAACATGTACGGAATAACAGAGAAAACCTACCTTATTGTGTCGCGCTCCTCAACAGCCACTGTTTTACCTTACAGGTGAGACACACACATACACTAGTAATCTGTCTTAATGTGACAACTCACTACATATACGTGTAGCCCGGGGGCAGGGGAGCAGACTGCACCGGACAGACATCAATTACAAAGTGATGTCATATTTATTGGTGTGTCACCCGCAACAGTGACCATTGCTTGTACACGTGTAATGTCTCGACTTAAGTAACCCATCAAAAAACATAAAAATGATAAGTATATAATTTCTATTCGATTGCTATACTGTTGCATTGCTTAGACGTCCATCATCTGAGGATTTGTCTTTATCAGTTTAATGTTATGTCCGTAGGTCTATCCGTCCGCAAACATTCTTCTTGGCGCTGTTTCTCGTGAACTAACAGCAGGATTGTATAGAACTTATCGAACATATAAGAATGTGTGAGAGTTGTACATGTAAGATTTAGTTGGGTTTTCTAATCAATAGTGTTGTCGTCAGCCATTTTGACATTTGAAGGTTGTTATAATTACCGCTCCTTCTCAAGAAGTGTTGGAATTATCTTAATTAAAATTTTGATGAACGGTATTTGAAATTTGTTACCGATATTTGTCAAGAACGTGAACACGTTCATTGTGGAGAAAGTCATAATATCTATTTTACGCTTTATTTGATTTTTAAAGAGGTCTTCACCAGTCATCGAAATGTTTAACAACATTGATATGTTTGGTATGGTCAACTGGATCACTACTCGTGCACAGTGATATCTGGACAATTGGATACTGATGTGGTCAATCTTTGTGAAATAAAACATACGGCAGCAATCGCATGTCAGAATCAAGTTCGTGCGAACTCTTCAACGACTGCATCTGTGTATACCTCTGTATGACGACCATACAATTAGACTGAATACCTCATAAAAAAACCATATCAATGTCCCACACCTTCTTGTAGTTATATGACCTTATATCATATAAATTCTAAAACAAACATACAATTTACCAACATACCTCTGTATTCAACGACCATCTGTGTCCAACACATGGATAACTACATGGATATACTATGAGAACTCCATTACCGGAACAGCTACCTCACCGTTTGTCCAGATACATAGAAACCATATACACAGCTATATAATTGCATTACAACGTCGTTTTTCTAGGTACCTCTGTATAACGATCGTCACTCTCCTACACATATATAGAGCTATATCATTGCATTATAACGTCGTTTTTCTAGGTACCTCTGTATAACGACCGTCACTGTCCTACACATATGTAGAGCTATATAATTGTATTACAAAGTCATTTTTCTAGGTACCTCTGTATAACGACAGTCAGTTGAAACTATTTATTTCTGTGTTACAGCCACAAGAACTTGAATGAGTACTCCAAGTAACAGGAGAAAAAACACGTCTTTTTCTGTATCTAAAGCAGGCGTATGTCTGTGATTTTTTCGGTAATAACAATTCATGAGTGAATACTTTGCAACGTGCAATACAGTTCAAATTATAAGATTACACTAGGGAACCAATAGAGCGCGATCTAAACCTCGGGTTGTGATTGGTCGGAGTTATTATTTGTTATGTAAATGAAACGAGGGGTAGACTAGCGCACGTGCTAGGTCCGGCTCTTTTAAAACGAAACGACGACAAGGTAACACAAACTGAATGTAACGGCTATACAAATATTTGAAAACCGAGACACGTGAAAGTGAAACTGACACGATGTAAGTAAAAGATAGTGTTTCTATATGTTATATATTTACATTGTAAGTTGTGGACACATATCCATCTGTTCACACGGACACGTACACTCTTACGTAAATTACCGATATATAGCCCATACTTAAAGTCAGGTATTCTAGATGTATTGTTATTTGTCACCATTTTCATCAGACTTTCCATGTCCCCGTGACTTGTTTTTCCATTACGATGTTACGCGCGGACCGTTGAGTCGGGAATTGTACCAAGTCCTTGTAGTAAGGTCGAATCAAGCGCTGATACGACAAGCTAAGGTAAAGCATTAAGGGCGAGTCTTTCGAACTCGCTTTTGCGAGGTATAGCGACCAAGTCGCCCTCCCTCCGTCATATCATAGCTCCTACCTAAACCAGAGTGAACAGTGAATGATATAAGGGGCGAGGAACATTGTTGTTAAACAGATGGAAAGGAACGTTAGGTCGGAACGCGAAGTAGGGACAATAAAGAATGATATTGTATCTGTTATACAAGAAACCCTTTGACAGAGAAAAAACGAGGGAAATAAACACAAAACAGTAAGGCCCAAATAGAAAATACAGTTTGCCCTGTTAAACAATCCGCACATATATACAGCCACAGAGATGCTGGGTGTTCATCAGGAAAATTTCGTGAGCAGTAGATGTGTTAAGGGAAGTAACTCTTTCATGTATAACAAAGGTCGATGAAAACTTTGAGTACTTTGTGGTTTTCATCAAAAGTGTTATATAATGTTGATAAGTCTGGGATTAGGTCATTTTACTGTCACATAGTGGTCATAAATACATCATAGGTAGTAGCTGTCAAATCTTTATATAGATGTATGCTTTATGATGAGTCTGAAGTGTGATTAATTTGAATGTGAATAGCACAAATTAGACACTAGCTTGAATGTTGTGATTGACTTGAAGATTTGACTAACTTGAATGTGTGTCTAGCATGAAGGTGTGAGTAGACTGAATGTGGGAATAGATTGAATAGGTGAATGACTAGTATGAATGAGTGAATGTTTGATTACAGGAACTTAAATGAATGACAAGCTTGGTCTGTTTATGACATGTTCTGCAGATTATCAAGATTGAAAGAGTTTTTCACCAGCCATGTTACAAACAAGGAATGGTTTATGCAGAATGGACCAAAAAGTGACCAATGCTCCGAAGAAAGTGCACAAGAAAGTGGTGACAACGAGTGACCGTGCCCGTGAGAACATCGATGGGATGGAGTACAGTCCGTCACAGTGTATGGAAGCTCCTGTACGTTGCTGTCGAGGTCTCGCACACCAGGAAAACCCCTACATTCTACGAGGGAAGACAAACTCTGGCGATAAAACAGTCTGTACTCTTTATCTATTTCACATACTCTATCAGTCACATGACACATACTCTATCAGTCACTTGTCACATACTCTATCAGTCACATGTCACATACTCTTTCAGTCACATGTCACATGCTCCATCAGTCACATGACACATATTCTAACAGTCACTTGTCACATGCTCCATCAGTCACATGTCACATGCTCCATCAGTCACATGTCACATACTCTATCAGTCACATGTCACATACTCTATCAGTCATATTTCACATACTCTTTCAGTCACATGTCACATGCTCCATCAGTCACATGACACATACTCTATCAGTCACTTGTCACATGCTCCATCAGTCACATGACACATACTCTTTCAGTCACATGTCACATACTCTATCAGTCACATGACACATACTCTATCAGTCACATGACACATACTCTATCAGTCACATGACACATACTCTATCAGTCACATGACACATACTCTATTAGTCACATGTCACAAACTCTGTCAGTCACATGACACATACTCATTCAGTCACATTTCACAGTCACATTTACAGAAACATAGACTTCAATGAACTTGTTCAATAAATTTTAATTGTTATAGATATAGATTTGAACTCCTGTTACATGCTCACCTCTAAGTGACAGTATATGAAGCATGCATTTTTAATAGCATTTGACATCTTGTTTGTAAATTTCAGAAGGAGAAGGTGTTGGGTTTGAAGGTTCGCAATATACATCATCAAAATAAAATCAATGGTGAAACAGTGGAGGTGTTACCATCAGTATACATAGCAAAAATGATGAGGGAGAAAAGCCACAAAGCAACAAAGATTCCATTAATTTTAACAGGATCAGGACACACTCCCAGCACAGGTAAAGCACAGAAATAGACACTTCCAACACATGTAAATCACAGAAATAGACACTCCAAACACAGGTAAATCACAAAAATAGACACTCCCAAGACAGGTAAATCACAGAAATACACTCAAAACACAGGTGAATCACAGAAATACACTCCAAACACAGGTAAATTACTGAAATAGACACTCCCAACACAGTTAAATCACAGAAATATACACTCCCAACACAGGTAAATTACAGAAATAGACACTCCCAACACAGGTAAATTACAGAAATATACACTCCCAACACAGGTAAATTACAGAAATAGATACTACTACACAGGTAAATTGCAGAAATAGATACTACTACACAGGTAAATTACAGAAATAGACACTCCTACACAGGTAAATTACAGAAATAGATACTACTACACAGGTAAATCACAGAAATAGACACTCCCAACACATGTAAATCACAGAAATAGACACTCCAAACACAGGTAAATCACAAAAATAAACACTCCCAACACAGGTAAATCACAGAAATACACTCAAAACACATGTGAATCACAGAAATAAACTCCAAACACTGGTAAATTACCGAAATAGACACTCCCAACACAGGTAAATTACAGAAATAGACACTCCCAACACAGTTAAATCACAGAAATATACACTCCCAACACAGGTAAATTTACAGAAATAGATACTACTACACAGGTAAATTACAGAAATAGATACTACTACACAGGTAAATTACAGAATAGACACTCCTACACAGGTAAATTACAGAAATAGATACTACTACACAGGTAAATCACAGAAATAGACACTCCCAACACATGTAAATCACAGATATAGACACTCCAAACACGGGTAAATCACAAAAAATAGACACTCCCAACACAGGTAAATCACAGAAATACACTCAAAACACAGGTGAATCACAGAAATAAACTCCAAACACAGGTAAATTACCGAAATAGACACTCCCAACACAGGTAAATTACTGAAATAGACACTCCCAACACAGTTAAATCACAGAAATATACACTCCCAACACAGGTAAATTACAGAAATAGATACTACTACACAGGTAAATTACAGAAATAGACACTCCTACACAGGTAAATTACAGAAATAGATACTACTATCCAGGTAAATCACAGAAATAGACACTCCCAACACAGGTAAATTACAGAAATAGACACTCCAAACACAGGTAAATCACAGAAAAAAACACTCCTACACAGGTAAATTACAGAGACACTCCAAACACAGGTAAATCACAGAAATAGATACTCCTTCACGGGTGAATTACAGAAATAGACACTCCAAACACAGGTAAATTACAGAAATAGACACTCCAAACACAGGTAAATTACCGAAATAGACACTCCTACACAGGTAAATTACAGAGACACTCCAAACACAGGTAAATCACAGAAATAGACACTCCCAACACAGTTAAATCACAGAAATATACATTCCCAACACAGGTAAATCACAGAAATAGATACTCCTGCACAGGTAAATTACAGAAATAGACACTCAAAACACAGGTAAATCACAGAAATAGACACTCCTATACAGGTAAATTACAGAAATAGACACTCCTACACAGGTAAATTACAGAAATATACACTCCTACACAGGTAAATTACAGAAATAGACACTCCAAACACAGGTAAATCACAGAAATATACACTCCCAACACAGGTAAATTACAGAAATAGACACTCCCAACACAGGTAAATTACAGAAATAGACACTCCCAACACATGTAAATCACAGAAATAGACACTTCCAACACAAGTAAATCACAGAAATAGACACTCCAAACACAGGTAAATCTAGACATTGCCAGAGGGGGTTAAATACTTAACATATGTTTATCATAAGGTCTGTAATTATGTTAAACCAATATTTTGCTTCAACAAGTGTAGGTAATGCTTTGCATTCTAATGTTAGAGAAATGTCTACCATTTTAGAAGCATCAAAGAAACTGAAGAAAGGTCACCACCATCATCAGCACCACGCTCATGGTCATCATGGTCACCACCATGGTCACCATGGAGAGTTTGGCTCACTAGGCATGCTGAAGAAACATCACAAGTTCCATGTAATCAATCCAGAGCCATCTGCAATTATGGATGATGGTGAGTACTCCAGGTGGAATAAAGATGTCCAATTAAACAATCAGAGTGTTGAAGCATCGATTGTCTGATTATTTGGTGTTGTTCTTCAATAACTTTTATCATAAAAATCTGTTAGCCTCTTAAGACTGGGAAAGTCTTGATCAGGTAGTTATAGGATTTCAATTAAGACATTTTTTTTACACTTTGTAGACTTGCTATTTATGGATGTAGACTGTGATCCTCTTATGAAGATCCGTGAAATACAGACTCGGGTTCCAATGGGTGTCGAGGATATCGATATCAGTCACACCAGCGACCCTCTCTGTGTACCCGAATATGCCCAGGAAATCTACCATTACCTACAGGTATACTATAGTACTGGCATGAATCCCTGTGTTTATGACATTGATCAAGGACGAGTCTAGTAGTTACCATTATCATATATATCGGCACTTGTAGAGGGAGACAATTCCATGATGACAATGTTTTAGAGTGTAGAGAATTCTCACTACCTGCTTACTAGATAACTTCATGATGATGTTGTTGTTTCAAGAATGTACACTATCGTTGCACCCTGCCTTATAGATAACTACATTGTGAAATGGTTGTTTCAGAGTGTAGAGAATTCTCACTACCTGCTTACTAGATAACTCCATGATGATGTTGTTGTTTCAAGAATGTACACTATCGTCGCACCCTGCCTTATAGATAACTACATTGTGAAATGGTTGTTTCAGAGTGTAGAGAATTCTCACTACCTGCTTACTAGATAACTCCATGATGATGTTGTTGTTTCAAGAATGTACACTATCGTCGCACCCTGCCTTATAGATAACTACATTGTGAAATGGTTGTTTCAGAGTGTAGAGAATCGTCATACTTTGCCTGATGACTTCCTCCACAATAACCCAAAGGTCACAGCTCACATGCATGCCATCCTCACTGACTGGCTCATCCAAGTCCAGGTAAATTATTAGATCGTTGGTTAAGTTCTACACGATAGGTAAACTCTAGATAATGGGTAAAGTTCTACACGATAGGTAAACTCTAGATAATTGGTAAAGCTCTACACGATAGGTAAACTCTAGATAATTGATAAAATTCTAGATAATTGGAAAGGTAAAGATCTAGATGATTTGTTAAGTTCGTGGTGATGGTAAAATTCCAGAATATTTGTAGACACATGATGCCTTGACAGCATCCTAATTTATCCCTACGATGTATATTTTTATCTAAATATAACTTACCCAGGTACACCAGCAGATGTGTCAGCAAACCTTACACCTAACTGTGGCATTAATAGACCAGATTCTCAATAGAGTGAAGATCTCACTGGCTGTTCTCCAGTTACTGGGCATAACCTGTGTCCTCATAGCAGCAAAATATGTAGAGCGTTTCCCTCCTGAGGTAAGTCATACATCTATACAAATTGCTTAGATCACCAATGTATGTAGTCTGTGTGTTTAGATCACCAGTGTATGTAGCCTGTGTGTTTAGATCACCAGTGTATGTAGTCTGTGTGTTTAGATCACCAGTGTATGTAGTCTGTGTGTTTAGATCACCAGTGTATGTAGCCTGTGTGTTTAGATCACCAGTGTATGTAGTCTGTGTGTTTAGATCTCCAGTGTATGTAGTCTGTGGGTTTAGATCAACAGTGTATGTAGCCTGTGTGTTTAGATCTGTGTCTGTGTGTTTAGATCACCAGTGTATGTAGCCTGTGGGTTTATATCACCAGTGTATGTAGCCTGTGTGTTTAAATCACCAGTGTATGTACTCTGTGTGTTTAGATCACCAGTGTATGTAGTCTGTGTGTTTAGATCACCAATGTATGTAGTTTGTTAGTTTAGATCACCAGTGTATGTAGTCTGTGTGTTTAGATCAACAGTGTATGTAGTCTGTGTGTTTAGATCAACAGTGTATGTAGTCTGTGTGTTTAGATCACCAGTGTATGTAGTCTGTGTGTTTATATCACCAGTGTATGTAGTCTGTGTGTTTAGATCACCAGTGTATGTAGCCTGTGTGTTTAGATCAACAGTGTATGTAGCCTGTGTGTTCAGATCACCAGTGTATGTAGTCTGTGTGTTTAGATCACCAATGTATGTAGTCTGTGTGTTTAGATATCCAGTGTATGTAGCCTGTGTGTTTAGATCACCAGTGTATGTAGCCTGTGTGTTTAGATCACCAATGTATGTAGTCTGTGTGTTTAGATCACCAGTGTATGTAGTCTGTGTGTTTATATCACCAGTGTATGTAGTCTGTGTGTTTATATCACCAGTGTATGTAGTCTGTGTGTTTAGATCACCAGTGTATGTAGCCTGTGTGTTTAGATCAACAGTGTATGTAGTCTGTGTGTTTAGATCACCAGTGTATGTAGTCTGTGTGTTTAGATCACCAATGTATGTAGTCTGTGTGTTTAGATCACCAGTGTATGTAGCCTGTGTGTTTAGATCACCAATGTTTGTAGTCTGTGTGTTTAGATCAACAGTGTATGTACTCTGTGTGTTTAGATCACCAATGTATGTAGTCTGTGTTTAGATCACCAGTGTATGTTGTCTGTGTGTTTAGATCACAAGTGTATGTAGTCTGTGGGTTTAGATCACCAGTGTATGTAGTCTGTGTGTTTATATCACCAGTGTATGTAGTCTGTGTGTTTAGATCACCAGTGTATGTAGCCTGTGTGTTTAGATCAACAGTGTATGTAGTCTGTGTGTTTAGATCACCAATGTATGTAGTCTGTGTGTTTAGATCACCAGTGTATGTAGCCTGTGTGTTTAGATCACCAGTGTATGTAGTCTGTGTGTTTAGATCACCAGTGTATGTAGTCTGTGTGTTTAGATCACCAGTGTATGTAGTCTGTGTGTTTAGATCACCAGTGTATGTAGTCTGTGTGTTTAGATCACCAGTGTATGTAGTCTGTGTGTTTAGATCACCAGTGTATGTAGTCTGTGTGTTTAGATCACCAGTGTATGTAGTCTGTGTGTTTAGATCACCAGTGTATGTAGCCTGTGTGTTTAGATCACCAATGTATGTAGCCTGTGTGTTTAGATCACCAATGTATGTAGTCTGTGTGTTTAGATCACCAGTGTATGTAGCCTGTGTGTTTAGATCAACAGTGTATGTAGTCTGTGTGTTTAGATCACCAGTGTATGTAGCCTGTGTGTTTAGATCACCAGTGTATGTAGCCTGTGTGTTTAGATCACCGGTGTATGTAGTCTGTGGGTTTAGATCACCAGTGTTTGTAGTCTGTGTTTAGATCAACAGTGTATGTATAGATCACCAGTGTATGTAGCCTGTGTGTTTAGACCAACAGTGTATGTAGCCTGTGTTTAGATCACCAATGTATGTAGTCTGTGTGTTTAGATCAACAGTGTATGTAACCTGTGTGTTTAGATCACCAGTGTATGTAGTCTGTGTTTACATCACCAATGTATGTAGTCTGTGTGTTTATATCACCAGTGTATGTAGTCTGTGTTTATATCACCAGTGTATGTAGCCTGTGTGTTCAGATCAACAGTGTATGTAGCCTGTGTGTTTAGATCAACAGTGTATGTAGTCTGTGTGTTTAGATCACCAATGTATGTAGTCTGTGTGTTTATATCACCAGTGTATGTAGTCTGTGTGTTTAGATCACCAGTGTATGTAGTCTGTGTGTTTAGATCACCAGTGTATGTAGTCAGTGTATGTAGTCTGTGTGTTTAGATCACCAATGTATGTAGTCTGTGTGTTTAGATCACCAATGTATGTAGTCTGTGTGTTTAGATTACCAGTGTATGTAGTCTGTGTGTTTATATCACCAGTGTATATAACCTATGTGTTAAGATCACTAGTGTTATGCAGCCTGTCGTTTATTTGTAGATCACCAGTCTATGTAATCTGACTGACAATACTTATGAACCACAACAAGTCCTTGACATGGAGAAGTTTATCTTGAAGGAGCTGAAGTTTGACCTCAACATCTGTGAACCGATCATGTTCCTTGAGAGATTTTTAGAGGTGGAAAATGAGGATAAGGAGGTAATATTAGTATTGTTTTACTTATTACAAAATTTGTGTTCAAATTATTTTCTGTTGGTTTTAATTTTCCATCTGTTTTTTTCTGATGAAGTCTTAAATGAAGTATAGTTCTCTAATGTCAGCCCATACACCTCATTTAACTAGTTCTCAGGTGATGGCTAATAATCCTCATTAACCTACCTTTCAGGCAATGCCCCATAAACCTCAGATGATGTCCTATATGCATCTGTTACTTAATTCTCTAGTGATGCCCCATACACCTCAGTTACCTAATTCTCTAGTGATGCCCCATACACCTCAGTTACCTAGTTCTCTAGTGATGTCCCATACACCTCAGTTACCTAGTTCTCTAGTGATGTCCCATACACCTCAGTTACCTTGTTCTCTAGTGATGTCCCATACACCTCAGTTACCTTGTTCTCTGACGATGACCTATACACCTCAGTTACCTTGTTCTCTAGTGATGTCCCATACACCTCAGTTACCTAGTTCTCTAGTGATGTCCCATACACCTCAGTTACCTTGTTCTCTGGCGATGACTCATACACCTCAGTTACCTTGTTCTCTAGTGATGTCCCATACACCTCAGTTACCTTGTTCTCTAGTGATGTCCCATACACCTCAGTTACCTTGTTCTCTAGTGATGTCCCATACACCTCAGTTACCTTGTTCTCTAGTGATGTCCCATACACCTCAGTTACCTAGTTCTCTGGTGAGTGACCTCAGTCCTAGTTCTCTAGTGATGTCCACACCTCAGTTACCTAGTTCTCTAGTGATGTCCCATACACCTCAGTTACCTTGTTCTCTGGCGATGACTCATACACCTCAGTTACCTTGTTCTCTGGCGATGACCTATACACCTCAGTTACCTAGTTCTCTAGTGATGTCCCATACACCTCAGTTACCTTGTTCTATAGTGATGTCCCATACACCTCAGTTACCTTGTTCTCTGGCGATGACCCATACACCTCAGTTACCTTGTTCTCTGGCGATGACCCATACACCTCAGTTACCTTGTTCTCTAGTGATGTCCCATACACCTCAGTTACCTTGTTCTCTGGCGATGTCCAATACACCTCAGTTACCTTGTTCTCTGGCGATGTCCCATACACCTCAGTTACCTTGTTCTCTGGCGATGACTCATACACCTCAGTTACCTAGTTCTCTGGCAATGACCCATACACCTCAGTTACCTTGTTCTCTGGCAATGACCCATACACCTCAGTTACCTTGTTCTCTGGCGATGTCCCATACACCTCAGTTACCTTGTTCTCTAGTGATGTCCCATACACCTCAGTTACCTTGTTCTCTAGTGATGTCCCATACACCTCAGTTACCTTGTTCTCTGGCGATGTCCAATACACCTCAGTTACCTAGTTCTCTAGTGATGCCCCATACACCTCAGTTACCTAGTTCTCTAGTGATGTCCCATACACCTCAGTTACCTGGTTCTCTGGCAATGACCCATACACCTCAGTTACCTTGTTCTCTAGTGATGTCCCATACACCTCAGTTACCTTGTTCTCTAGTGATGCCCCATACACCTCAGTTACCTAGTTCTCTAGTGATGCCCCATACACCTCAGTTACCTAGTTCTCTAGTGATGTCCCATACACCTCAGTTACCTAGTTCTCTAGTGATGTCCCATACACCTCAGTTACCTTGTTCTCTAGTGATGTCCCATACACCTCAGTTACCTTGTTCTCTAGTGATGCCCCATACACCTCAGTTACCTAGTCCTCTGGTGATGCCCCATACACCTCAGTTACCTAGTTCTCTGGTGATGCCCCATACACCTCAGTTACCTTGTTCTCTGGCGATGACTCATACACCTCAGCTACCTTGTTCTCTAGTGATGTCCCATACACCTCAGTTACCTTGTTCTCTGGCGATGACTCATACACCTCAGTTACCTTGTTCTCTGGCGATGACTCATACACCTCAGCTACCTTGTTCTCTAGTGATGTCCCATACACCTCAGTTACCTTGTTCTCTGGCGATGTCCCATACACCTCAGTTACCTTGTTCTCTGGCAATGACCCATACACCTCAGTTACCTTGTTCTCTGGCGATGACTCATACACCTCAGCTACCTTGTTCTCTAGTGATGTCCCATACACCTCAGTTACCTTGTTCTCTAGTGATGTCCAATACACCTCAGTTACCTTGTTCTCTGGCGATGACCCATACACCTCAGTTACCTATTTCTCTGGCGATGACTCATACACCTCAGTTACCTAGTTCTCTAGTGATGCCCCATACACCTCAGTTACCTAGTTCTCTAGTGATGCCCCATACACCTCAGGTAACTAGTTCTCTAGTGATGCCCCATACACCTCAGTTACCTTGGCCCCATACACCTCAGTTACCTATTGCTAAGGTGATGTCCCATACACAAGCACATTGTGTGTCTTCTTGTTGATTGATTCTGTATGAAAAATAATTGGTGTATATTACTAGATCTAATGTAAACATTTTGACAAAAACTATTGAATTCATAAAGACAAAAGAATCCAGGTATCAGTTGATGTAGTAAACATGAATACATAATCAGCTTGTCAGTTAAAAAATAGAAGGCGGCAAAGTGGTCCTAACTAGACTGACAGAAAGACTACAACTTAATGATGTATCCATATTTTAGAATATATTGTAAAATAGTGTTTTTTTACTACAGGTAGAACATCTGGCACAATATCTCCTGGATCTGTCCCTAACATCGGTCCACTTTACCATGTATGTTCCATCCAAGATGGCTGCTAGTGCACTGCTAATGTCCAGGAAGATACTGGGGAGGAAAGGATGGACTACAGGCCTGGGGTACTACACAATGTACGCAGAGAAAGATCTAACAAAGTGTGGCAATGCTTTATGTAGATTGCTTCTCAGAATCAACAATGCAAAGTACCAAGTAAGTATGGTGTCCAAGATACTTCTAAAATACACCTCCTCAAAGTACCAAGTAAGAATGGTGTCCCAGATACTTCTAAAATACACCACCTCAAAGTACCAAGTAAGTATGGTGTCCAACGTACTTCTAAAATACACCTCCTCAAAGTACCAAGTAAGTATGGTGTCCCAAAATACTTCTAAAATACACCTCAAAGTACCAAGTAAGTATGGTGTTCAAGATACTTCTAAAATACCCCTCCTCAAAGTACCAAATAAGTATGGTGTCCAACGTACTTCTAGAATACACCTCCTCAAAGTACCAAGTAAGTATGGTGTTCAAGATACTTCTAAAACACACCTCAAAGTACCAAGTAAGTATGGTGTCCAAGATACTTCTAAAACACACCTCAAAGTACCAAGTAAGTATGGTGTTCAAGATACTTCTAAAATACACCTCAAAGTACCAAGTAAGTATGGTGTCCAAGATACTTCTAAAATACACCTCCTCAAAGTACCAAGTAAGTATGGTGTCCCAAAATACTTCTAAAATACACCTCCTCAAAGTACCAAGTACGTATGGTGTCCCAAAATACTTCTAAAATACACCTCCTCAAAGTATAAAGTAAGTATGGTATCCAAGATACTTCTAAAATACACCTCCTCAAAGTACTAAGTAAGTATGGTGTCCCAAAATACTTCTAAAATACACCTCAAAGTATAAAGTAAGTATGGTATCCAAGATACTTCTAAAATACACCTCCTCAAAGTACTAAGTAAGTATGGTGTCCCAAAATACTTCTAAAATACACCTCAAAATACACCTCCTCAAAGTACTAAGTAAGTATGGTGTCCCAAAATACTTCTAAAATACACCTCCTCAAAGTACCAAGTAAGTATGGTATCCAAGATACTTCTAAAACACACCTCAAAGTATCAAGTAAGTATGGTGTCCAAGATACTTCTAAAATATACCTCAAAGTATCAAGTAAGTATGGTGTCCAAGATACTTCTAAAATACACCTCAAAGTATCAAGTAAGTATGGTGTCCAAGATACTTCTAAAATACACCTCCTCAAAGTACCAAGTAAGTATGGTGTCCCAAAATACTTCTAAAATACACCTCAAAGTACCAAGTAAGTATGGTGTTCAAGATACTTCTAAAATACACCTCCTCAAAGTACCAAGTAAGTATGGTATCCAAGATACTTCTAAAATACACCTCCTCAAAGTACCAAGTAAGTATGGTGTCCAAGATACTTCTAAAATACACCTCCTCAAAGTACTAAGTAAGTATGGTGTCCCAAAATACTTCTAAAATACACCTCAAAATACACCTCCTCAAAGTACTAAGTAAGTATGGTGTCCCAAAATACTTCTAAAATACACTTCAAAATACACCTCCTCAAAGTACTAAGTAAGTATGGTGTCCCAAAATACTTCTAAAATACACCTCCTTAAAGTACCAAGTAAGTATGGTGTTCAAGATACTTCTAAAATACACCTCCTCAAAGTACCATGTAAGTATGGTGTCCAACGTACTTCTAGAATACACCTCCTCAAAGTACCAAGTAAGTATGGTGTTCAAGATACTTCTAAAACACACCTCAAAGTACCAAGTAAGTATGGTGTTCAAGATACTTCTAAAATACATTACGTTGTACATTGTCAAGCATTTGGCAGAACATTCTTTAAGCATTTCAGTGTAATTTGTCAAGTTCCAAAGTAGATGTGTGGGATGCATCAGTGATGGATATACACAATATTGAACTTGTGAAACTGGATCTATAAATTTCATTCCTGATTGTCTAATTCACTGTCTCATTATCAAGATAATGAATTGTAAAGAAACGTTTGATACAAAATGTAACATATTATTTTGCGGATGAATTTTTAAATCAAACAACTGAAACACAGTTTCTTAGTTCCATAAACAAATATTTAGGATAATCTTTGTGTGAGGATTGTAAGTGTGATTCATTCATGTTCCATGTTTTTTGTATAAATACAATTTTGTACATCTACATTACTAGTTGTAAATGCTCATTGTTATGGGACAGTTTGTAGAGACACGGAATAATTCAGTCCGTTATTTTGTTTATCAGGGTGCCAAAAACAAGTATACCAGCCATTCCTGTTTCGGCGCCATCAGTGATCACCCCAGAGTTACTGACAAGGACCACCTCAAGAAAATCTGTTGCCTGGAAACTGAAATTCTGTGACTTATAACCATTTGTAATCATGGAAACTTAGCTTTTATGATGTGTAACTATGGAAACAGAGACTCTAATCTGTCACAGCATTTCCTGAGAACAAGGGTTCTAACTGTTGTCTACTAGAACACAGGATCATGGTCTAGACTTGAATTCTTTAATGTCTACCAAGTCTGTTCTTTTCCTGATAAAAACAGAATGTTGTCACCGTATGTGCAACAATTGTGATACATTGGATATGACCTTGACAGGTGAAGTTGCTGTCATTATAAACAAACTGACTGTGAGTCTAGGTTTCCATGGAACTGTGGTATTGAGGATGCTTATGTAGATGTAAAAGATGGAGATGGTTTAACAGTGATATGCTCTCCGTGATGATATTAGTTTTATACAGGTGTTGATTTATTTCTTTCTATGTTACCAAATATATACAAATGTTGCCTTTATTTCTATACCACTGTTGTCTACTGTTTACATTCTAAATATAACAAATATACTCAAGTCACTTCATGTGCATCAGACATGTGTGATGTTACTTGTGTGTGTCAGATATGTGATGTTACTTGTGTGTGTGTCAGATATGTGTGATGTTACTTGTGTGCATCAGATATGTGTGATGTTACTTGTGTGTGTCAGATATGTGATGTTACTTGTGTGTGTGTCAGATATGTGATGTTACTTGTTTGTGTGAGATATGTGATGTTACTTGTTTGTGTCAGATATGTGATGTTACTTGTGTGTGTCAGATATGTGATGTTACTTGTGTGTGTGTCAGATATGTGATGTTACTTGTGTGTGTCAGATATGTGATGTTACTTGTGTTCTGTGTCAGATATGTGATGTTACTTGTGTGTGTCAGATATGTGATGTTACTTGTGTGTGTCAGATATGTGATGTTACTTGTGTGCATCAGATATGTGATGTTACTTGTGTGTGTGTCAGATATGTGATGTTACTTGTGTGCATCAGATATGTGATGTTACTTGTGTGTGTGTCAGATATGTGATGTTACTTGTGTGTGTGTCAGATATGTGATGTTACTTGTGTGCATCAGATATGTGATGTTACTTGTGTGTGTCAGATATGTGATGTTACTTGTGTGTGTGTCAGATATGTGATGTTACTTGTGTGTGTGTGTCAGATATGTGATGTTACTTGTGTGTGTCAGATATGTGATGTTACTTGTGTGTGTGTCAGATATGTGATGTTACTTGTGTGTGTGTGTCAGATATGTGATGTTACTTGTGTGTGTGTCAGATATGTGATGTTACTTGTATGTGTGTCAGATATGTGATGTTACTTGTGTGTGTGTCAGATATGTGATGTTACTTGTGTGTGTGTCAGATATGTTATGTTGCTTGTGTGTGTGTCAGATATGTAATGTTACTTGTGTGTGTGTCAGATATGTGATGTTACTTGTGTGTGTCAGATATGTGATGTTACTTGTGTGTGTGTCAGATATGTTATGTTACTTGTGTGTGTGTCAGATATGTGATGTTACTTGTGTGTGTGTCAGATATGTGATGTTACTTGTGTGTGTCAAATATGTGATGTTACTTGTGTGTGTGTCAGATATGTTATGTTGCTTGTGTGTGTGTCAGATATGTAATGTTACTTGTGTGTGTGTCAGATATGTGATGTTACTTGTGTGTGTCAGATATGTGATGTTACTTGTGTGTGTGTGTGTCAAATATGTTATGTTACTTATGTGTGTGTCAGATACGTGATGTTACTTGTGTGTGTGTCAGATATGTAATGTAACTTGTGTGTGTCAGATATGTGATGTTACTTGTGTGTGTCAGATATGTGATGTTACTTGTGTGTATCAGATATATGATGTTACTTGTTTGTGTGAGATATGTGATGTGTGAGATGTCTGATGTTACTTGTGTGTGTCAGATATGTGATGTTACTTGTGTGTGTCAGATATGTGATGTTACTTGTGTGTGTCAGATATGTGATGTTACTTGTTTGTGTGAGATGTCTGATGTTACTTGTGTGTGTCAGATATGTGATGTTACTTGTGTGAGATGTCTGATGTTACTTGTGTGTGTGAGATGTCTGATGTTACTTGTTTGTGTGAGATGTCTGATGTTACTTGTTTGTGTGAGATGTCTGATGTTACTTGTTTGTGTGAGATGTCTGATGTTACTTGTTTGTGTGAGATGTCTGATGTTACTTTGTCGATTACAGATTTGTCGTGCTCATTGAGCCCTTTTGCTCATTTTCAGGAAGGGTGCCTAGTTATACATAGAGCCTTGTGGTATTGTCTAAACATTTGTGTTGGAGCCCTTTTGCTCAAACAAGGGGGTTTGTTTTACATGGTGTTGGATTTTAGTGTGCCTATCAGTCTGTTACAGGTGGGGCAGAATCATTGAGCTGTGGGTAACATCTGCTTCATCAATCATACCATAACAGAATGACTATGATTTGACCCAGATCTGTGATCCTTTTCTCATACTTATAGTGCTGTATTGCTAGATTTCTGTGAAAATGACATAAATTATTTCAAATTCTGAAGTTCTGGCAGTTTCCAAATTAAAAAAAAATAGAATGGTGCCACAATGACAATGCTCTGACATTCTGATTGCTATAGATCTACCAAACCTTGTCGCTGATGTCAAAATGTCCAAATTTCAACATATTTCTAGTGCAGAATTGCACAACTCTTGCTGCTAAATTTGCCAAATTTGATAAAACCGTTTCACATATCATCGATTACAAACCTTTTTAAAACTCATTCTGATGCCAAAATGCAGCACTACTAAACTTTATATAAAAAAAACGCCTGCCTTTTTTCTGAGAAAACTTTGTCAGGAGTCAATATTTAAAAGAATTTTTTTTTTTCAATGCCAAAATATATTTGATAAATGATATTTAATATATATATTCTCATGCTAAAAGATATTTCTGCAATACTTGGTCTGCCACAGAATACAGAGCTCATTAGAGGCGATAACAGTGTGCAATCTAATATATATGTACATATTGCATAATGATCGAATGAGTGACAAAGATTATGCAATTCAATTTTAATATCTACAAGTGTTTGTTAGTAATGGATTAGTTCACACTTGCCAAGCAGTGCTTGACTGAAAGGTATTTTAGTTGTTTTATTGTTTACAAATAAAAAGAAGAAAATTACTTTTGGTTTTGTCTTATCAATATGATATTAAAGCCAGCTAACTTAATTATTTCGACATTGTAAGACATCTCGCCGACCAAGGTGTTGTCACACGTATTAATTTTCTGATCGTAGGGTGAGAGTTACCTCTCTTCGTACCATGGCGCTTGAAATGTGTATACTCGGTAGCCATTATAATAGTACTCTAGACCTTTCATCTTTTACGACGTGTATGTCGTTACTTTAGTTTAAAAGTACATGATAATCAACATTTACACATGACACGCTATTGTTAAATTTACTTTTTTCCTATCGTGATACAGTACGTTCACCATCTACCCGGCGCCATATTACAGGTCCAAGTTGAAGTCACATATGGTGTCACTTGTACCGCAACGGCGCCGAATTAAACACCGAAGCTCTGTCTGCCCCGCCGTGAACATCTGTGTGCAAAACACCTCTCTTGTTGAACATTAAAATCGTCAAATTGGCGTCATTTGTCTAAATAATCGAAAATCCTCTCCATGTACAGTTACTAAATCCAAATGTTGCTGATGCGTTGGACCAGAGTTGCGTGTGTGTGTCTTGTAGTGTTCCGTATGATACACGCTACCCAGGTAATTAATCAATTGTTTAAATTACGATGTCGTTAATATGTCATTAAGATGATGTGATGATGTTATCAATAATGGCGTAACCATCATAAATGTAAGGAAGGTAGAAATAACATACAGAGGTGGAAAAATTGCACGAAAACTCCTACAAGGATGGTGGAACAATCCTACCAAAATACATACAGAATGGTGGTACAATCCTACCAAAATACATACAGAATGGTGGTACAATCCTACCAAAATACATACAGAATGGTGGTACAATCCTACCAAAATACATACAGAATGGTGGAACAATCCTACCAAAATACATACAGAATGGTGCAACAGTTCTACCAAAATACATACAGAATGGTGGTACAATCCTACCAAAATACATACAGAATGGTGGTACAATCCTACCAAAATACATACAGAATGGTGGTAAAATCCTACCAAAATACATACAGAATAGTGGAACAATCCTACCAAAATACATACAGAATGGTGCAACAGTTCTACCAAAATACATACAGAATGGTGCAACAGTTCTACCAAAATACATACAGAATGGTGCAACAGTTCTACCAAAATACATACAGAATGGTGCAACAGTTCTACCAAAATACATACAGAATGGTGGTACAATCCTACCAAAATACATACTACATACAGAATGGTGGTACAATCCTACCAAAATACATACAAAATGGTGGTACAGTCCTACCAAAATACATACAGAATGGTGCAACAGTTCTACCAAAATACATACAGAATGGTGGTACAATCCTACCAAAATATAAACAGAATGGTGCAACAGTTCTACCAAAATACATACAGAATGGTGCAACAGTTCTACCAAAATACATACAGAATGGTGGTACAATCTTACCAATATACATACAGAATGGTGGAACAATCCTACCAAAATACATACAGAATGGTGGAACAATAAAGAATGGTAGTACAATCCTACCAAAATACATAAAGAATGGTGGTACAATCCTACCAAAATACATACAGAATGGTGCAACAGTTCTACCAAAATACATACAGAATGGTGGTACAATCCTACCAAACTACATACAGAATGGTGGTACAATCCTACCAAACTACATACAGAATGGTGCAACAGTTCTACCAAAATACATACAGAATGGTGGTACAATCCTACCAAACTACATACAGAATGGTGCAACAGTTCTACCAAAATACATACAGAATGGTGGTACAGTCCTACCAAAATACATACAGAATGGTGCAACAATCCTACCAAAATACATACAGAATGG